TGTGTTCTTCTAAATATTATTTAATAATTTAGTTCTATTAGAAAATTTTTAGCAATAAGATGGGTGGTAAAATCGTGATAGTAACCAGTAAGGTCTTTAAGGGGCCAAGGGAGTGGGACAAGAAGAGAACAGCATGGCATTGCACGTATAGAGGGTAGGGTGCATTGGTTCTGCTCCTAGCCGTGGGGATCATATTGTTTCTTTAATTGTTCCCTTCACACTATAGGTAATGCGAAGGGAACATTCACTATTAAATTCTTAAATGACGAAACTGTCTATCAAGCCTTTTGTACTGAGAAGCTTATTTAATTTAATAGCCAGACAAATCCATCTTCCCCAAATCACGTGATTCCTCCCTCCTATTATTAACATAAATTGATTATTTCGATTATTAAAAATATTAAAACTTTACTAATATAAATATATATTTTCGTCTATCTAAAAAAATCAAACGTCCAATACATATTAATATATGTTGCTTATACATTTTGTCCATCCGTCAATCTCCCGTTGAAGGTTGAAGAAAAAGACTAGTTTAGTTCTAAGCAGCTGACGAGGCCAAAGACTTATTTGTCTTTTGATTGCAAAAGCTTCACTCATTTTTCTATTTATTCTACTCCTTTATACTCCCTTCTTCTCCTTTTTCTTATTTCCAGCCACAAAATAATTTTTAAAATTGTATAGTAATTATTGTATTATTTTTTAACCAAAATAAGAATTTTGTCCATATTTTTGAAAATAAAATTGTTGAATTTCTATCAATTGAAAAACTATAATATTATTGTATTTATTTATCATCAGTTTAGCTTAGAATCACTATGTTTAAACTTAAATCTTATTTTTGTTCAAATCCCCTCATAATTCCAAATTATACATTCCAAAATATCTCTTTCGGCTTTCGTATTCCGCCTAATTTTGTCTCTTTTGTTCCCCTCTTGTTCTTTGACGAAATTTCGCCTTTTAGGATTTCGCATTTTGTTCTTTCCCCTTAGTCTTTCACTATCTAAAATATTGGACCAGACACTAGTGTTAAGGTCACCTCTGGCTGGTCATTCATTAAGCCTCCTTTTCCTTTCATCCATTATTGACAGCTAGTAGGGCTTTAATCCTCATTGTGTGGTAAAAATCAAATATAATATTATTTTTTCTTTCTGGTTTATTTATTGTTATTTTTACATTATTTATCTAAAATTAATTTTTGTGCAATTCTACGCAATTTTACGCATTATTGAGCAATTTAAAAATACAAAACACATTTTATTTTCTTAAAATTTGATCAAATTCAAGAGAAAAATTGTTTTTTTCTCTTGAAAATATTAAAAAAATATAAAAAAATTTACAAAAAACAATGGGAAACTTTATTTCCAATGATATTTTATTGCCGGACGGATTTTTGGAAGCTCAAGAATATTTTTCTTCTACCTATTACCTAATTTCTAGCCTATACACTTCCTCAATTTAAATTTCTATTTTTATCTGTCCTTTATTTTTTTTTGGAATTTTTATGGAAAAATAAATAACAAAAAAATATTTTTATCCCCTTTAGGCTAAATTTACCATAATTAAATTTATTTTAAAAATATTTTATGATAAATATCAACATTATTGCCAAAGAATTATTTTAGTGCCAAAAAATATTTATTAGTGTACCAAAAATTATTATTTCCAAAAATATTATTTTTCATTGCCAATAACATGAAAACAACGTTTTTTAAATTATTTTGTTCCTATCCCTTCTTATCTTTCACCTAATGGGACAAACCATTAAAATTTTTTTTGAATGGGGCCATTCCCTCTTTTATTATTTTTTAGTTAATTTTCCTAAAATTTTTATTTTTTTTTCGAACATATGCGTCCTTTTCTCACATATCAAATTTTTGTTTATTAGCGCGAACAAAACCATTTACGGGTTGCCATATTCTTTTTTTTCTCAAAAAATACTCAACACATCAATTTTTATTCCCAAAAGATTTTTTGTTTTATTGGCAGACAACAAAGAAAAAAGAACAAAACACACATTTCTTTGAAAAATTAAATTTCATTAGGGACTTGATTCTGTCACCAATCCTCGCATTCCATATCAGCCCTAAACTCCGAAAAAATTTATTGTTATTTTTTAAGAAAAATTCATTGGACCCTATTTATAATCATCCCTATTTATCAGGTACAGATCCTAGGCCTAGCTTGCCCACCCTTTGCCCTAAACTGAAGCATAAACGATTGTACCAACATCCAAATTTTATGATAGGCTATTTTTATTTATTATATTGTTTCTGTAAGTGCGGATAAAGCATTAATAATTTTGTTGATGAAACAAAAAAAGAAAACCTTAGTTTAGAAAATCTTGGGTTTCGGAATCAAATCCCACCTAACCCTTTGCTATTTTCCGTGGTTGGTTTTGTCTGCTTTACCTTGTTTTATATCCCTTTCCAATTTCTCGTCAATCGTTTCTATAACATTTCAAAAAAATTTTTTATTAAAATCCTCCCTTCATATTTTCAAAACATCATTTTACTTTTAAAATATTTTGTCAAAAACATTTGTTTATTTTTATTATAGGAAGTTTATATTTTTTTAAAAATAAACATTTTGTTTAAGCATTATTTATGAGCTTAATGCTTAAAGAAATAAATAATAAAATTTTTGAGTAAAAAAATAAATTAACACGAACATGCTATCGAAATATTTTTCTTAAATTTAAAATTAATTAATTTATTATTCGAGAATTGTTTGCTATATTTGCTCATTTTTGATTAATTTTCTTACTAAACACCTTCCCCTAAATTTTACCAAAAATAATTCTAACATCAATGTTGGCCCTATAATATTTTTATTCTGTCACATTTTCCCTCACTAAAATGTTTTTAATATTTATTTATTTGCATAATTTTAAATAAATATTGATCGAGACCCGTCGACCGTTCACTCTATTCATATTCAATCATATTCAACGCTTGCAGTGGCCATAAAAATTTATTACCAAAATATTAGTCTTATTACCAAATCACCTCTTAAAAGATGATCTACGGTTTATCAGTGGACTAAGACGTTTCTTAAAAATGCCCCCTCCGAAGAGGGGACGGTCCTATGTACAAAACGGCACATGGACACTCCAAAATTTTACCATTGGGGCCCGAAGGCCACAAAGGCGAAATACCATTGGGGCCCGAAGGCCACAAAGGGGGCCCGAAGGCCACAAAAAACTTCTCTTTAAATTATTAGACGGGTTGTAAACTACTAATAAAGAACACTAATTATTTTTGCATTTACTAACCGATGTATTCAACCAATTTTATTTAATTCCAAAATGACTAATCGCATAAAATACACAATATATCTAAAAAAATTGTTTTTCAAAATGGTCATTAAGGAAATATTTTTAAATTGTCGAAGGGATGATCTCAAGCTTCTTTCATTTTAATTTTTTGATACCTTTCTCGGGTTTCGGTTAGTTTTATAACAAACTGACCGAGGTATTCAACCAATTCGCGCAGTTTGGTTATGAATTTGAAGAGTTATTTCTTTAAACATCGGTTATTAAACGATACCCCCGAGTTTCGGTTACGGCCGGTTTTCGGTATTTGGTTCGATTCCAGTTCCGGTTCGGGTAACCGTCTGCCAACAGCCTTACTACTAAGGATTACCCTCTTAAATTGATGATCTCTGGCTTATCATCACCGCTTATCATAGCCAAATTTCAACTCATTTTACTCTAATTCCGCTTATTTAAATTCCATTATTAACTCAGAATTAATGCAAAAACCTTCCTAAAAATACCTTCCTACAAAATATAAAAAATATCTACTGCTTAGTAAAGAGGTTGTCCTAGACACACACACTTTAGAATTATTTCCAGCCGACAAATTTATTTTTTATTCCAATTTTTATATCTTTAAATGCTCTCTCTCTTTTACCTTTCTTCCATTTTTATCTAAAATTTTGACTAGCAAACAATTTTTTAACTTCTTTTTGAGGCTTACCCATTCTTAATTTATCAAAAACAATAATAAATATTCCAAAATTAAAAATAATAATTAGACTTTGAACCGGGGGGAGGAGGAGGGAGGGGGTCTGAGGGGAAGGGGAGAGAGGGAAGGGGGGGGGGGGGTTCGGAGCCCTATAGCCTGGAAACCGGGTATTTAATGATACTTATAAAATCCCGTTTTTAGGTTTTTCTGGATTTTCGGGATTTACCGACAAAAACTAGGCCCAGGACGTCTGAAAGAAAAAAACCCGGAGGGCATGGCTAATACTAATTAAAATAATATTTTTATAAAATTTTTTATTCCCTCAGTGTTTGTTTTTTAAATAAATTACAATACTAGCATGTTTTCTCTCTTAAATTTGTAAATATTTGCGCTATATTTAAGGGCCACTAAAATGTTTATAAATATGAGGCAAATTGAGGAACACAAACAAAAATAAAAAAAAATATTTTAAAAAAGAAAAGCAAAGTAAAAGCACCATTAAATTATTAGTCATCCACCCGTGAGGAAATTCATCATATAAAAAATTTTTATACACTTTAATATTTAACACAACATATAAATTTAAATGTACATACTTGGTTGTAGTGAGTGGTGTTTTTGCCCATTTTCTCTATTTTTTATTATTTTTTTAGTTTATTTTTTATTTATAAAAAATATTTTTGCTAAAATTTATTTTCAATTATTCTTAAAAATTCTTGAAAAATTTTGAGATTTTTTAAAAGATTTTTCAAGAATTTTCAGGAATTTTTATGAATTTTCAAGGATTTTCGAGAATTTTCAAAAATTTTCAGAAATTTTAAAAATTTTCGAAAAATTTCGAAATTTTCTCGAATTTTCAGCTAATTTCAAGAATTTTCAAAAATTTCAAGAATTTTTAAAAATTTTCGAAATTTTTCAAAAATTTCAGAAATTTTTAAAATTTTCAAATAATTTTGAAATTTTCTCGAATTTTCAACTAATTTCAAAAATTTTCAAAAATTTTCTTCTACAAGGCAGAAAATACATAATAATATGTCAGATACGAAAATGAATAACTTCCCCCAATTAAAACAAAATTTGATCATGAATGGCTCTGATCCATTTAATCATTTAATTAATCAACCCCACTCTACAACAAATTCTCCTTCTTCATCATCTGCCAGTTCTTCCTTTACTTCAACTAAGAATAATAAAAATGATAATTTTAATCCTGTCCACAGGCTTCATAAGAGTGAGGATAGTACAACAAACTTAATTAATCGTCTCCCTTTGAATATACCCTCAGCTATGCTTACTGAAGAGGAATTGGACGGAGGGGAACTTTTAAGTGTTGAGGAGGTTTTTAAGATTATTTTTAGTCAAAAAATTTATGAAAAATTAAAAATCAGAGAGAGGAAATAGACCCGGAAGATGGCTGCAAAGTTCAAGTATGGACTTATCGTATATTATCAGCCGATGGGATGGAAGAGAGTACAATAATAAGAAGACGTAAAATGAAGGTTTAGTGCTTAACAAGCTTGTTATTGAATTAATTTTGTAGGTTAATTGTACTGAATCACTCAAAAGAATAGAATTTTCTAATGGAAGAGAGACTAAATATGAGGAACGTGAGGTCTGAAACTTTGTTTTGTTGTGATATCTAGACTAGGATTCCCCTGTATCAGGGTTTTTAGTTGTAGAGCCTTATGGGTTCGAGTTGAGGTTTAGGGGGACGGGTGCTACCCTAATTTAAACGAAAAAATAAAATTTTTTTCAAGGTTATCAACAATTTGGATTCATTCACTCAACAACCTAATCATACACCTTTTCGTAATTCTTCAGCTACTAATGAGAGAACCATGGAAGATGTAGGAAACAAAAAGAAATTGAAAAAAATTTATTTAAAGGACGAGGATTCTGCCCAGATTGGCAGCATGTTATTTCAAACCCAGGACAGCTTTCTTCGTCTTGTCAGAGAGAAGAAAGATGCACTCGTTAAACTCTTTCCAGAACTGGTAGAAATAATACACCTTTCCCCTAACAAAAATTTTTTAGTTTACCAATTTACGAACAACCCCAGCAATTTTTGAGTCAATGCCTTCTACCGTAATGGAAACCAGTAAAAAATATTTTAGAAAAAATTCAAAAATAATTTTTTAGTTGTAAACGAGGATGGAAGTACTACAACACGTACAAAATTTTCCAAGGCTTTTAGGTCCTAAATTCAAAAAATACATATTTTCTTATTACCCAATTTACAGCTCTCATTATACACGTCAGGAGATGTTTATTAATGGTGTTAGGAAGGAGTGCCGTTCTCGATTTCGAGCTTTCATGGAATATGCTGGTCCAGAAGGGGGATTCTGCATACGGTGATTTTAAAGTTTATTGATACCTTGAAGGATTTTTTATATAAACAGACTAAATGATCACGCAGACGAGGATTTAAGCGAGGAAGAAAGTAACGACCACGAAGAGTCCACTTCTGATGGCAAAAGTTGGATAAGCAGTAGTGGACGTTCTTTAGCCTTATCAGAAATTGGTGAAGGGCAATCAGCCCTAGTAATACCTGGAAAGCAGGGACAACTTTGCGTGTTAAAGGACAAAGAAAATAATAAAAGATGGGAAAAAGCATGGCACGCTGTTAATGAAATGGTACAATCTGAGGAAAGATATGTACAAAAATTGGCATTACTTGAGAAAGTATTTGAGGGGAATTGAGTGTTTTACTAAATAGAAATTTTTAGTTCCGCTCAACTATTGAACGTGCTCAACTTCTTGATAGAAGACTTCAATGCCACCTTTTTTCTAATATTGCATCCCTAAACCAATTCCATGAACAACACTTGTTACCTCAATTAATGGATAGACGGAGGGAATGGCAAGGCACTAAAAGGATAAGCGATGTTCTCAGAAAACAAGCTCCATTCCTTAAAATGTACAGTGAATATACTAACAACTACAAAACTGCTGTTCATATATTCGAGGAGTGCATGCGCAAAAAGAGGGCTTTTGGAGAAATTGTTCGGCAACTTGAAGTATTTCTTAATGAGTATCACAATTATAATTCCTTTTCCCCCTCTAGCAATTACCTGAATGTGAACATCTTTCGCTTGTTTCCCATCTAATCTGTCCTGTACAACGGGTCATGCGTTATCAGCTTTTATTAAAAGAATATCAAAAGAATTTATTGCCAAATGACCCTGATTGGGAAGATACGGAGACTGCTCTAACTTTGGTTCTGGAAGCAGCCTCTCATGCCAATGAAATGGTCTTTGGATTTCAAAATATTTTTAAAAATTTTTTAAAAATTATTAAAGATGAGAAAATTAGATCGTTATCGAAATGTTTTAGAAATACAAGAACAATTGGGCAATTCAATTGCTTTAGTTTCGCCGGGGCGTGAATTGCTAACTCGATCACGTTTATTTAAATGTTCTTCTAGCACCGGAAAAGTTGAGGAACGGTTAGTCTGAGGATTTATTTTTTTACTTAGGTACTTCAATGTTTCAGAGGCAAAAAATACCCCTCATACTCACAATAAACCATTGTTTCGGAAGCAAAAAAATTTTTTTGAAACATGTTTCTGTTTCAAAAGTAACCTAAAAACCTGCCGTTGAAGCATATTTTAATTAGGGGTTCGAAGCAACTTTTTAGAAAATTAAGCACCTCTCATTTACAAAATTTTAGATTACTTTTTGTCTTCAATGATCTATTCTTATTGGCCAGTGAACGCTCAACATTTATGATTGGAACTAGAGGTGCTAGTAAATATAAATTACGTGCTGCTTTCTTTGCGAAACAAACACAAATTTGCGAGGGGGATAATTTGGAATTGGAGAATTCATTTTATTTGAGAGGGTCTAATTCGGCAAAGGCAAGAATTTTGCCAAATCTGAATCAGATTTTGATCACATTTTGATTTAGGGACCTCAACGTTGCGTGGAACTTTTTTGTGAAACCGAAGCAGAGAAAAAGGCTCTGTTTGATACTGTTTGGGTATCTAAAATATTTTTTTAAATATTTATTAAATTTTAAAAATCAGTCTGTTATCCAAGAAGCACACTCGAAAGAATTAAATAATAATCATTTTGTACAATCTCCCCAACCTACGGATAATCAACAACCGAAAAAATGTGCTAGATGTAATAATGATTTTGGATGGTTCGGAAGTTTATTTTAGATAATCTTAAGATTTGTTCTAAGGTATGCCAAACAAATTGAATGCCAACGTTGTGGACAACGCTACTGTAAAAAATGTATAGCTCAAAAACCCCAGAAAATGTGCCTTAATTGTCTCGGAACTATTGTTTGAACTTTTAATTTTCCATTAAAAATGTTTATTGTTTCAGGAAGGATTGCGCAACTCGAGATCTGAGGGGCCTTTGAATATTAGGGAAGGAACCCCAATTACGAGAAAAAATCTTTTGCAAGTTCCAGCTTCAGGGAACGTGTCTGATGTTGTTAAAGTAATTAAACATAAAATAAAAATTTTTATTAAATTTAATTTTCTATCCAGTCTGGCTATCTAAAATTCCGAGGGCATTCAGACAAGCAACTTAGACGTTTCTTTGTTCTACGAAACAATTTTTGTATTTATTCGTATCGTTCTGATCAAGTTAGCGTATTTTATAAATGCCTAGAATTTTACCAAAATTTTAAGGATAATTCTGCCCTAGCCATGCTTCCTCTATCAGGCTGTGATGTTAATGTCCACTCCTCAATGCTACAAGCTGAAAAGTTTGGAATTTCTTTGAGGCACATGAACAGACAATATTTATTCATTTGGTTACCTTAATCATTTTCTTAAAATACTCCTTCAATTTTAGTGAGAACGAATTTGACCATGCTGAATGGCTTGCAGCTATGCTTCTTTCTGCCAATGCAAAATTACCGGGGGAAGAGTCGAGCGATGAGGAGAATGTTGATTTGAGCAATATAGCGACAACAATAGGTCCGGAACAGCAAAAACCGAAGCATTCATTTGCTTCGAGTTTGAAAAATCCGTGGAATAGCTTAATCAGAAGGTCATCTTCTATGGGGGAAACACGCATTGAGCATCTAGAAAAGCCGATTAATGGGAACAAAAACGAATTAAAAAATGGCAAGAATGAAAAAGAAGGGCAACTAAGAAATGAGGTGGAAGATGAAACAAGATGGAGAATATTCAAATTTTAAAAATTAAAAAAAAATTTTTAGTGAAATTTTAAAAATATCTAATTAATTCATTCCTTCTTTCAATCTTTAATTAATTAAATAGGCCAGAGATTAATAATTACATATCATTTTTAATATTAAATCTAAATATTTTACAATGTTATGTCCTCTATTTCGTTTCATATTGTTTCCGAAATTTTTTTAAAAATTTGTCTAGTCTCTCAATAAATTTTTAAAAAAATTGTTAGGATATGACATAATTTAGAGTATCATCTACTTATTTCCTTTCATCAAATTTTCGTTGCAACCACCCCTGTAGGTGTACAAAGAATATAATTTGGAAATGATAAGCCAATGCAATTAATAGTGAGGCTAATAGAACCATTCCAATGCTCATGAAAATGATTGCTACAAGGGCTTGCCACAAGCTGGCTGCATCAGGATGGTAATCTCCGATGCCTATAGTAGCCATAGAAGTAAGGCTGTAAAAGGGGAATCATTGAGGAACATGAAACTGAACCATTAAAACTGACCAAAAATAAAGCACAACAATAGGCGTGTATTGTTTCAGAAGAGCCCCATATATAAACATCCCAATTAATTGATGAACACAAAGCAGGTACAATGACTTTCTCAATGCTATTTGTTTTTGGGCTGAAGGGCCAATTTTATCTTTGCTCTGTAGATTAATTCAATTTTAAATTAAATAAGCTAACAAAATATTCTAACCATTGGGCGTACAACACAAGTAAGAAAAAGCCAATCGAGCGTATAAAAATCAGAAATTAATCTTCCCACATTGGCCAATGCCGAGAAGAATATAGGGACACCAAAGATTGTATATAGAGTGCAAAATGCCTGACTCAACTTATTCCCTGGCCGAATATCGCCCCACCCGATAGTTGCTACAGCTTGAAAAGTAAAGAGAACTGCGCGATGGAATGGTTGTTCTGCTATTTTTTCATCAATTAGTCTGAACAGGAAGGCTCCAAATAAAAGGAGAAGTAAAGCACCAACTAAGCTTGTAAATAAAGGCAAATAGTTGATTAACCATAGGATAGTGTCCTTAATTTAAAAAATTTTATTCGAAAATTTTTCAAATTTTCAACCATTTCTTTCTTTTCTTCCTCAATTGTAGTAGGTTCCAGAGTCCTCTCCAACCCTTCTTCCAACGATTTACTAGGCAAATCATCTGTCAATATTGGAATGGATTTTCTTCTATCTACAAGGCTTTGTTCAGCTTTGAAAGCTGCCATTCCTCGTTGTAAAGCTTTAGCTTGTTCTTTTTGCAGTGTTCCAACTAATATCATTGATCCAAAGTGTGGTTCATCTGATGCCAAAGATTCTCTTCTTTTTCTCCTTCTAATTCCTGATCTTTGCAAAAGCTGTTCATTTTTAGTGTCTCGAATTCGTTCCAATGCTTTTAATAATTTTGAAGTAATTTTTTGGCAAGTGTTTTGTTGGTTTAAAATATCATTTTCACTATTTCCTGCTTGATTTTCATCTTGAAATCCCTCTGGTTTCACACCAGGTTTCCTTTCATGTAAACGTTGCCTTGCCAATTTAATAGCCTTCTCAAGTTGAATTCTTTGTTGCAGATCATTGAGTGATCTGAACTTTAAAATGGGGGAATTATTGTGATAAATTAGGCTTAGAATATTAGATTGAAGTTACTACCTCTGGGATAAAGAAGCTCTAGGCCAAGTTCTGAGATTAACTGTAGTTTGAGACTGCTGCTCATTAAGCGAATTTTCAGCCATATGATTCATAAATAATTAAGATATATATTTGAATTAGATATTTCTATTAAGAATGCTCGAATATTTAAGTAAAATTAAATAATATTTTAATAATATTTATTAAATTTTGCACTAAATTCAATGCTTTGTGTTCCAAAAATGATTAATCGTTAATAGTAAAGGATCTACGAATAAAAATATTTTTGTTAGTAAATATTTGTGAAGAAGAATAAAAATGAAGAAAATAAATAGGATTAATAGACCATAGAAGAATAAATAAAAGTATAAAATTTGTGACAAGTTTGTTAGTTATTGCGCATGTTGAAACTCGTGAAAATAAAAAAAACATCACGATGCACGCGCAACACGCTACAATAAAAGGCAAGATTAAAGGTTAATTTTAAAGTTCATTTTGTTTAAAAAACTAATAAAAAATCTTGCGTTTCCTATCTTAATGAAGATTTTTAGCCTCTCCCTTCTCAACAGCCCCATTGTCTCCAATTTTATTACAACGTTTCCAAAGCAAAAGTTTATCATATAGCTGAACAAAAATGCCTTTAAATTCAATATATAGGAAGGTTTGATAATAGAGTGCCAATGTTAAGAATAATGCTGAGAGAAGAACAATTCCAACAGAAATGTATAGGACGGCAATTATTGTCTTAAATTGAATAGAATTATTTTGGAATTTACTCATTAACCTCAGGCCAACTGTCTGTATCGGGATGGTAATCGCCAAAACCAGAAGTTGCCATTGTTGTAATGCTGGAAAATTTTTTTAGAAATTTTTCAAAGAAATTTTATCAAGTTTCAATTCACCTAAAATATACAGTCGAAATTACGGGCCAATCTTTTATCCCAAAACTGTAAATACCCAACCCTATAGATTGATGCAATATTAGCAATGTTAAAATTGATGATAAAGGAAGACGCTGGGTTTTAAAAACATCAAAATTCTCATCCTTATTATGCTCCTGAATTTTTATTTATTTTTTTAAATTGTTTAAGATAACCTTTCCAAATATTTTTGATATAATAATAGGCCAATATTGACAACAAAAGTGTGTTACGAGCCTTCCAAGATTGGCATAAACAGAGAATAGCATTGGTATACCTTTGAAAGGTTTATGGAAGTAAGGTTGGCGGATCCTCAAGCCAATATTGATTTGGAACTAGATCCGAAAATCTCCGGATATCCGGGTCTTTTTTCAGTCCGGGTGTCCAACCTTTTATGGAAGGTCTCAGCGACCCAATAATTTTTTAATAATTTTCAACTAACATTCCTACCTATAATGATATAGATAACTGTAAATGCTTGGCTTTGAGTGTTTCCAGCTTGAGAATCTCCCCATCCAATAGTTGCCAACAGTTGAAATACCCAAATGAATGAACGAGCCCAAGACTTCTTTCCAATTTCATGATCAATAACTCGATAGATTAAAGAGCCTATAATCATATATGTAATCAACGAGGCGATCATTGCCAAATGAGGGATAAAATGAATATAGAGCTATAATTTATTTGAAAAATATTTTTAAATTAAAATTACAGGCTCTGGTTCTTCATATAGCACCCCTCCTTCAATTTCCTCTACATTTGGATAATATTGTAAGGATTCTGGAATGATAATTTTTATGATTTTATGCTTGAATAATTAAATATTCGTTTAATTAAAGATAATTTTGTTAAATAAAAGCTACAGTAAACCTTCACTTATTCTTTGCTATTTTCTTTGATATAATTAGCAAAAATAAAATTTTCCTTTCATGTGCTTCGGTGGCGCAGTCGGCAGCGCGTCAGTCTCATAATCTGAAGGTCGAGAGTTCGAGCCTCTCCCGGAGCATTATTTTTTTATTTTTTATCTTTTGGCCATAAATTAATTATTTTTGATTTTTAAATTATTTCTTATATTGAAATTAATTTTTTTATTTATAAAAATCACCCTTTTCCTTTCCCTCTTTTTCATATTTATCGATATTTCCCACTTGTTGTTCCTGTTCTTCAGGGATTATCCCCATATTGTCAATGCCCACAATAGTTTGTTGGGTCATACTTTCAAGCATAATGTTACGACGTTTTTGTTTTTGACCAAAACCAGCTGCCCATGTCTTTTGTTCCTTATCTTCTTTAGTTTGCAAAATTTTTTCCTTCTCAGCATTTTCGGCATGCACCGATTTCTCGAGCATTTCACACAGAAATCGAAGCATTTTTACATCCTGAGGGTTGTCAAATTTTGAAAATTTCAAAAGTTCGACCATACCTCATTCAAAATGTCATCCTTATTTGCTTCGTTATCTACCTTCTTATCAATTTTATCAATAAATTCTTTTGCCTCGGATAAAAGAGCACCACACTCATCGGTATCAGCAACTTCGTTCAACTCCAATTCGTTAGAGGGCAAAGGCAGTTGCAAATTGCCGATTCGGGAAAATAGAGAATCTTTTCTTTGTTTTGCTATGTTTGCCGAAATACGTTGAATTGCTGTCATTATTTTAAATTAATTTTTAAAATTTAGGAAATTTTATAAAGTTCCAAAATATTTATTGAAATACAGAGAAAGGCAAAAAAATTTATTTTAAAAATATTATTTTTATTTTTTCTATTATTTTGTGATTTTAAGCAGAATTCTATGTTTTTTTATGTTTCTTTTGTTATTTTTTTCTAAAATCCTCTCAAACGCTTACGTGTAAAATATCGTTAAAAAATGTTGTTAAAAATTTTGGTATTTTTTAGTCTATATTTTTAAATAAATTTTCCTGAAAAGGACATATCAATAAAAAAATTAGAAAATATTTCTACCTTCAGTAAAATTCCCGGTTCGAAAAAATTTGTTAAAATATTTTAAGAGCCCTTTTAATTAAAATATTTTTTATTAAAAATTTTATTAAACATTTTAGGATACAATATTTTTTAAATTTTAAATGAAACATTTAAAATTTAAATTTATCAACTTTGAACACTTAAGATCACAATTGCACGATTGTATTATTAAAATATTTAATAATGTTTTGTGTTAAAATAATCTTAAGTGCCACTTTACAATAAGGAAATATTTAATTGAAATATTTTAAAAGTTTTATTAAAGGATTTGTGGTATATCTTGAGACAAAAGTCCTCCCAATCTAGTTTTATTTTTTTTTGATTAATTTTCTATTAAAATTTATTTTTTTTATTTTATTTAAACACTTAAAAAAGCGTACTTTTTTTAAATTTTGACAATTTTTATTTTTCATGCAAAATTAAAATATTAGAGAAAAAAATTCAATCTTTAATCACGCGCAACGAGGGAACACGAGGAAAGTTCCAAAATTTATGGGGGCAATTTTTATTAGTTAATTAAAAAATCTTGAAGAATAAAATAAAGTTTTATTAAAAATAAAGTTAAATTTGAGGAGAAAAAAGGAAAAATAAAATCGAAAAATCATCAATTCTATTTTTATAATTTACTCAACTACCTGTTTTTTTCTTAATTATTTTATTACTTTAAACAATAATTATTGATACTTTCTTGGTCAAATTACGTTAAAATATTAAAAAAAATTTAATTAAAGCAAAAAATTTTTTTATCGTTACTAAAAATAATTATGTACACAATAGAAAAAATTGGTTAAAAATAATATAGGAATGATTGTGTGATATGTACAAAAATTGAGATAATATTAAATTAAAATTAGGGATTTATTTACATAATGATTAATTTAGTGGTTAATAAAATGATTATTTTAGGCTCAGGTTTGTGTCTCAGGAATACTTTAAGTACATAAAACTAATAAGCATGAGAAAATTTAAGGACAAGCCAGACAGTCGGAGGATTCTCTATTTGATTAAAATAAGATCGAATACGAGTCTATCTCTAGCTTCAAACGTTCCACAAATATCCTTACTAATTTTAGTATGAATATTGGAATTCCATTTTAGGGATTGTTCATTTGGATTTTTTCAATCCTCTCGTAGGATTGAAAAAAAACCCCAGCTTCTTCAAGATCTCCCAATCCAGAGCCTTATTATTTGATTAATTTAAGTTAAATACTTAATCGCCATATTTTGTTAACCCTTATTTTGTTAAAAATAATATTGGTTAACATTGTTTTGTGGTAGGAGAGTTAAAATAAATGCAAAGTTGAGCATAATAATGAGATGAAAAAATTAAATAAAAAATTAAATATAAAATATATTTACATTTATTTACAAGTTTTTTTTAAATTCCCCATAAAATGCATTTAATTTTTCCATGCATTCTTCATTAACCATTGCAGTGAATTTTCTAATAAATAAATATATTTAAATCGTATGAGTTATACAAACCAATATTTTGTCCAGTTTTGCATGAAATAAGATAGAACCCCAAAGGTCTACGCATTCCTGCTTCTTCAAGATTCCTAAAATAGTTTTTGGTAATATTTAGGTTTAGCGTTCATACTTCTATTTTTATTAATTTACACAAACTTACAATTCATTAAACAATTCATCGTGATCAAACGCTCCGCGCAGGTCTGCTTTATTTCCAAGTACCAACAAAGGCATTCCATCCAAAAGTGGCGAGGCCAATAATTGGTTTAATTCTTGTCTTGTTTCTTGTAATTTGAAACGTTCACTGGCATCCACCATAAAAAGAATTGCATCGGATCCTCGACAATAACGAGTCCACGCACTTCGAAAGCGCGGCTGGCCACCCAAATCCCACACTTTTATTGAGACTCTTCCTTTATTCCAAACTTGCCTAAATAATTTTAAAAAATATTTTGAAATAAAATAATTAAAAATACATATTAAAGCCAATTGTAGGAAGCTGTCTATTGAGAAAATGGCCCGTCTGTAAAATTAATTTTGTAAAAAAATTTTAAAAATTTTTGGCAGGGCAAAAATCCAACAATCAAGTTGTTTCTGTAGCTGGAACACCTTCCCCATAGTTGGAACACCTTCTCCGTTGTAACTAACAAACAACACTGCTCGCGGGAAAAAGATCCTAACGCATTTGGGCCAAGTTCTGTTAGCACCCAGTTTTGTCTGGACCGAGTTTTGGAAGCCTTTTTGCCCCTCACGCAAAAAATTAGGGATGTTCTTTAAGTTTCGCAACTCTATTTTCACTTTCAGTTCAATAATTTATTGTAGGGTTGGTCCCCGACCCCGACTAACCCCGACCCCGACCCCGAACCCCGACATTTTTTGACCTAAAACCCCGACCCCGACCCCGACATTCCCAACCCCGAAAACCCCGACCCCCGAAAGTTCGACCCCGACGACCCCGAACCCCGAAAAATTTTTATGCCCCCGACTCAAACTGCATTAATTAACTAGAGATGGAACGGGATCGGGACTTTGATGCTAAATATATGAAGGAAAAGGGAAAGGAATATTTATATTTTCTCCTGTTTCCCTTTGTTGGTCGATGGTTGAGTGGTTAAGTTAACTGACTTCAGCCATTTAGCTATTTTGATAGGAATGTTGTTCGAATCCAGGGATGGAAATAAGGCTGAGAAAATTTTTCTTCTCAAAAATAAATATTTTTAAACTATGATCTTGATTTTAAATTTGTAAATTTATTTTTTTAAATATTTTAAACTTGAAACAATATTAGAAATTTTAAACTAGTCATGAATTTTCCAAAATTTTCGCCTGCGGCGCAGAAAATTGAAGAAATCTGTCTCTTGGCCTTCCAAAATTCTAAAAATTTTTGCCTGCGGCGCCGAAAATGGAAGAAATCTGGCTCTTGACCTTCCAAAATTCTCAAAATTTTTGCCTGCGGCGCTAGACACAATGAAGGGATACAGAGGCTTTAGGAGAAATTGATGGATAGATGGATTTCTCCCGTTATCCTTGCAACTCCCCGATATCCCGTCAAATCCCTCTAAATCCCATTATATCCATCTTAATCCTCTGATATGCCTTCATATCCCCTCAATCCCTTTACATAAGAGGTGGAGTAAGAGTTACCTTGTGGGTTTGGGGATTTTGGGGATTATGAAGGATAACTTGGATAAAGTACTTCTTGCGCCTTCAACTAATCACGAATTAGATACAGAAAGTGAAGATAATGAAGATTAAGTTGATTTTTTAATAAAAATGTTGATTTTGAACAGTAATTTTGGATAAAAATGCTGGATTTTGTAAATTTTCACTTCAACCCCGACCCCCGACCCCGAACCCCGACATTATTTTCAGCCCCGACCCCGACCCCGAACAATTTGAGCAACCCCGACCCCGACCCCGACTTTGTCAACCCCGAAAACCCCGACCCCCGACTTTTCCAACCCCGAAGGCTCGGGGACCAACCCTAATTTATTGAATAATATTTTTTAAAAATTATGCTTACAGAAATAAGCTGAGTAAATGTTGTTTTACCGCAGTCCTGTAAACCCACAACGGCCAACTCCATTCGCCGTTTACAGAAAAACGAGCGAATCCATCGATAAAATTTGACAAATTTCCAATAGACTTTAGGACAGAACAGAAAAAATTTCATTTTTTTGATGTCAGTTTTAAGTTTTAATTTAATTTTAGATTGTGTTTGTAAGTAAAATTTCAAAAATCTAAGATTTGATAGCATATGAATTTGAATTTTATTTGAAAATGAAGGACGAATAAAAAAATTTTTTTAATAAATTTTAAAGATAAAGATGGAAATTTTAGAATAAAAGAAAGAAAAATTTATTTTTGGAATATCATTTGATTTTTTAATAAATCTCGAGGCTGGATTTTTGGATTTTACAACTGTGTAAACATTAATATTGATAAAATGCAAGAGAAGAAGTAACTTACGCAGCAATAAAATAAATCTTGGATGATTTGGAGTTTTGGGAAAATTTCTAAATAAAGATTTTTGTAAATTATAAATTCTCTATCTAACTTCTGAAAGCTTACTGAAAGATTAGCTAGCTAAATTAGCAGCAAAAAATGGCAGAGGCCAAAAATTGGGAAAAAATCAACAAGACAAAACATTAAAAATCATAAATAGAGGATAATAATAAATAAATTTTAGTGGATTTATTTGCTAATGGAGAGCTTCTCTCATTATTACGGAGGATATGAAGCTTTCTTTAAGTTGCATTAAGCATCAAAAATTTCTAAAAAAAATTTTGGCATCAAAAATCTTTTAGCGGAATGCTTTTTTCCTCTTTTCTAGCAAATAAGGAGCAAATAAGGAGGAAAAACGTTATTGCATCATTTTTAATTGAAAATAAAAATAAAACATTTTTTGACTCTATATTTCTGTCTCACACAGTTGGTAATGGAATGAATGGTCCTTCCAACAAGGAGGTCATCAACATTTTTTACTGACTAAAAACAGGTGCAGAGGTTAACTAAATATATTTTGAGATCCTCCCTCGTATAGTACATGTGTTTTTCTTATGCTAAATGGACCCAAGGCAACCCAGACAGGAAAAAATTTGTTTAAGAGAACAGCTGTTGTGTTTGAATTAATGACCTTAATATCTTAGAGTCTTAAGTTGGTATTATATTTATTTGTCTAAGATGTATGGCGATGAACAAATTTAAGAATTAAAGGCATAATAGCTTCAACAAACCATTCTGCCCGTATTTTTATCCATAAAAGGGAGATTTACCTATGGATATAGGCAAAAACTGCTAGATTTACCATGTCTCTAATGTCTATCCAAATTATTATGAAAAAATTTTTGGGGAAAGGGAGAGGAGAATTTGATGGACATTTTCGGCTTTTTCTATAAGAGAAAATTTGATTCTGGTGATGGATTAATTGTCTAGCAAAAAGTCAACTTTTAGTAAGTACAAATGCACTCAAAAATGTGAAATATTTATGAATTATTGAAAAAATACAACAAATATGTGCATAAATCTTTAACTTTAATTAAAAATAAATTATTTCTGGGAATTAATTAGGTGTCATCTTGGATTGTAAAACTGTTAATGGTTGACGCCTGGCATCTGATGCTTTGATCCGCTTGATTAAATCATATATATTATCTCCTTTATTTAGCTTTTCATATACTAAAAAAGTGTTTTACTTTTTTATCTTTGATAAAAGTGCCCAGATAAGAATGAGATAAGGGGCTACGGTAATATGCGTTGTAAAATACCTGCACATGCCGGTTCGGTGCCAAATATTGAATAAATTTAAAGCAGTGTGGTACTTTTGGTTACTGATAAATATTTATTTGGAATTTATTTTTTTTATCCGATACCAAATTATGTTTTACTGTGCTTATTATTTGACCTCCCTGTTAACTATACTCACAATCAGCCCCCCTCCAATACTTGTGTTCGGCATGAACACAATACTATCATGCTAGTTAACACTATCCGCTAACTCAACCTGCATCTATCCGTTTCCTTTCTTCTTCTAATCGTTGTATAATTTTTTGTTGAGGTACTTGATCACCAGGCTTGATTATCGAAAAGTCTGGTGCTGGAAATATGGACAAAGGAGTTGAAGAATGGGATGAAGTTGATGAAGAATTTATTCTATCCGTTGACACTGTTTGCTGTTAAATTACGAAATTAGAAACCCCTATGTTTTTAAAATTATCAGAAACCGTTTCAACTTCAGGGAGAACCCAATCATCATCTGCTGTTCTATGCTCTATTTTTCCATCACCAGTTACCTTTCCATGAAAACCTCCATCAGGCAACAACATTTGAGATATAATCTGACTCTCTCGAGAACGTTTTCCGTCATTTGGATGGAAGATTATTAGTTGGTCAAGAATATGGCCAGTGGGAGTAGCCTCTATAGTCTCGGAATGGATTGAATTCAGTAACCCTGGATTTTCAGAATATTTTTGTTTTTAAGCGTTAAAAACCCTGATCATGGTTGTTTTTACCCAAGTTAAGCTCTTCCCCTTCTTTTTCTTCAACCACATCTCCTTCAAACCTTTTTTTATTGCCAATACTTTTTCTTCCATATTTTTCAATCCTGCTTCCTTTTTTAGCATTAATGTCGTCTGTCATTTTGTTGATGATTTCCTATTTGAATTAATATTTTGATAGGTATTTTATAGTATTTTGTCCTATAATCCCTTATATCTTCTAATAGAAAAATACCCAAAACCTTCAGAATATGGTATTTATTACTCACCCATTTTTCTTCATTTCTCGGAGCATATCTTCGATTCTGCTTAGATTTTGCCTTCTTATCTTTACATTCTTTCCCTTCCTTACATCCATTTAATTCTTCATCCTTTCCAATTAATATAATATTTTTAACCAAATCCCCACTATTAATTCCTGGATGAGCTTTTGCTTGTAAATCAGCTTCTTCAAAATCAAATTCCATAGCTGCCATACTTTTTCTCTGCTCATCTAAAGAATCGCTTATTATTGAGTGAGACTTATTCACAGTTCCAGTCTTAATCGTAGCCTCATTATTTTCATTCGCCGGCTGCTCTCTTTGAGCTTTATTATTTTTAATATTTTTTGTTTTGATATGTTTAGGTGGATCTTCTGATTCTTCAGATTCATCAGACGAGGAAACTGAAGGTGAATGACTTTTTGGTTCAACTTCTGGGGAAGAAAGCTCTTCTACTTCAGCAATTGGAGTTGCTTCTGATAGCTTTAGAAGAGATTTTTTAGATTAATTAAAATTTTATAGAACTCATAGTTAATATTTTGTTTAATTTTATGGCAGAAGGTTGCTTTATAAATAATATTTATTCATAAAATAAATAAGAGGAATGTGCAACTTAATTAAAAATCGAATATAATATAAGGAAGGGAGGATCAAGCTCGGAGCATTTAATATCCTTAGGCGTGTGTTTAAAGGAGAATAGTATCTTAAGGCCGAAGGAGCTCAATTCGATTTTTAATATTAAAAATTAAAATTGAAAATTCTGGTTAGAGAGAATAAATATGTAAAATCAAGTTTTTGACACACTGTTTTCATAATAATTAATCATATTCTTCATGTTTTCCCTCTGGAATGGACGACTGTTCACGTAACATTTCCGGATCCAGCATCATTCGAAACAAATCTCCATACAAATTAGCTGCTCTATCGAATATTCGAAGTTCTGGAGCATTCTCCATCAATGTCTGTACCATATCCCCACCTCCTCTCGATACAGCTGAGTGGCTGTTATGAACAAGTGGAGAACTAAAGTGCCGACGACGCCAATTTCTTTCTCCATGAATTTGTTGAGGAACAGGATTGTGAGGTTGTGTAGTTATTGGATTTGTAGATGAGGGAGATGAGATGATGGAGGTGGAGGAGTTAGTAGAAGATGACAGAGAAGCCTGAAACAACAGCTCGAATTCGGTTTAGTTTAAAAAATGATAAAAATTTAGAAATTTATTTTTTAGTTTTTCTTGTAAATTTAATGCTTAAACCGAATTTGAGTGTGTTCAGAAGGTGGAGCGGAAAACTTGCTATCGCATGGTCATAATCATCTAGATTCTAGTTATCTATGTACGACATTGCTAAATATTGTTATAAATTTTATAACCATGCAATTGCAAGCTTCATTGTGCTATTCAGAAAATTTTACATAAAATCTTTGATTAAAAGTGCAAAAATGTTAGAAAATCGGGAAAAATTGTAACGTGTTTTGTGATATATTTTATTCAACCTTCTGACCATCTTTCGTTATTTAAGTTTTAAAATTTAATCTTTGTGCTATATTTTTTTTCAAATTTTATTTAAAATTAAAACCCAACCTTTTCAGAGCTACCAGATCCTTCCTTGCTTTCTTCCTTTTCTTCCACCCTTATTTTTTCTTCCTTCTCCTTTTTCACTTCCTTGATATTCTTCCTACCTTCTTCCTTTTTAATTTCATACTTTTTCTCTTCCTCATCCTCTTCCAAAACTTTATTAGTCTTTTCTATTAATTCCCCTTCTCCTCCTTTTTCCCCAATACCCATCATGTGTTGAACTTCAGTTATTATTTTTTCCAAATGTTGAATTCTGTCACGAACTCCATCCGGTTTTTGACGCTTTTCTTTGATTAAATTTTCAGCTTCATCCTTTTTCTTTTCAATAGATTCTTCTTTGCTTGATAAGGAACGCTCTAATGTTTCAGCTACGACTGAGAGTGGATCTGGGTGCTTTGTTGGCTTTTTTGTTTTTATTGTTTTATCCTCGTTTATTTTAGTTTCAGCTTCATTGTTTTCCTTACTTTTTTCTTCTTTGTTTGCTTCTTTATTTGAACTTGAAACTTTGTTAGTTTCATGCCTTGCTTCACTTAGTGCTTTAGATTTCGCATCGTTTCCTGATTCTTTTTCGTTTGACTCTGTTGCTTCAATCTTCGTTTTATGCTTTGCTTCAAGTTTTGCTTCATGTTTTGCTTCGTCTCTTGCTTCTTTATTTTCTTTCAATTTTGCTTCCTTTTTATTTTCTCGATCTCCTTCATTATTTTTGGAGTTTGTTGCTTCATTTTTAACATCATGAGTTGCTTCATTGTTCAAGCCATTCTTTGCTTCATCTTGCTTTGCTTCTTTACTCTCAACAGTTTTCTCTTGTATAGCCTCCGCATTTTCAGATTTCTTCCCAGATTTGTTATCATCCTTCTTATCTTTATCCTTAAGTTCCAGACTTTGTTCCTCTCTGATCTTTTCTTCGGCTTTATTCTGTGCTAATATCTCCTCGTTCTTCTTCACATCCCTTATCTCATTGTTTATTTTATTCTTAATTAGATTTGCTTCAACTTTTTCTTCTTTATTTTCCAAATCCAATTTCTTGCTTTCATCCCGAATATTAGTTGATTTCGGCAATAAGTTCTTCCTGTCTTCCTTCTCTTCCTTTTCATCATGCTTTTCCTTTTTTGTTTTTGTCTCTTCACTTTTTAACTTTTCTTCTTCAATGTCCTTCTCTTTGATTACCTTCTTTTCTTCCTTGATCTCCCCATCTCGATTAACCTCGTTCTTCTTCAACTCATACGATTTTTTCTCGTTTTCTTCCTTCCTTTCTTCATCCTTCTTCACTTCCTTATCTTCTTTATTATTCTCTTCAATTTTTTCAATCTTATCTCCTTTCTTAGTTTTCCTTTCATCAACAATCGTAATTTTTTCATTTTCTCCCTTCTTATCATCTTTATCGTCATTTTTAATTTTATCCTCATTCTTCTCTTCCTTTTCACTTATCTTTTCTTCGCTGATCTTCTCAACATTTAGCTTATCTTCTTTAATTTTCTCATCATTTTTTTTATCCACTTTAGGTGTATTCACAATATATTTATTTTCAAGTGTGTATTGTTTAATATTCGATATCTCATCATCTCCCAATTTTTTCTCGGTAATTTGAACAGATTTTGCTAAAAAAAAGTTTGAATTCAAATAAAAGTTCTTTTTATTATTCTTACATAAATTCTGAATATTTTTATTCTCCCTTTCATTATCACTTGAATTTTTGTTTGAAATCGTGTTTCGATCTTCTGTTAAATCTGAAGGATCATTAGAAATAATTAAAGGCTTCTTTGGATTTAACGATGATTGAATGTTTTCTCTTGAGTTTAAATTGATTATCTGAAAATGTTTGAAGTTAATTTTGCAGAAATTTAAAAAGTTTATAGGCTTATAGGGTGTATTCAAGTGTTAGAGGCTTATTTAACTAAAGGATTACTGTATTTACTTATTTCTCGTACCTGGCTTTTTTCACGTACAGAAAGCCCGCTTTGCCCACGCATAGATTCAGAAGAATCGGAAGCCTCTTTTTCTCGTAAATTGGCCTCCTCTGTTCCAGCAACTTTCAAAACTTTACTTTGTTCCTCTTCAAGCTTAGTACTTTTAGTTTCTTCATTTCCCTCCTTCAATTTCTCTTGATTATTCTTTTTATTATCAACACTGGAAGAAGCAGAAACGTGTGATTCAACTCGTCGTAAAACTACAGCTCCTCCTGTCGGCCTAGTGCTTTCCAATTCATTAGGAGGTTGTTCATCTTCACCTCCAATAATTTTTGATGTTGCGTGTTGTGTTACACCTCCAACTTTTGATACTTTCTTTTCTTCCACAACTTTTTCAACATCTTTTACTAATTTTTGTTCAGGAGGTGAGGATAATTTATTTGTTGCTTCCTCATTTTTATTTAGTATCACCTTCTTTTCTACAATAGTTTTATCCTCTAAAACAGAGTCTTGATCCTCCTTATTGGTTTTTAAGTTTTTCTCGAGTCCCTTAGGGTTTTCTAATTCACTCTTCTCAGTGATACTATCCGTCTTCTCACCAGTAGTCTTTTCTAAAATCGGTATTATACTTCATTGTTCCCAGATTAATCTCACCTTTATTTTGGGTTTCGCTGTTTCCCTCTACTTTATTAAATGCCCTTTCCCAATAGCCTTCTTCCTTGGCACCAATTGGTAATGAACAATTCTTTTTATCCTCCTCTCTATCAGAAATCCCGAAAAATGTTAAAATGTCTTCCAGCTTTTTCCATAATGGATTGTTTAAAGATTCATGCTTAAGTTATTTAATTTTGGTTAGGATGACAATAGGATTAGTATTTCACCTCAATATGTTTTTCATGACTCCGTTGGCACACAAAACGATAGTTGAATCCAGCACCTGATCCCAAATCACAATCAACATCGTCTAGGCGACGTTCGTTTATGTTAAGTAATGCACAACGCTCTTTCCCCTTTGCATGATCAAATGGCTCTCCCATTGTCCATTTTCTAGATTCATTTATTGCTTTAGTATTTTAATTTGAAATTTACGTAATTTCCAAGTTTAACGGCTTCCCATTTACCCAACGCCATTCACGAGATGTCAAGGCACTATCACTATTGCTGCCAGCCTCCCCTTCTATTGTATCAAGCAACAATCCAATTTGCACTTGTCTTTCACGTAAATGGTTAAATTGGGGTTTATAGTGAGATAAAAGCCATTGCTTAAAATTTCCCATTTAATTAAAACTTTTTTAATTCAATCACCATTTCCTCAATCGACTCAATACTAACAAGATCAGCATTTTGTGCAAGACATTTTTCCCGCGCACTTAGCCACGATTGTTTTCCAATATGGAATTGATATTTTTGGTTTTGCGGGCCAGAAATCCATGGAGCCTGTTCACTCGGAACGGATTCCACAGGCTGTAAACGAAATAAGTCTAAGCTAGGCTATATTTCATTCATCACCTGATTTCTGTCATCATCTGTCTGATAAGCTGGATCCATTTTATTAGCATAGGCTTGGAGCACTTTTATTAATTAATCACATTTTATTTTTTAAATTTAAAATTCAAATTTACCAAGTAAAGATGCGACTACGCACCTGATTGATGTCCCCAACATTATTTTAAAAAATTTTCTAAATTTCTTTAAAGTATTTAAAAATCAAATAGAGGTATTATATCTTGAGTAAAGTGAAATTACAAAGACAAAACTGAACTTATATTTGGGTTAATTTTAAGTGAACAGAAGTTTTTTTGTTTTAGTGAAATGGTTTTATTTCGGATTTGCGCAGTAATAATGACTTGAAGGCTTTTAAAGGAGAGAATCTATAACCTATTAGAGGTGACCGGGTATATTAAAAATGGTAAAAGGAGCGACTGAAAGGCTAAATTGACGAATTTTCTTTAATGTTATCGGCAAAAATAAAAAGCCGGCAAGTGTGTTTAGCTGTAAAAACTGACGGCAGAACCATTTTCTTCGTTTTAAATGTGAAGAAAAAATGATCAAGTAACGTAAAAAGCAGCAAAGAAACAACAGATTTATATTCATTAATGACCGAGAGCTTTTTAAATGACAAAAGAATTTAGTGACTTTATAGTTTTTAGATTTTTAATGGGTCAGTTGATTCGGTAGTGAAAAGAAAACCGCGTTAAGGATAAAGAAAAACAAGAGTTTTTAGTGTGGCAGTGGCGCAACTACCTTATAATTCTCGCTCAAAGTTGATGGAGTATTATTTATACCCTTCCAAAAATGGGGCTCCAAAGATGTTTTCGCGCGTACTAGGGCAGAAAATTTGTGTGAATTAGTAAGAAAATTTTGATAAAAAATTTTGTGAATTACATTAAATTTTGTTTTAAAAATGTCGTTTTTTAATCCTCTTTTATGGGATTTACGAAGGGAAGAACGGCTTTACTTTGATAAAAAATGAGAATGAATTCTAGTAGATTTTATGATCATTTTTCTTAATTAATGAGTAATCCTTTGGATGAAAGCTTTAATTAAATAAAAAATTGGGGTAATTACCTGACTAGTTTTACTTTGAATTTCAAAATATTTTTTGATTAAGCATGCATGAGAAAACAAAAAAAATTACCTTTAAGCATTAGTAGGTTAAAAAGCAATTTTTTTGGTGCTCTCAAGTCAAAAATATAATTAAATTTTAAATTCGAATTTGAAGCTTAATAAAAATTTAGAAAAAGTATTTGACGAGGGTGGGATTCGAACCCACGCCCTTTCGGACTGGTGCCTAAAACCAGCGCCTTAGACCACTCGGCCACCTCGCCATGACAGGAGATTTCCAACATTTGCTATTTATGTTGAGAAGGAAGGGGCTGTTTCTAGCCTCACATAATGCGCTGCTCTCGACTGGAAATAGAACAAGAGGCAAAAATATAATAAATTGTCGCATTTATAGTGGTAAATATACACTAGTATTGATTTTAAAAAGAAGAGGATTTTTTAAAATTGTAAAAAAATTTAAAATAAAATTTTGGACATGCAAAAAATTATTTAAAATATTTTTTAAAATTATTTCTAAATTTCTTTTAAAAATCTCTAAGCATTCAGTTGACATTTACCTTCTATTTTTGATGAAGAACAATACCTTTATCCTCATCTATTCCATCTTGTTCTTCCAATTGCTCCTGACGACCCCAACGTCGTCGCCATTCCTGTACTCGATCAACAGCTTCGGTAAAACTAAGGGATTTGGCCATAGCCTAAAATGACGGGATTTTTATGAATTCTGAATTTTCAGAATTTTTAAATATTTAAGAACATTTCAGAATAAATTCAGATACCATGCTAATTATTCCACACCATCCATTCTGGTCTAATCTTTTTAAAGGTGCGCGAAAATGACGGCAATAAAGAAACTCGAAGGCCAAGCATATCAAGCTCAACAACTAAAAATTTTTAAAATTTTAAATATTCATCAAAAATTAGTTTACAATTCCAACAGCTAGAAGGAAAAAAGCACTCAAAAAGTTCTCAACTCCAAGGGGAGAACTGCCACTTCCTTGTGTATTAGTCTCTGGAGAACAAGCACCGGTTAACCAAAAATTTTGAAGTCGTTCTAAATCCCCTGGAGAATTTTTAAAAAATTTTTAATTATTGTTTTAAAATATTTTACGACCCCTTTGTTGGTATTGAAGCATAAAATGATTTACACGTGAAACTAAAGGTGAATTTTTTGGGAATCCAATGCCATATCCGGTCATGCTTGCCCACTTGCCAACTGTCATTAATCCGCAATTGGGATCTTTTCCTGCCTGATGATCAAGAACAACAGCATCATAAATAAATGCATCCAGCTCTCTTTGAATTAAATTTGAAAATAAAATTCTAGTTTTTAAAATACCCTCTTCGAACTGACTCAACGCCTGCAGAAATATTATCTCTATAAAATTGGTTTTGTTCGACATAAGAATGCATTCTATGCCAGTTTCTACGCATTGTTTCGTGTGTATTTCCTCCTTCAACAGTCCCAAAGCGGAAAGGAGGATTTTGAAGTTCGGGGAAGTTTAATTTCTCATCATCAACACCAACAAGTTCGTAATATTGTACTCGTGTTATCATAAATGCTGCCAGGTTAGCTGTCTAATAATAAATTCTAGGTCTAATTAAAGAAAACAGATTACTCACATAAATTCCGCCTAATGAGATACCGAAGGCTGCCCAAATCTAAAGTTAACTATAAAAATGTTAAAGAGGAGGATCTACCAATGACATAAATCGGCTGACAGTTGATCGAGGAACGTCTAAAAATTCTCTAAGTTTTTAAGGGGATAATAGAGAGAAACCAGTGCTAACTGAGGCACTAAATAATGTGGCCCATACAAGCCAGTAAGAACGGCAAATTGAGAATTTGTGCCCTGCATTTAATTATTAATTAGCAATAAATCCAAACCAGGTGGAGGATAATTTTTCATATCAAAACTATCAGGACTGAACCATTCAAATAAAAAAATGGATAGTGCAGCTCCTTGAATGCTAACAACTAGAATTATAGCCCAGGTACTATACTCGAAGGGTTCTAAATTTTTTAAAAAATTTCAAAAGGATATACTGTAGTACCAAGAAATGCAGTTGGTGATAGCACACCACTACGAATTTTAACCAGAATAGATATCCCAGTTTCCAAAAATGGAATAGAAAAGTCAACATCTCGGGCTCGTTCACTATTCAGCTTAAGTGAGGTTACACACCTTGAGTTTAATTTTAATTTATATTTAAATTCCAAAGGATTTACATATCAGCTTTGTTTGTTACCAGATCCTGAATTAATCCGTTCCAGCCCTTTTCCTAAATTCTTGGAATTTAATATCTTAACAATATCAATCTTCCTACTGTTTTTATTCCCCATTTTTCATCTCTCACTTTATAAAGTGTATAGCTGAAACCAATATCTGCAGCTAATTTGTTTAATAAATCCACACAATAACCAGTACAGCATTTCCATAATGTTGTGTTCCTTTAATTAATTTTATGTATTATCTAATCTTAAACAGATTAACTCAAATCCCCAATCACATGGAGTTCCTTGGCTCCCTGGGCATTGTCCAGTTTCAGGATCCAGTTCAGTAACCACAACAAAAGGAGGCTCGTGCAGTGTAACAACTCTAATATGAAATTTGTCAGGTGTTCCCTGTGGGGGATTTGCCTTCCCCTCTGGCCATTCCATGTCTGCCATTCTCAGTTGGCCACCAGTAAATTCCCCTGTAATTATTAACAATCCCTACTAGAAATTTTTGCTTGGAATTTTTACCAACTCTTTCCCAATGTAACGCTCCCTGTTCTCCATCTATTAATAAAGAATCTTTTGAACGTTTAGTTCGTAAATTGGAGATTAGTAAATGCGAATCACGCAAGGTTCCTTGATCTGTAAATGCGTAAAAGAAGGAATCTAAACCATCTTTCGCGTGATGAGGATTGCCTTTGAGAAAAGATGAACGCATATTTCTTTAAAATTGGGATGATTTCTTTATAGAAATTTAAGTCACTCACTCGTAAATTTGTTTGCCCAGGGGCCAACTAGTTATTCTACTAGAGTTACAACTAGCAGTTGAGGAAATATTCTGATCAAAACTTTTGTTAAATAAAAGTTTTGCTAATCCAAGACCAAAAAACTTGAAAAAATTAAATTTTAGAACAAATAAATAGGATTTAAACTTTTGGTGCTAATCCAATAATCATTGGAAGCACATCATCCGCTGGCGGGAACATTGCATTGGAGGTCTAAAATACCCTACAATTAAGCTTAAAATCTCCATTTACCGTATGAAAATTAACACTAAGCATTCCTGCTTTAAGTGGAGGTTGAGCTGTTTGTGTCCATCCTTTTACTGATTGCGTGCCAATCCAAAGATAATTTGCTGATAAGAGACCCAAAGTATCGGCAATATAAAGAGCTCATAATTATCATTAGAAAAGTTAAACTGAACACACCTGAAATATGCGTCTAGTTCTATCAGTAGTACTATATAGAACGATAATTCGTGCTTCAGAATTTTTTAAAGCTGTTAGTCTCTGTTTAATATGTTGATCACCTAATTCTGAATCAATTTCTTCGTGATGTACAACCTCGAATCTACCAAATTTAATTTTAAAATTTGACAAGATAAACTTGAATGAACGGTCTTCTTGGGCCTGTATCTCGTTTTGAAGCATTTTTAAGAAATTCTGGCTTCCCGCCATTTTAGACATTACAACTCCGAATCTTGCCCATTGGTAGCGTCGGAGTAGTGCAAGGATAGCTCGAACCTGATGTTGAATTGGCGGTGCAAGTTGTAGGATAGAATAGTGTGACATTGGCTAATAGTATGGGGCTATAAGTGGGAGATTTAATTTTATCTCGAATACTTTTGGAAATGTAAATCCGGCATTATCAGCATTCCAAGCAATTATGGGTATTCCAGTTTGAACTGCCATTTGTAGAAAGTACTGCGCTGCAGCTGTGGATTCCCCAAACTCTTCTGAAGCGGACACGAAAACAATTAGAGCAACTCTTTGAGCCGTAACCACTCCACAAAGACAATCAAGAACATGTGCAGGAAAGAAACGTCCACGAGGAAGAATACAATCCAGGGGGGCCAATGTGAATTTTGTTGGTAATTTTCGGAGGGTTCTAAAAGTATGTCAGGGGGTTCATATGAAACCGGTTAGGTTACGTGATTGACTGGCCACTGTTTATATTTCTGATGGACTCTTTGAAAGCTTTGTCGTAAACTAAATCGTGAAAGATTTAGTGGTTTTATTATATCCAACTAACCTTTGGAACGTGCATAATTCTAAAAAATTATAAGATACCTTTAACTTTCAAAATTAAAAATTTTATTTTGCCTGATAAACAAGCGCGATGTGCACCACCTGTTTTTGTTTACCCTCGTGCCGCGCATGTTGATTAAAAGTGTGATTAGTAGAGGCGAATATATGGAAGTGCAAAGTTAAAATAATTAAGGTATAAGCTTCAAGATACCACATATTTTTTATTTTGAGGAATTTTTGAAAACATTCGGTTTAAAAATAAACAAACACTAACAATAAGGGATAAAATAGGGAAGGTTTAATAAGTTCCTTCTCAAGGGAAATTCAAAGGATATTGGATAAACTAAGTTGGAAGTAAACCTAATTTGCCAAAATAAAACTTTTAAACACTTAAAGCTTAGACTAGAAAATTGTTCCCATAAATTTGGACCTCTTAAAAAATAATATTTAATAAAAAGATTTAATATTTTACTCATATTTTCAAGAAATTTGGAGTTATCTACATACATAAAGTTCGTTGACATAAGCAGGTAAATAAATATATAATAATTGTAAGTAAGACTAGGGAACCGGATTTGTTTTTAAAAAATTTCCAGCGAGGATTTAGCCTCATAATTCTGTTCAGAATCATCAATCAAATATGATGATTCTGAACAGAATTCTATACAGCTTGAAGAGCTCTTTCGAATCATAATATAGGTATGTATCAAGCAAAAATTCTCAAAATAGTCAAGGAACCGAAAAAAGATAATTTTAAGACCAAACTAGAAGCTGAAAAAAATCTCGAATTAAAATCCGGTCCCTAGACTTAAAAAAGATAAAAAATTATTTTGGGCAATACATAGAAAATCAAATATTAAGTAGAACAGATAAAAATAAAAATTTCGAGGTGAATCTTAAATACAAGAAATAAATTTGATAAAAGATAAGAAAATGCAAGTTGGGAAAATTATGGCAGATAAAAATTATAAAAGTTCGAATCCAACAAAATAACGAAATTTTCGAATAGTGAGAATTTATTTGCTTTTAAGCCTCAAGGAATGATTGCTGGAGACCGGTGCTCCCTAAGCCTGAAAAAAATTTTTATTCACCTCCTATAATTTAAAAAATTTCAAACCTTTCAGCAGACATACTTCTTACAATTGTTTGTCCATGCAATGCAAGTTTATCTTCATAATTTCTGCTAAGTGCTTCCAATCTACCAGCCCTTTCCTTATAAAGCGGCTGCAATGGCAATTGAATATCGTTAGCTATGGCAAGAGTACGTAAATCGTAGTAATATTTTGCATAAATTGAACTAGGCACGTTAATGTTAAATTCAAGACATTCCAGAAATTGTCTTTCCAGTTCATTCCTTTGGAATAAAATAATAAATTTTGATTTCCCTTCAGGTCCCTTGATATCCCTTCAAGTCAACCTTAATCCTTTCAGATCCTCTTATATCCCATCAAATCCTCCGTAATCCTTTCAGATTACTTGATATTCAAAATATCCCTTTAAATCCAAATTAATCCTTTCAGATAAACAATATCACTGTCCTCCGATATTCCAAAGATCCCTTCAATTCCCCCATAATCCTTTCAAATCCTCTGATTCCACTCAATTATTTTTTAATTAACGCGCTACGTTAAAAAATTCCGATCACTAATTAGTAAATAAAAAAATATTCTTTACATATCATCAACGTTAGTGTCTCTTAATATTTGGCAATAATCAACGTTCCAAACAGCTTGATCATCCCAAACTTTTGAAGCCAACATTATTGACCCCAACACTATACGTCTCCAATTTGATGGACATAAATCTAATTCAGCATAATTTAATAATCGTTCAACATAAACTAAAGTTATTATTGCACATTCAGCGGTAAGTTGAGCAGCATGAAAGAGTGTACGAATGAAACGATAAATTTGGCGATGTTCGGCTAAGGAAAATTTGTTTAAAAATATTTTTAAGCTTAGCTTACGATCACGTGTAAAATTTTCTGGTGGAACAGGTTCACTCTAAAAATTATTTGATTAAATTCTAGGGTAAAACTCAACAAAGTCCCAACTCAACTGAGTCCCGGACACTATACCTTACGAAGGATGGTCACTTTTTTATGTTCTTGGTACCATTGGATAGAGCATTAAATATGCTACAATATACGAAAAAATCAAGTTTCAAGGCTGGGTGATAAGAAAGTTATGATCGATAAAGTGAACCAAGCTATCTATTGATACTAAGAAGTAATTTGTTACGACGAAAATTTTGTTAGCCGACGAAAATTTTGTTAGCAAGTGAAAATATAATGCTGGGTATTGGCCATTATTAGCTCCGGCACCTACGGCAAATAGATGAGAGTTTGGGGATGTAAGAATAAGAAGAAAAAAGAGGCCAACTCCTTATAATTTTTTCAAATTTTCTCGGGTCTGTATCTCCTCCAACTAGATAGCATACACCAATCCGTCGATATTCCCTTTAATTCCCCAAATTCACCTTAATCCTTGCAAATCCTACGACTTCTTCTTTTTTAAGATAATTTTGAAAATTTTGAGCTCAAGAAGTCAGATTTCTTTCATTTTCAGCGCCGCAGGCAAAAATTTTGGTAATTTTGGAAGGCCAAGAAGCCAAATTCGTCCAATTTTAGGGTTATCCTCCTAATCTCTTGACATTCCCCCAATATGTCCTACTTTTTTTTGCGCCGCAGGCGAAAATTTTGAAAATTTTAGGACTACACTGAAAATTTTGACTTGTTTTTTCACTTTTTTTAAAAAGGAAAATAAATTTCTAGTATAAAATAAAAACTAAAGTTTAAGATTATTAGTTTTTGGAATTATAATGAAAATAAGTTAACTCTCCAACTTTGGACTCGAACCCAGTCCCATGCAAGAAACAAATTAAATGACCCATAAAGTAACCACTCAACCACACACAATGTCATGCGCAACAATGAAAAAACTTATTTATTGAAGGAGAAATTAGGAAAATATTTTGGCGATGTGTGTTCTGTGAATTAAAATTGCCAAAAAATTCCCAAAAAATTCCATCTTTAGGGGTGTATTTTATAAACCGAAACCGGTCGGTTTATGTCACCGGTTTTCGGTTTTCGCCGGTTTTTGACCCCCGGTTTTCGGTTTCGGTTTATTGGCCAAAAACACCGGTTTTCGGTTTCGGTTTCGGTTCGGTTAACCGACCGCCAACAACCCTACTAAGAACAGTAAAAATTATCACCCTCTTCTTGTGTTATAAATTCTACTGAAGATAATCATAAAATATTAAATAAACTAACAGTAATTGGGTGAAGTCTTTCTTCAAAAATTTCCATTAAACGTTCCTTTCCACGATTTTTTCTATTCGAGATATGATAAAAAACTGCCAATGAAACACAAATTATTGTATTTTTTAAATGTGGTTGTGAAATTGTAGAATCATCCATATATATTGTTGAACAACTATTTGACTTTTTTAAGGTCATTGGGGCATGGAGGTTGTTTAGGTCTAACACGTAGAAAGACCGTCGATTGTCTCGTACTAATATTTTTTTAATTTTAAAAATACTAAAATTAAAATACGTTTCATTTCACTGCGACTGCGTTCAACAAATGTTGGACGAACTTTGGGTTGTGTAGATGGATCTTGTTCATCTTCTAAGAATATTATTTTAAAAATATTCTTAAGGTATCGGCCTGGATCTGGATCCAGACTTTGAATTTTTCCTGGATCTCAAGTTAAAGGCATTTTTCAGTGTTCCTTATTTTTCCTTAACTCAGGTTCAATAATCTGGTCAAGGTTCTCAACCAAAATTAAGAATCAAGGTCAAGGTTTTTTTCAAATTCCGACCTCTAAATATTTCTATGGGGTATTTTATGGGATATTTTTTCAAAATTATAAAATATTCTAATCAAAATAAAATTTAATAAAAACCGTCTGGAACTTCTCTTTCGCTGATATGAGGCAAGAAATTAACAGAAGTATCTCTCTCATTAAGTAGGTGATTATCCTTTAAAGTTTGTTTTAATTTTTAATTAATATTTTTAAAATTAAAATACATATTTACTCTCTCTAGGAGAGGTTTTTCTCTTTGATAAATTTGGTGCATGACGTGCGCAGCAGTTCTTGTTGCCCATAATTAAAATATTTTAACTTATAGAGGTTTGTTAAGGATTAATTTTTATCATTTTTTAATATTCCAAGACTCAATGACAAGATTATTGACATCATACTTAATTTGCCCCCATTGACCGGGATGAATTTTCGTTAATAAACATAATGCCAAAAAATTGATTTATTTTTTACCATTTTAAATTTCACTACAGTAGATAACTTTAATTAGGTCAGAGGACCATTAGGAAATTTTACAGAATCCTTCCAGAAGTCTCGGCTCTTAAACAACTAACGAGATTACAGGGATCCCTCCCGTATAGCAGGGGTCCCTCCCGCGCGACATGCTGAAAAGAATCCCGTTACGGAATCCCGGGAATGCGATTTGCCATCTCCAATTAAGGTCAATAAAATAAAAAAATACCACACAACGTGTTAATATGAAAAAAACATCTTCGAGATTATATCAAAGAATTATTTTATAAAGTTTTTTTTGTGTAAATTCCCCCACTCGCTAATTTCCAATCCTTAAATAATTCATAAATAAAATGGAAAGTTTAAAATTAATATTAATTTTATTAGTTATTGTTGTAATTTTGGCATTATACACAATGAACACTGCTATTTGGCCTTATTCTTCAGGGTTTCAAGTAAAATAATCTGGAACTAGTTTCGTAAAGAGTAAAAAAATTTTCAGATGGGTACAGGAGCATTGGTGACCAATTTTTAATTTTATTAAATTCTAAATTAGGGTAACACCTAGTCCCCGATTTTTTGGCAAAACTCCTCCCGAACCCCTAAAACTACACCAACATAAAAGTCAACCCCGACACTTGAGATGCGCTTCCCGGCAACCCCCTATGCCCGACCCCGAAGTCTGGTTGCTACCCTAGTCTAAATTTTAAAAAACCTTAAAAGGAAAAAATCAACGATAAGCCGCCTTGTCAACTTCTTTCAGAAAAATATCAATTTATTGGACGTGCATTTCGTCATGAAATTATGGAATTTTTTCTATTTGTAAATAACACTTATAGCCTCAATGTGACAAAACATAGGAATATTTATAAAATGGTTGACAGGAATTTTAAAAAATCAAAAAAATTTATTTTTAGATAATTAAACGTTTGAAGGACATTACGAGTGGATTTTCTAACCCTGAAGTTTCAGAATTTGCGAGAATGCCTGATTTAGAGCGAAATATATCTATGAGAGGTGAAAATGTTTTGAAAGAATATAGATGTCTTTAATGAATTATTTAAAGATTTTTCACATCTTTCTGGAAAATTTTTGGACCTTTCACAGCTTCATTTTAAGACAATAAAAGTTAAATCCCTCCTAAAATACTAGAATGTCTAGAGGTATTCAATCCCCGTTTTTACCTTCTCCAAATAGCTAAAAATGGTTAGATTTTCTCTACCAACTTCTAGCTGGTAACCCTTTTAGTATAATTTACTTAATTTTTACTAATTGAAGCCCATAAGGAAACAGAATGAAGTTGCTAGAAAGGAAACTGACCATTTTTAGTTATTTAAAAGGGAAAGAAAAAATGAGAGGGTCAGGGGTACTAAATTAAATATTCCATTCTTGGATTTTATTCAAACGAAAAATGAAAATTTAAGTCAAAAATAATTTGTCAACATTAAACAATTTAATTTTTCGATTTTTGTGGGTATATTTAAGTTTAAAACATCAAACCAAAACTAACAATAAAGGCTCATCTCCATCTAACGAACCGCAAGAACAACATCATCTATTTTAAGAATTGCGCGAACACATTCAGCAGCTTGTTTAATTGCAAAAGAAGTAACCAAAAGTGGTTGGAGAACATTTTCTTCCAAAATATTTGTTACAGCCCCCTAAATAAAATTTTATTAAAAACAATTCATTAATTTATAAAAATAACCATTCGAACGTTGACTCCAAAATCTTTGTTTCCAGCAGAATGTTGATTACGTAATTCTGTAACCGTTCCAATTGGAGAAAGTCCAGCATTTTCTGCCAAGGTATAAGGAATTAATTCAAGCGCCTCAGCAAATGCCTAAAATAAAAAAGGTGTCAAAAACTAGAAAATTTTCAATTTATCGTAATACTCTAATATAAACCATGAGCTTCTATTTTTCAATAAATCTCCTCGTTAAGGTTACTTATAATAAATACATACGGCACCAAAAATTAGGCTAAAAGAATTTATAAATAACCTTCCAGCAGTATTGTTCCGCTCCCTGTTTTGTTTGCGACGCACTACGAAGTTTGACCGACACTTGCATTTCTGGTGCTCCTCCGCCTAAAACATAAGTTTTTTTATATAAAATTAAAGTAAAATTGATAAACCTGGCAAAAGAGCTCTCTTCTTTACTAAACAACGTATAACACACAAGGCATCATGTAAAGATCGTTCAGCTTCTTCCAACACAAGTTTACTCGACCCTCTTATTAAAATTGAAACAGCATTTCCACTTGATTTGAGACCAGTGACCTTTAAAAGAAATTAAAATACTTGAAGAAATAACCCCTTTATTACTCAACCTTAACAACTTTCCCATCGGCCGTCTCTATTTCCTCGACTAAATCAGCAGTTCCAAGAGTTTCAGGCGTAAAATGATCCACAGAAGCAACAGGACGGCATCCCATAATTTTTGAGTAAAATTCAATATCTTCACGTTCAATATCCTTAATGACCATGATTTTTAATTTTGCAAAAAAATGTAAGGCCAATTCGTTGACAGCATCGCTTAAAAATTTTAAAAATATTTTATAAAGAATTGGCAACCTTCTTTAAAAATAAACTAACCGCAAGATAGACTTTTGAATTAAAAGAACATTGCATCCCGTCTTTTTAATTTGTTTGCACAATTCCAAAATATAATTACGTTCTTCTTTAAGTGCTCTATCCATTTGTGTGTAGTCAGAAATAACAACTTGATTTTCCATCTATAAAATTATTTTTATAAATAAAACTCTTAGAAAACAAACATTTGTTTTGGGAGGCGATATCTGGAATTGAATAAGTCCAATTTTGGCCTTCTCAACACGGCTAGGCCCTCCATGTCCCATTGAATTTTGTTCAATTAAAGCGCCATCAATTAGTTGAGATACATCGACAGTCTCCCCAAGTTTCTTAACAATCTTGATCATTCTTAAATTGACATTTTGATCATCCATGTTGGTCATTATTTTCTTAACGGCTTGAACGGCCATAGGAGCGAGAATTTGCGAGTGTTGAGAGACGACCTGAGAGAGTAAATGTTAATCCTGGTTGATAAAAATAAGTACAGGTATTGGTATAACCCACAATTACCGAACTTGAGTACCCGAGTTCCCATAAATATGCTCACAAAAACTGGTTTGGGATAACTCACAAGCAGGCCCGTAGCCAGGGGGGGTGAGGGGGGAATTCCCCCCCCCCCCCGAAATGGGAAAAAGGAAAAAATTTGGGGAAGGGCTGGGGCAAAAAAAGTGAATTTTTTGGCCTACGGCCTCTGAAATTTAAAAAATTTTCGCCTGCGGCGCTAAAAAAGGAAGAAATCTGGCTTCTTGAGGTCCAAAATTCAAAAAATTTTCGCCTGCAGCGCTGAAAATCAAATTTTCGGCGCCTGCGGCGCCGAAAAAGTGAATTTTTTTGGCCTACGGCCTTCTAAAATTCTCAAAATTTTCGCCTGCGGCGCTGAAAATAAAAATTTTTGGCGCCTTCGGCGCCAAAAATTTGGCGCAGAAAAAATTTTCCCCCATTGGCCCCCCCCCCCGAAAAAAAATCCTGGCTACGGGCCTGCTCACAAGTACCAAGGAAATAACAAAAACCTTTGAATTAAGACTTGTAGCAGCCAATTTAATGAGTTCTTCATCGTTATTGATATCAACAGGAGTCGACATTTCATCCAAAATCTTTTCCGAAAAAGCAGCAGCACGGCGAAATGAGTCTGATATTGTTGTTGGGTGAATGCCTAGAAAACAGAATAAAATTTGAAATATCGCAAGAAAACCTTTAGCAAGCAATTTTTCTGCCGCATCGAGTAGAGAACCTGCCAAAATTACAACAGTAGTGGTTCCATCTCCCGCCTCAATATCCTGAGCTTTTGAAAGTTCGACTAACTAAAAGTGAAATTAAACCAATTTAAATAAAGAATTAAAAATTTAACCATTTTAGCAGTTGGATGAACAACAGACATTTGATTCAAAATTGTTGCCCCATCATTTGTAACAGTAACCTCCCCATTTGCTGCTTGAATCATTTTGTCCATTCCTCGCGGGCCTAAACTCGTACGAACGGAATCAGAAACGGCTTTAGCTGCGACAATATTGCCAGTTCGTACACTTTCAGGTTTGTCTTTCTCTTTAAATCCATTTCCCAAATTGGGATTATTAGAAGCTACTGCAGCTGTCATTAATGCAAAATATTCTAAAATTTTAATAAATTTGATCGAAAGATAAAATAAAGCAAAAATATAAAGGAATAAAGGCGCTAGATCAGCGCAAGGTTCAATATTTTCCCATTCCTCGTGGGAAAACGAATTAAAAAATAAAAAGAAATTTTGGTACTCAAAAATTCATACTCTAACTTGATGCGCTGCGGTAAAACCCGTTTCAGAGTAGCCGTTTCAGAGTAGAGTAAAAGTACCTTTTTCTAAAAAGTACCTACGGTAAAAGTACCTTCAGTACCTTTGAGTACTCTGAAAGGTCCCCTACCCCGAAAGATCAATATACCTATTTTGTTTACCATTTTGTCGCAAACCATTTTTTCGTTTTTGCCTTCGTGTCATTTTGTCAGGGCTAATTTTATTGATTTTTCGATTTTCTTAAATTTTTTTTTCATTTAAGTTTAGTATTCTTTAAAATTTAAAAATGTACAACAACGTTGGTTTGTCAACAGCTCGTGGTGCCGGTACTAATGCTTATGTTCAGTCAAACGTTGCTAATCTTAGCTTTTCACGGGTATTTTTTAGTTATCTTTTTCTTCAAAATTTTCTTCGTTTTCTTTTAGAATAAAATCGTTTACAATGCTGAAGAAGGATATTGCTCGTGCCGAAGCAGAAGTAAATAAAGCATCAAACTTGGAGTTGTTGGATCCCGAATATAAACGGTTAATTGAAATTAAATGTGTGGAATTTGAAGACTTGATGGAAGGAGAGGTTTGAAGTTTTTAATAGAAACGGAAATTCTTTTTTTTTAATTTTTAGGGATTCAGTGAAGAAGAAGCAAGTCAAAGATGCAAATATTACTCAAGATAAACTGCACTTGAAAAAGAAGTGGAGAAATCTATGATGGAAAAGCTTTTGGAAAAAATCAACAAAAAGCGTGAACAGAAGAATGAAATTAAAAAGATGAAGCGGGCAATGCGTAAAAAGAAAAAAAGATGAAAGCGACGATTCTTCTTCATCTGGTTCAGATTCCTCAGGTTTTTTTTGAATATCTTTTTGTGTATTTATTGTCTTTTTTAGACTCGTCTTCTACAGATTCTTCCTCCTCGGATGACTTGGACAAAACTTCAACAACAACTCTTCGACTTCAGCATCAACTAGAGTCCCCCTGCCTTCGTGCAGGGGGCAACTCAAGTCCCCCTGCCTTCGTGCAGGGGGCAACTCAAGTCCCCCTGCCTTCGTGCAGGGGGCAACTCAAGTCCCCCTGCCTTCGTGCAGGGGGCAACTCAAGTCCCCCTGCCTTCGTGCAGGGGGCAACTCAAGTCCCCCTGCCTTCGTGCAGGGGGCAACTCAAGTCCCCCTGCCTTCGTGCAGGGGGCAACTCAAGTCCCCCTGCCTTCGTGCAGGGGGCAACTCAAGTCCCCCTGCCTTCGTGCAGGGGGCAACTCAAGTCCCCCTGCCTTCGTGCAGGGGGCAACTAGAGTCCCCCTGCCTTCGTGCAGGGGGCAACTCAAGTCCCCCTGCCTTCGTGCAGGGGGCAACTCAAGTCCCCCTGCCTTCGTGCAGGGGGCAACTCAAGTCCCCCTGCCTTCGTGCAGGGGGCAACTCAAGTCCCCCTGCCTTCGTGCAGGGGGCAACTCAAGTCCCCCTGCCTTCGTGCAGGGGGCAACTCAAGTCCCCCTGCCTTCGTGCAGGGGGCAACTCAAGTCCCCCTGCCTTCGTGCAGGGGGCAACTCAAGTCCCCCTGCCTTCGTGCAGGGGGCAACTCAAGTCCCCCTGCCTTCGTGCAGGGGGCAACTCAAGTCCCCCTGCCTTCGTGCAGGGGGCAACTCAAGTCCCCCTGCCTTCGTGCAGGGGGCAACTCAAGTCCCCCTGCCTTCGTGCAGGGGGCAACTCAAGTCCCCCTGCCTTCGTGCAGGGGGCAACTCAAGTCCCCCTGCCTTCGTGCAGGGGGCAACTCAAGTCCCCCTGCCTTCGTGCAGGGGGCAACTCAAGTCCCCCTGCCTTCGTGCAGGGGGCAACTCAAGTCCCCCTGCCTTCGTGCAGGGGGCAACTCAAGTCCCCCTGCCTTCGTGCAGGGGGCAACTCAAGTCCCCCTGCCTTCGTGCAGGGGGCAACTCAAGTCCCCCTGCCTTCGTGCAGGGGGCAACTCAAGTCCCCCTGCCTTCGTGCAGGGGGCAACTCAAGTCCCCCTGCCTTCGTGCAGGGGGCAACTCAAGTCCCCCTGCCTTCGTGCAGGGGGCAACTCAAGTCCCCCTGCCTTCGTGCAGGGGGCAACTCAAGTCCCCCTGCCTTCGTGCAGGGGGCAACTCAAGTCCCCCTGCCTTCGTGCAGGGGGCAACTCAAGTCCCCCTGCCTTCGTGCAGGGGGCAACTCAAGTCCCCCTGCCTTCGTGCAGGGGGCAACTCAAGTCCCCCTGCCTTCGTGCAGGGGGCAACTCAAGTCCCCCTGCCTTCGTGCAGGGGGCAACTCAAGTCCCCCTGCCTTCGTGCAGGGGGCAACTCAAGTCCCCCTGCCTTCGTGCAGGGGGCAACTCAAGTCCCCCTGCCTTCGTGCAGGGGGCAACTCAAGTCCCCCTGCCTTCGTGCAGGGGGCAACTCAAGTCCCCCTGCCTTCGTGCAGGGGGCAACTCAAGTCCCCCTGCCTTCGTGCAGGGGGCAACTAGAGTCCCCCTGCCTTCGTGCAGGGGGCAACTCAAGTCCCCCTGCCTTCGTGCAGGGGGCAACTCAAGTCCCCCTGCCTTCGTGCAGGGGGCAACTCAAGTCCCCCTGCCTTCGTGCAGGGGGCAACTCAAGTCCCCCTGCCTTCGTGCAGGGGGCAACTCAAGTCCCCCTGCCTTCGTGCAGGGGGCAACTCAAGTCCCCCTGCCTTCGTGCAGGGGGCAACTCAAGTCCCCCTGCCTTCGTGCAGGGGGCAACTCAAGTCCCCCTGCCTTCGTGCAGGGGGCAACTCAAGTCCCCCTGCCTTCGTGCAGGGGGCAACTCAAGTCCCCCTGCCTTCGTGCAGGGGGCACAAATTTTGGTGTGTCCATCTGCCGAATCTGTTTATTTTTTAATTTTTTAATTTTATTTTTAAGATGGGCCTAAACTTTGCTTGTCATTTGCCGGACTTCATCCCACAACTACATACAACGACGTGGATTTGAAAAGGGTTTGAATTTTTACTTTGTTTTTTAATTTTTATTTTTTAAATTATTTAGTTGATTTCCGTCAGTTCCTGCTAAAGATCTACAGGCTCGCAATCGCTGAAGGAACGAAGATGACGAAATCGGCAATGAAATTCGACATTAGCTGATTAATTATACTGATTTAGAAATTTCCATGTGCATAAAAAAGCAAATTAATTTTTTGGGTTTTTTTTACAATTTAGGAAAACTAAATCTATCGTTTTTGTCATCTAATCTCTCAAACACGTTTTACCTCAATATAATGATGGGTGGTCTTTTTTATTTTTTATCTTGGTGGTCTTTTCAATTCAAAATTAATTTATTATCCTCCATTTTCCGAAAAATATCCATGTGTTCAGTAAAATACTCCTCAAACCCTTCCCATTTTTATCGTCTGAAAATTACCAGACCCAACATTTCTTGCTTAATTAATCCTTAACTAATGTCTGATGATCTTTATACGTAAAATTATCAAAATGTTTTTGCTTCTCTCATCATTTGTTGCATTAGTATGGCATCTAATAATTATAGGTATCGCTTGATTATCACCTGGATTTTCCAATAGAAATCACCAATCATTTAGGAATTGATCACCCTTCAAATCCTAATGATAGTCCTGACTATAGGCATGATGATTTAAACCAAATGCAAACTATGGAGAGAAGTTCTGTGGAAATAACGAATAAAATTTTAACATCAACCTTAGCCCCACACCCAGTAATCCTCAAAAATAATAAAACTTTGCCTAAATTTTTCCCCAAAATAACTGAAAATACAAAGTTTTTGCTAATGCAAATTCCTCATCATTGGAATGGGCAATGTGGAGGATTGGCTAATCAGGTTGGCACTGTTAATTGAAAACCAAATAGTTGGCTTAAAGATGTGGAGATTTGCAGTGCTTTACAACATGGCCAAGTCTGTTGGACGCTTCCCAGGCATTTATAATACAAGTACTTGGACTTGTGACAAGTTGAATAGTCCTAATGAGATTGAGAATACCTTCCCGATTTTATATTCCTCTTTTCGATATATGGTAATTTAGGCATATTTTTAATAGATGAGGATTCTGGCTCTATCTTTAATTATTTTAAAAGCAAGCGGATCCTTCAGACTCTGCATATGACAATGTTTTTGAGACAAATTGTTGTAGATACATTAATGTTACAAGGTGCCTTTGGAATACCTGACCTTCATCTATACTTCATTTTTAGCATTTTTGGTAATTACAAACAAAAGTATTTAATTGTCCCTCCAACACCTCAATCTCCAAAATTTTTGGAAAATATTGATGCCGAAATTAGACAATTATTCCGCTTCTCCAAACAAATTAATATTCGAGTAGCTGCTTATATTGATAAATTGTTTGAGTAAGATTTTGATGGTAATATTTTGAATTAATTTCGAAATATTTTAAAAATTAAGGAACGATCCATCTTCGCATAAATTTTGTGTTCATACACGTAGGGGCGATTTTGGACCACCTAAATGGCCGATGCATGCAAGGACAGAACGAAATTTTACTGAAGCTGCAATTAAATTTATACTTGGATATTTAAAAGTAATGCTCTATTTTCAAAATATCTTTTAAGTATTTTGATAATTATTTTTAATATTTTCAAGGAAAAACACTTGAATTTAAATGTATCCATCATTTTACTTGGAGAAGATAAGGATTTTCTTCATGAAATCAGCATATCCAGAGAGGCACCTATCTATTTTTCTCTCAGGAATCTTTTTAATATTTTAAGCAAGTCAACAAAGTATATATCCCTAAAGCGATGAATCGTGGAGAGGATATGTGCTTTGGAGTTTGGGCATGCGATTCTATATTATTGACAGCTTCTTCATCAACTTATGCTTGGTGGATTGCTTATTTATTGGAACAGACTGATGCTAATGTTTTTTACAATTCTGATTTTAACCATTCATATTATGATAAGGAAAACTTTCACAGTGATTGGATCCCTTTGAGATTAGATTCTAATTTGGGCAGAATAATAATGGACTGATTTTGATATTGTTTTATTTAATAAAAGCATAATAAGAAATTTAAATGGGTAGATAAATATATGTAAATTGCATTTATTTAATAAATGGTTTATTCCTTCTTGAATTCACTCTCAAGCAATTTCAATAAAATCATCAGTTGATGATTGTTCACTAATATCCGTAGTTGCATCAGGTTCAAAACAAAGACGTCCACCACTAATGCAGTTTTTAACTGGTGGGCCAATTGGAGTGCTATTTTGGATTAATATTTAAATATATGATCTAATAAACCGATTTTCGTCCCTAGCCTGAGCTAACCCAATACGTTGTTGGCCAACATCGAAAACAGTGTAGTAACGGCCTGAACATGTTTTTAAAGATTGCTACATATAATAATACTTATTTCTAGATCACCTATAAATACATCACCAAGGATCCATAATTCCCCAACTTTTGCTGGCAGATCAATTCCCATAAAGCCAGATAAGCAAATGCTTTTTCCCATTGCTGTGACATTTAAAATGTAATCCGATCCTTTCAAAACGTATGAATTGCCTCCAATTAGTAGAGCTATATCGGGAAGATGAGGTACTCTTTCACAGGAGACCATATACTTAAAAAAACAATAATTTCAAGAGGGTTTGAATGCTGCGGCATGAAAATTTTAAAAAATAAAAACTTCGCCATGCATTAGAGGAATTGCACCAATATAATGCTGAATTTCCTCTATTTGTGCCTTCGGGCCAGCAATTAAAGATGTGCCAGTGTCAGCAATTGCTTGACATCCATTTTGACAGGCAATTTTTTCGCCTTTAGAATTGTGAACACCTTCCATCTATTTTTAAATTTGAGTTAAAGTATGCTTAAAATTGCTCCACCTTAAATTGCCAATAAGCCTTTCTTGTAACAGGAGTGTAATTGAGAGGTTCTACGTAACGGCGTTTATCAGTTCCTCCAATGGTGATTTCCCCACCAACTTTGGAATATGGATCTCTGATAAGATTAAATCTACAGTATTTATTAGAAAATTACCTATTAAGCCAGAAAGAAAAGACCGGTTCTGGAACTTTTTGTTGGGAAATCATTTGCTGGAAAACTGGTTGAACTCCAAGAACAGAAATTTCCGGGAATGCCATACCCAGAATACCATCAAATTTAGCAGCTACAAAAGTTAGACCTGGCTCGCTGAAGAGGGGAATATTCAAAATTTATTGCTGATTTTTATTCACCTGACAGCCTCAGCAAACTCTTGTCCAGCCACACAAATGTTGGCAATACAGACTGTGTCCTACGAAAATATTTAAATAAAGATTTACATATTTATTCCCAACTTTTGAGACAAAACCCTTCATTGAACCAGTTCCATATTGGATTTGCATTTTGCGCCCATCATCCTTATAACTGCTAGATTTGGTGCTGTCATATTTGTGATGAAGTACTTTAATAAAACAAAATATTTGCATATTATTACTCTACATACGGCATGCAATATCGTAGAATGGACACTTTTTAGACGGAACCCAGAGGTTCGAAGAGCCTGTATCAAATATAACGCTGAAGTTTTGTGGAGGAGATCCAATCGAAATTGGTCCATAGTATTGGGCCTGAAATAATAACAATTTCATAACACTATTTAACACCTACATCCATGTAATTTCTAAGCATCTCATCAATCTCCCCACCAATTTGCACAGCATTTTCTTCATCAAATTCAACTTGTCCTCCCTCCTTTTCAGCAAAAAGGGCAAATCTACGCCTCAATGCATCATGGCGATGCTTGGCAAAAAGTTCGAGTGAACCAACTTGTGCTAGCATTGCCCGCATTGTATCCATTCGGGAAAGCGATATTCTAAATATATAATTTTTGGAGTATCTCAATTATTTTTATCTGTACCGATCGACATGGTGATGGTGATGATGATGAGAATGATGACGTACAATAGAACTAACCAAGGCAAAAAGCGAGAAAATAATAATTAAAGATAACTTAGACATTCTGAAAAAATTAGCTAATAACTTATAGGAAATCTGATCAAATTATAGGGAATATGATACAATAATCTGGATCAACGCTGGGATTAATTATATAGAAATAAAGTCTTCGAACATTTTCTTTACGAATTTGCTTGGATGGTTTACATTTTACCCACATAAATTTATTTAGAAGATAAAAACGCTAATAAAGCAAATTTTTGCTCTCATATATTTTCAAATGATTAAACTGATTATTATCTTTATAGTAGAGAATATAAACATTCAATGGTTTATAAATACTTAATTTGATGAAAACCGATAAGGCTTAAATCAATTCTCTCCATATGTAAGGGGTTGGTCCATTTTTATTTGTTTTTTATCAGTTTTATGAAAAATAAATTATAATGGGACTATGCGAAAAGTGTTTTGTTTAAGGGGTTTTTTTGTTTAAAAAATAAAATAATTGATTTAGAAAAGTACAATTTAAATCAGGATTAGATTTTAATTCAAAAATTAGACTTAACCGAGAACAATTTACAAACTTTAAGCAGTTATGATTCACTTGATAATAAATTTGCATAGAAGGTATTCATGGAATTTTCCCTGTTTTTTAATTCATGTGAATCATCACTAAGAACAAAACATGAAAAAATTAATCATTTAATGATTATGTTTTAATATTTGTCGAGTTTGTTTTCAATTTTTTTAATTGTTCGTCTATATTTTGTGGGCCAATTGTTGGTTTTCCACTTCGCCAGTTAATGTCGTCCGGACCTTTAGAATATTTTTGAATTAGCCTTGGAGAGTTATATAAGAGAGAGCTGTGAGAGAGAGGTAAACGATCACTTTCTTCCTCACAAAATTATCACTGGGCAACTTAGAGGAGCAGGTCCTTCAATTATAAAAATACCTGTCATATTAACTGCTTTCTTTTGAGCATTTTCCCAGATTGTTTGATCAATTAATTTTGAAAATTTATCTCCTGCCCCTCCAGTTTCATCATTGAAAGGGACATCAAGACCAAAAGGGCGTAAACGATAAACTAAATATTCCATTGAATATAACCATGCCGGATCCATATAATGAAAAGCTACTGCAAAATCACTGCAACAACCTGGACCCTTAATTAGAAATTCTCTTAGATTTTGAGAAATCAAATTGAAATTTAATTTCCATACTTGATCCATATCGTAGTATATATTTCTCCAAAACCAATATTTTGGATCTTTGTTGCCTGGGGGTAAATGATGTGTAGGTTGGAAGGGGAAGAAGCGATGCCTTCCTTCACGATCGCGTGAATCTCCAGCTCGAATTCCTAGTAGTTCCATACATTTGCCCAGTTCGGCATCCTCCGCTCCATTCTCATCTTGTCGGCAAATTTTTTCATTTGGTATTCCTTTTTCAACAAAAAGGCGGAGAGATGCTCGGCTCAAAACGTAACCACAACCTCCACTCATATATCCCTTCAATAAAAAAATAATATAACTATTAGCCCTGTCTTGTCTAAAAATAATTTAAATACCTGCTTAACAATTGGGCCATATTTAGCACCCAAATAAATTTTTTCTTCTGGAGAATAAGCCATGAGTAAAAATCGTAAATTCTCTACAATCACAAAAGTATCATCATCCGCCTTTAAGAACCAATCAAAATCATTCTGTAAGAAGATTGATATCAGATATATCAGTTTATAAAGTATACCAAATGATTCGTGTAGGCATATTTAAAAGCCGCCTTTGTTTTACCCCATAAATGATTTCTTCCATCGGATATATTTAAACTAATTGCTGGCAAATCAGGATTTTCAACGGAAGATATAAATATAAATTTATTACAACGATGAGCCCAGGTTGCTTTAATATGTTTTGCTTTTTTCTCATGGCTATCGCCGGCTGTCATTATCCAACAAAATACCCGAACACGGCGGGCGATTTCTGCTGCCAATGTTTTTGTGCCTTATTTAAAAGATAAATTATTAAAGGATTATTAAAGCTTCCATTATGTACTGTTATTCGATTGAAGTCCTGGATTGAACATTGTTTTGACTGCTTCAGCAGGATTCAGTTTAATACCGTCAGTTCTATTTCCTGCAGGTTCCATCAAGTCATTCCTATTAGTGACTGTTGTTATATTCTCAGTATTCTTCGTTTGATTCTGATTATCAATTCTGATATCAATGCTTTGTGGACATTGGCATTTTCCCATAATCTCATTTAAATTTTCGTGTGGAAGTAGAAAGAAAAAAGAAAGCAGGGATCCAAGCAGTAATCCAACAAGAAATACAAAAAGTACTTGACGGTGTAAAATCGGCATTTTTAAAAATATTTTTAAATAAATGGAGTTGGTAAATGATTTAAATAAACAAATCAGGCAGTCAAGATCACGTGACTTTTACATTATTGTGCGCAGTTTTTAATAGCATGCTTTATTGGCAGCTTTATGTAGAGGCATTTAAATGCTTGCGCACAGTCAAATTATGATTTCAATTTTTAATGGATTGATTTAAAATTTTTAGCTGCCTTTATTATTGTCTAATTTAGGATGTGAACTGAGTAAACAAACTATAACAGACAATAAACAACGGATAAAGCTTTTCCAACGTTGATTTAGCTAAACAAATTGTAGGGATTGTTTTGTAAGGACAGGGGCTAAACCTTTACCTTTATTGGTAAAAAAATAATAGAAAAATCCGCTGCTTTAACTAAATCCAAAGGATCATTATTGAAACTAATACATATATGTATATTATAATATAATCTTTCATTTTTTCTTTACATTGTTATCCATTAATGTAATAATTAGCCAAGTTTGAGCATCATTTAATCAAAAATCATTCTTCAATGTCTCTCTCATTAATAGAGACTGTCCAATAGCTTTGATCTGTAGTCGTATAATTTGATATATGAATCGTGGTATGGATCGTAATATCGTCTATAAGGATCGTAGTAGCGATAGGCTCCATACTCAATTGGGTCAAATTGTAATCGCCTGTATGATGGATTTATAAGATCTTTTATTAACGGACTAAGAAATTTGTCAGACCTGACCCAGTAGTATTGACCAGTTATTGTCCCTTTCGACTGGAAATTCCATCGGTAGGGGTACTGGTCTATTTGTCTAAAAAATTTAAGTTTTATAAAATTTTTAGACTAAAAGTCACCCATGGTAGTAATGACGGTGAAATTGTGTGCGTCTGTAACGTGGCGAGAAATAGTAGTATTTGTCGTAAACATGATTACGCTGGGGATTTGAATTAAATAAAAATCAAAATTTTACCAAGGTAAAGTCTGGTTTCACTCGGTAATATGTTGGTTTCACCGAAGAGAAACTGTGGAAGGGGATGTAGGTGGCACCTGCAACGCCATAGGGTGAAGGGTCAACAACTCGAGAGACAGACTGCGATCGGAAAATTTGCTAAATAATTGAAAATGTTTTAAATGATAAAAATGAATATTTAGAACGAACGTTATTTATCGGCTGCGTACTCTGGCCAATACGATTTACTGAAGCTGAGCGATAACAGCCAAGAGGAGGACGATATGAGGAAGGAGGTGGCATTTTTATTATCCTTCGAATACTTGCTCAATTTAAAAATTTATTAACTTTACAATTAAGCATTTAATATTAAACTATGTATATTTGTTCAAATAAACAAACAATCTCTTAAAATAAATAAACGGCTGGAAATAACTATTGCCTCTCTTTCCACTCTTTGTTTATGACTGAGTTGTACTTAACGTTTGTTGGAAAAATTGATTATAGCTTAAAAGTTTTAACGAAATAATTATCCATTGATTTTAAAACATCACTTTTTTTTATTGAAAAAAAGCTTGTCTAAATTCTAATTATAGGTATTTTTTGAATTAATCCAGGGCTCTCATTCGTGCTTTATTTGAAAGTATTATACTTTGAAACCGACCTCCATACTTAAGAAATTGAATTTATACTTTATTGAAAGTATATACTTTAAAATCAACATTTTGGATTGAAAATGAAATTGGGGAAGGGATTGGGCAAAAAAGTGAATTTTTTTAGCCTTGGGCCTTCGAAATTATCAAAATTTTCGCCTGCGGCGCTGAAAAAGAAAGAAATCTGGCTTCTTGGGCTCCAAATTTCAAAAAATTTTCGCCTGCGGCGCTGAAAATGGGAGAAATCTGACTACTTGGGCTCCAAATTTCAAAAAATTTTCGCCTGCGGCGCTGAAAATGGACGAAAGCTTGAGGTTAAGACTGTCAGGGCTTTATTTCTTGTATCAGCGAATTTTGACATGTCATGCGTTGAAATGCACAAAATGCCCAATGGAAGCAAGAAATTATTAGAAAAGATTCATTTAAGAGAGAAATATAAAAGATTTGAGCACGAACAAATATTTTCCAATTTAATTTTGAGTATACTTTAAATTTGGAAATTTTCTCCCTATATACTTTTTTATCAAGATTTTGATACTTTTGAGTGGCATTTTGTCGATGAGAGCCCTGAATTAATCGTATTTTTTTATTATTTTCACCTTTCTCCAATAATTAAAAGTTTTATCTAATTTTATAATAAATATATCTTTTACTATTTGATCTTCTGGGGTGGATACACATTTCAATTTATTGATAGAGTTTTATACATATTTCATCCTATTTGTATTAATCATACTAATGCGTACCTAGTATATTCTGATAAATTCACACGTAACGTACAAAGTTGTTTAAACAAAAATTTTAATTTATTTAATATCTATAAGGCTTTGTTTAATTATATTTATATTTATTTATTATAATCCTCATTAATAGATAATTAAAAAGTTTATATAAAAATTTCAATATTAAATTTCAATATAAAATAAAATTCTCGGTTTTTCCTTCACCCTTCATTGATTTAATTAAATTCGCGTTGTCATAGAAAAATTTAACTGAAAATATAAACTATAGCTAGAATTAAAATATTCATTGTGTGAAGAAATAGGCTTTAAACAAAAACAATTACTTACTTTCTAAATAACACACTTAATAATCCTCTTAAAATAATTTTTAAGGGGTAATCTTGGCAAATGTATCCCTCCCATTCATTTCAAAACTCCGAATCTAACTACAGTATCTGTAATATTTCAACATCTCATCCACCCGGATTTAGTCATCCCTTCTTTGAGGATAATTATGTTAGCTTGGAGGATTTAGAAAATCAGATTGATAAGAAAACCCTCTTATATTTTTCTAATACTTCATACAACATTAATAATGAGTTAATGATTGATAGCAACACAAGTTTGGAAAACAATAATGAAAAGAATTATGAACCTGTAATTTTGTTATTTAAAATTTTAATAGGTGCCATATAACCTAAGATAATGGTAAATTTTATTAACAGTACCCCTTAGATAATGGTACCCCTTAGATAATAGTTAGATAATAGTACCCCTCTAGTAAAGGTTCAAGCAATAATTACCTGGTGATTTTTCTAAGGAAATTTTGTAAATTTAATTTCAGATCAAGAAGGAAAGGCCAACTGATTGTGTTGTTTGTGCCAGACCAGCCAAATGTTGCTATTTTGATGTTCCAAGTTGTTTAGGTACGTCAGAGCTTTTGCCAACGTAACATAAATTTTAATACTATATCTGAGTAATACAGGTTGCCGTTCATTCTTTCGCCGATCCGTTCTGAAACAACACTCGTACAGTTGCAAAAACAATGGAAATTGCCAAATTGGAAAAGGTACGCAAAAATTTTTCAAAATAATTTTGAAAAATTCAAGGAGAGCTTTGCCGTTCATGTCGTTTTGACCGTTGTATTCTTGGTGGAATGGACTTTCGAACCATACAAAAATTTCCAGACGGATTTAGTGTAGATAAAGTTTCTGCATTATTAACTGAGAAAAAGCGTCAACTTTCTGAAAAAGCTTCAGTAAAAGTTTTTTCTGGTCTAGAAAGATCTGAAGTTGAAGTATTACAACTCTTGATGTACTTTGACAATAATTTTTTGCATATTCGTTACTCCGAGACAGATATTCATACATCAATCTATTTTGATAAAAGTATGTCTGATTTAATAAATAATGATGGAGGAGGATTAACTTATTCCATTTTGGCAAGATCTGATCAGTTTTCGGTGAGATAAGCCTTATTATTTCAAAATTTTCAATGAAAAATTCATTAGAAGCATAGGAGAGTGGCTAATAATTATAACTTCTACCAACAACGATTGAGTGAAGGTGATTATAGTATCTTATCTCCAAATTGGCTTTACATTGACTCATTTTTAATTATTGAAATGACAAAAACGATGCCAGTATTACAGCAACTCTCATTTGAAGACAAAGTTTATACAAGGAATATTACTAAAAATAAAACAAAAAATTCAGATTCGACTTTATTCTCGAAATGGAATGGCAACAGTTGTTTTTAGTGCTTTATTTTACAGTAAAAACCTTCAAGGAAGCGATATCTTTATATTTCCTAATGGATTTAGTCCTTTACTGATAGCTTCGGATGAAAAACTTTTTTATTTTCTATTCTACAAGCACATGATCAAAATGAAAGAAATTAATCTGAGCCGAGAAGAATTTTTGATTCTTAGGACTTTAATTTTTCTTCACACGGGTTTAAGCTTGAAAACATAAAAGATTATGCACATTTTTAGCTACATCAGAATTGTCAAGGAGCGGATATGAAATAGTACAAACCGAAATTGAAAAGCTTTCCAGAGCTTTAATGTTCTACGAACGTAGCAAATGGGGTGATACTGGCGGGGCAATGAGATTTACTAATTTAGTGAGTTACTCTATGTTGGATTCTTGAAAATTAATTTATCTGATCCCTATCTTAACTGAACTTTCCAGATATCTTTATTAGACATTAGCCCGGATCTGGATCCATACCTTATATACAGATTTGAATATGAGATGTTTAATTTTAATTTTATTCTTTAATTTAACTTTTATAGATGTTGACCTTAAGTGCAGCATTTCAAATGAGCAAGGCTCATCAAAAATTTCTCATGCGTGTTGTGGAGTGTGATACGATACCGAACTTTATGAATAACATAATTTTTGGAAATTGCAATTACTGAACTTTAAGCATACAATTTGTGATATTTATTAAAATTAAAAGCTTATATGTAGTATTTATAAATTTTATTCATTATAAATTCTAGTCTTTATTCAGCTGTGGGAAGCCCTAAAAGCTTCAAATGTTTGTTGGCAGCCTTTGCAAAGTCTTGACCCAAGCTCATCCAAGCATTTTTGTGACGTTCATCTAGAGTTATTTTTGTTCCCAAAAAACCTGTCCAGACTGTCCAAAAGGCCTTTAATTTTTCTATTAGAAAATTTTAGATTAGTTAAATTACCATCCAGAGTGCCGGTTCCATTTTAAATTGGCGATGCCGGTTAATGGTTTCTTGAATGTACGAGTCGAATACCATCTGGAATGTATTCTAGACTTAATACTGATTACCTAATTGGAGGGCTGGCTCTATTAGAGCGGCCCTGAGATTGGAAATAGTGCGCCGACTGCTCAATTAGAGAAAATATGGCAATTAAGAAAAATAAAAATTCAATTTTGAAATAATATTTGAAATAATAATTTTGAAATAATAATTTCAATTTTGAACAATATTTCAAATAAATATTAACCTCATCAGCATAAACTCGCGCAGTCAGATGCATAGCCAAGAGGATACGTTGCCCTTGTTCTAATTTAAAATTTTTAAGATCCATAAATTTCAACTCTATTTTTTTTACTTTCAAAACGTTCTGATTTTTGTACATCATCAGCTGTGTATTTTTCAGCACCCTTAAAGTAGACGCGAAGATCAGGGTAATTTGTAAAGAAACTGAATTTAAAATACATATTAGTTTTGTATAATAAATTCTCACTATTTGTAAAAATCCTTTCCGTTCTGCTTTTCTTCTAGTCCAGTCCCAATTTTAATTTTGGAAAGTGATTCGAGACAGAGAGACTGAATTTCAAGGCGTTTGCTATCGGACATTATGAATTCCAATCAGACCTGGGCGAAACTCAAAATTTTTTTCTGACGAAACGAAACGAAACAAAATTTTTTAAAAATCGTTTCGTTAACGAAACGAAACGAAACAACCAAAATCTTACGAAACGAAACGAAACAAAACGAAACATTTTAATATTCAAAAAATTTTCAAAACTGCATTTATTTCGAAATTATTCGACCTCAAATACGTTATTAGTCGACTATGACTTATAAATGATTTAGTTATTGGTTTATTTACAACAATTGTGTCCCATAAGCCAGGCCCGTAGCAAGGAAAATTTTCGGGGAAGGGGGGGGGGGTCAATCATTTTCGAAGCCAAATTTTTGGCGACGCTTTTTTTTAAATAAAATTGAATATTTTTCAAGTAAAATTTTATTTTAAGCGCCGCAGACGAAAAATTTTAAAATTTTGAAAGGCCGTAGGCCAAAAAATTCACCATCTTGCTCCATTGCCTACCCAAATTGTCTCCATATCTCCATTTCGAGAGGAAGGCGATATAAGCTAGTGCTTCGCCGGAAGTTCCGGTTCCAGTATTTCCGCAACTCGCAATCCGCAATTTTTAAATTATGATGCGAGTCCGGTAATAGAATTTGTCGTCGATTAAGTAATATGTATATGTGGATTAGGGAGTGGAGTATAAACGGATTTGTAGTATATAAGTAATTGCTATCTTCCTTTTTCAGCGCCGCAGGCGAAAATTTTGACAATTTGGGAAAGCCAAGAAGCCGAAATTCTTTTTTTTTCAGCGCCGCAGGCGAAAATTTTTTAAATTTTCAATAAAAGATGGTAAATTTTATAGATTTTGGCCTTAGTTTAGGCTTAAAAAATTGTTTCGTTTCGTTGAAAAATCACAGGTGTTTCGTAACGAAACGAAACGAAACAAATTTAAAAGTGTTTCGTAACGAAACGAGACGAAACAGTAAAAATCATACGAAACATACGAAACAACGAAACGAAACGAAACGTTTCGCCCACGTCTGATTCCAATAATGATGATTAAAATTATTAAGGAAAATTTGAATAGGATTTTTTGCAGACAAGGGTAGTTATTTTTAAATTTTATGGTAAAGATGTTTTCTATAATAAATATAGGAGGTTTATTTCCTGTGTTTCGCTAGCCCTGAGGATTTTATTCTCAAGTCAATAGTTCGCTAATAGCCGAGTAGACTAAATAGCATGAGGTTAAGAAGGCCATATGCATGTAAATGAGGCTATGAAGGCCATCCAAGGTATGTGTGTAGATATGTAATGGGTTCCCCCATCTGGCAAATAGTAGCCTTTATATGGCAAATGGCCTCTATACGTATTAATTTTACATTAAAAATAATTTATTAAATATTTGTTTTTATTTACTTTTTTTACGTTTAAAAAATATTTATAATTGATAACAAGAACAAATAAAAATATTTTTTATCAGAAAAACAAATAAACTGAGCAAAATTTAGAACTAAAAAAACTTGTTTTTAATAAACACAAGAACTTTGCTCAATTTTACAATGTGGTACTTTAAATTACTATGTATTAGAGAGAAATAAATTAAATGACAGCCATTTATTTTAAAATTTTAACTTAAAAAATAATTTCAACTATTTAATGAAAAATAAAATTTCTTTATGTAAATAGCATTAACCGGTAATCTCCAAAGGTTTCCCGATGTCTACATAAGTCGACGAGTACAAGAATAAGGGTTACCCAAGGAGAAAGTACAATGTAGACGAAGAGGAACGGGCTGGAACAGAAGAAGAGGACCAGGGACTAACTGGACTAGTATTCCACCTAGACTGACACTGGCTTACACTACTACACATTAATAAGTGCACGTTGTATCAATTAAATGGCTTCTGATCCACGCTGAACATCTGATCTTACTTTTATTCTTTTTAATTGTCCTTGCATGTGAAGCATTTTTCTTTCTTTTTTAATTCCCAAAATATTACTGATTTGTTTAAAAATTTCAGAAAAGGCAAGTCTAAATTGTTCATTCAACAAAGCATAAAGGATCGGATTCCATACTGTTGAACTATAAATAATTACTATTTTTTAACTCAAGGCATAAACTTGCCTGATAGATAAACAATGGGTAGTTGTACCAAAAAGGTATTCCTGTGCTATCACGAAATTAGGCAACCATTGATAATCACGTAGAAAATTGAATATAACAGAAGGTGCCCAACAGCAAAAAAAAACAGCAACCATTGCTAGAATTACATGGGAATTTTTAAATTTAATTTTAAAATCCGTTAGTGAGAACCGAGAACCATCAAAATTAAGAGCTTTCCCACCAGGGAAAGTTCTCACTTAATCCTCCTAGCTCAAGATAACCTTTAGCATCCTAGCCCCCAAACACCTACCAATTAACATCCGGTTGGTTCGAATTCTTCGACTCAAAACCATTTTTCGTTGATCCATTGCCACCTTCATGGCTCCATCCCCAGCCATTAACATTCCATTTTGTAATTTTTGTTCATTTAAATAAAGTGAATTTCCTTCATCAGTACCAAACGAACTACTCAAAAATTTGTCGCATCGAGCATTACTGCTACAATAATCACTGAATTTTGCAATTTCCGTAGATGAACAACGTTTAGTACGCATTCCAGAATTTATTTTGATAGAAATCATTACATAACAGCTTGTAATAATCAAAAATGGAAAGACAAATTGGGTGAATAATACAAATGTTCCTTGAAAGAAATTATATTTAAATTCCCAATTAATTCCCAATTAACCATATAAACTCCGTTGAATGCTGCTGTTGCTCCAATCTTCAGTGCAAAACTGTCCACAAAACGGAGGCCAATCAACCATCGTTTGATTAAATAGAATAGGTATAGAAATTGCTAATGCAATTGCACAGTTTAAGGCTACAATTCGGCATGCACAACATTTTTGAATTGAAGGCTTTAATGGCGTTACTATTAGGAGAAAACGATCGACGGAAATTGAGGTGAGTGTTAAAGTTGAGAAGCACAATGAAACACCTTGAATTACAGGAACCCATTTGCATAGTAACTGTCCGAAAGGCCAAATTTTTGTAAAAGCAACAATTGGCTAAAATAATATTTTTCGATAATTTGATAATCTACAAATTTAATTCACCGTTATGGTTCCCGAAACAACTGAAATAACAATATCAGAGACAGATAAGGACACGATGAACAAATTTCGAACAGATTGTAGTGATCTGTATTGGCAGACGCTTAGAATAACGAGAAGGTTGCCTAGTAGAGATGTTAGCACTATAGCTGAGTAAAGAAAGGCAAAAAATCCCATTACTATTGGAAGTGAAGTTAAATCCGAGCTGTTTGTCCACAGAAATTCCTTGAGAATTAAAAGGATTATTAATAGTAAAACAGCTTTCAAGAATATTTTTCTCCATTATCCCACAATATTTTTTACCTTAATGTCTATACATTGGTCATCTTCAGTGTTGACAAATTGTTGCTCCATATTAAATATTAAAATTTTTTGATCTGAATCTGAATGTTAAACCAATTTTTAACAGGTTCTATTCAACTTTTAAACTAAGGATATAATCGACAATAGCTCGCAGGTTCGATTCCTCTCGGCAACTTAACTTCCGTTTAGCTTTTACTAGTATGTCTGTCAATACCAAGAAAATCCTTATCCTCAAATAGACAGGCATTTAAGCTAATTCATGAATAAATCAGTGTTAACTATGCGTAGTTGCCGATGACATTAAACACCTGCACGAAAGCAGCAACCATTATATTAATGGTTGCTGCTTTTTTTTGACGCCGGAATAGCCAAGAGGGAAGAAGCTTTTTTGCGTTTGGTGGGAAAATGTAAGGACAGATAGAGATGTAGGAAGAGGAGGAATAAAATAAATAAAATTCCCTCGATGCTTCAACAATTCCTTTTCTGGAAGCGATAATCCTCGACCTTTTTTTCAATTGTGATGGGAATAAAAGAATTTTTAATGTATTTTCAATAGAAAGAATAATTAAATGTGAATTAATTTATAAAATTATAAAAAGTACGCATATCTATTCATTAGATTCATGGCCAGAAACAACCTCACATAAAAAAATATTAATGCATAATGAAAAGTCCAACTTCATTGTTATAGACATCACATCAGAAATGTCACGGGTTGAGGAAAAAGTCGGGCGGGTTTCGTGTCTGGATCAGACGTGGGCGAAACGTTTCGTTTCGTTTCGTTGTTTCGTATGTTTCGTATGATTTTTACTGTTTCGTCTCGTTTCGTTACGAAACACTTTTAAATTTGTTTCGTTTCGTTTCGTTACGAAACACCTGTGATTTTTCAACGAAACGAAACAATTTTTTAAGCCTAAACTAAGGCCAAAATCTATAAAATTAACCATCTTTTATTGAAAATTAAAAAAATTTTCGCCTGCGGCGCTGAAAAAGAAGAATTTCGGCTTCTTGGCCTTCCCAAATTGTCAAAATTTTCGCCTGCGGCGCTGAAAAAGGAAGATATCAATTACTTATATACTACAAATCCGTTTATACTCCACTCCCTAATCCGCATATACATATTACTTAATCGACGACAAATTCTATTACCGGACTCGCATCATAATTTAAAAATTGCAAATTGCGAGTTGCGGAAATACTGGAACCGGAACTTCCGGCGAAGCATTAGCTTATATCGCTCTCCTCTCGAAATGGAGATATGGAGACAATTTGGGTAGGCAATGGAGCAAGATAGTGAATTTTTTGGCCTACGGCCTTTCAAAATTTTAAAATTTTTCGTCTGCGGCGCTTAAAATAAAATTTTACTTGAAAAATATTAAATTTTATTTGAAAAAAAGCGTCGCCAAAAATTCGGCTTCGAAAATGATTGACCCCCCCCCCCCTTCCCCGAAAATTTTCCTTGCTACGGGCCTGGCTTATGGGACAAATTGTTGTAAATAAACCAAAAACTAAATCATTTATAAATCGTAGGCGACTAATAAAGTATTTGAGGTCGAATAATTGCGAAATAAATGAAGTTTTGAAAATTTTTTGAATATTAAAATGTTTCGTTTTGTTTCGTTTCGTTTCGTAAGATTTTGGTTGTTTCGTTTCGTTTCGTTAACGAAACGATTTTAAAAAAATTTTGTTTCGTTTCGTTTCGTCAGAAAAAAATTTTGAGTTTCGCCCAGGTCTGGTCTGGATTTAGAAAATCGGGTCAAAAAACGGTATCGGGTCGAAAGAAGTCTGTGTTTCAGTTTCAGGTAACCCGTGACATCCGGCCTAATTGAAATAGACCGAGAAAATCAGTTAAGGGATTTTGTATTGAATACATTCCATTATTTATGACACAAAACATTGTCGGGAAAAACAACAAAGCTCTTGTTGCGTGAAAATTATGGCAAGGTGGCTAAACATATGGATATAGTGTAAACATTGCCACTTCATCCATCTATTAAATATGTACCTTATGTCAAATGCACAAATGAACATGCTGGTGGAAAATGGGATGGATATTTTGGATGAAAATGAAAATTGAGTAAATAAGCTTTAAAAAATTGGGTTGGTTTACGATTAAATAAACTCCATATGTTTAAAATTATAGGCTAACTTTAAGATAGGGAAGATGTTTAAAAACTCACTGGTTAATTTCAATCTAAATATGTGATCATAAAACTAAGAATATGGTTCTTAAGTTCAGAACATATCCGAAGAAACGAGGGTTTTTCGGTTATGCCTCGGATATTCGAGGGGTTTCCAGGAACAGACAACCCTAATTGAGAATTAAACATTACTGGATTTATATAATTAAATAAATATAATAAAATAAAAAAAGTAAGGTAATAATGAATCTGGCAATAGAAAATATTTCCTTTTTTTGCCAGCTAACACAAAATTGCTATAAATGCCACGGAAAAGGAAATCGCTTTTCCTTTGTATAAAAAATGGATTTTATCTCAAATTTCATAAAACACCTAGAAAATTTCAAAAAGGAAATAAATGAGAAAAAGCAAATGATTGTGAGAAAAAAAAAGAATCTGAGCCTGAAATTTATTATTTATAGTGCGTATATTTTATGCCTGCCGTTTGCTCTAGGCTGGAATAAATAAAGAAATTTAGCGGATGTAAACGATTAAATGTTTAAATTGGAAATAAAATGTGTTTAATGTTTTAAATATTTGCATACAATTTTGGCATTTTTGAATGTAAAATGACACGCTAGTTCTCAGTAATACTTGTTAATATTTATCGAGCTGATATAAAAATTCCAAAGGGCTACTATTTTAGATTCTTAAGCTTATCAGGTACAGATAAGCTATATCAACATTGCGGCTCCAAAAATCTAGAATTCTGTTGTATAAAGTATCAGAAAAGTCATAAATTTCTGGCAGAAAAGTCATAAACATTTTAGAAATTTTTGTTCTTTTCTGAAGTCGATTAAGAATGAGATATTTGTACGAATACGAGGCCAAAAACAGGGGCATTTCGAAGGGCAGTACGAGCAAAATAAACATCTTTTGATCTTATCTTATCATTTTTAAGACTCATTTTTAGGATTTACCCAACTTAAAGATAAGCTAACAGCATTAATATTTATCAAATTTATCTTTTAAAAATAAACTTAAGCGAATGAATGAGGAAAGAAATATATAAATTCACACAAAATATTTTTAGTTATTCGCTCCAATGCTTTACGTTTTTAGAAAATAATTTAATGTTCCGCTTTTGATTTTTCGTATTAAAATTTCCTTTAAATTTTTTTATTCAATTTTATTCACGTAGAAAAAACACGCAAATTTTTAACGTTTTTTGCGGTAAAAACATGTTTACTCATTAAAGACCAGATTTTAAGTAAATAAATTTATTAAAAGTACTTTAAAAATGTCAAAACAAAATTTTATACAAAAATTAAATACTTCCTCATAACTAAACCAATAAATAACCCATAATTTATTCACTTTAAAAGGTAAAAAATAATAATCTGAAATTATGTTTTTTATGGTAATTATTCAATGGACAATAAAAACAACATTATTTAAAAACAATTAGTATAAGTACATGTAAAATTAAAATGTTAGAGGATTCTTACTGCCCTTTCCAGCCAATGTTAATTATGCCAATTTTTAAAAGTAGGAAAATAAATTTTAGCATTCGAAAATATGTATATGGATTTAGCATCTTCTCGTATTGTAAATAATAATTGGATTCTAATTTTTTCTGAAATATATTTGATGAAATTGTCCACAGGATGTAGGCCTCATTGTAAGAAGCACTGGTTTTTTAGTTTAAGGGATTTTTCTTCTTTATTCTACTATTCAAGTAATTTTAAAATTTCGAGAGTCTATTCGAAATTACGACTATGAGCAAATTAAAAATTTCAAACGCTGAAAAAAAATTTAAACTAATGCTTCAACCCCTCGCTGGAGGAGAGTAATTATTTAAGTAAAGGTAATTATTCTTGCTTATACGATTACTAAAAGATTTATCTTATATAATCAAGTTCCAAGTTTAGAAAAATTTTGTTTTCCAATAATAACCCTTCCTTCAAAACATCTAAATTTACAAAATACAATTTTAATCTCCCTCACATTTTTTTGATTTTTTTCTTTTATTTTACATTTTTATTCCCCTCTATCGGCTATAATTTTAAGTAAAATGGATTGGTTGGTTATTCTGCAAAACTGATGTCATTTTCTCGTGTGCCGAACATTGACTATTTTTTCTCGTTTCATTTTCAAACAAGGCAAACTAAAGTAAGGCCGGAATGCTGACAATAATGCCGCTTACTTCGGGACAGACGCTCTATACTATTTTGTCTCCACTCTCTTCTTATTGTTAGATAACATTCTACTTTTTTCACGTTTTTAAGCTTTATTCATTTTCTTTTCTCTAGAATAATTTTTATCCACATAGCGCTCCTTTTACGCATTTTTAAAAGCAATTTCCATTTTACCAAAAAAGTATGTAATATGTATATCGATAGTTCTTTTGACAATACATAGAATTGTGCCTGTTTTGAAAATTCAACTCTATAAACTCCCCGCAGTCTCTAGATCATTTTACAAACTTTATTTACCACTCAATACCGAACTTGACAGGGGACTCAGATTCGATGTCTGGGGGTAGTCGGCTAAGAATAATTTAGTGTAGTGAAGCATTTGAATTACCTACTTCAAACTAAATGCATAAATAGCTCTTGTGCTTGATCTAATTACACCAAAAAATTTATTCAAGGCATTTTGTTTCTATAGTTTTAGAAAACGATTTTAGTAGGAATAATGTTCATGCCTCTCACTTTTTTCGATTTTTCAATGGCAAGGAAACTACATTTACGTGCTCCCTATTCTTAAAAATACTGCAGTGCGCTTCAGGCTGTTGCTTTTAGCTTGTTTATATGTTTTTATAGCTTTATGTAAGCCTCTCTGAATTAAATTCATTCAGTATTATTATAGTCTATACACTCAAGAGTTTTCCCCAATAATTAAAAGTGGCACACTCGTTATTTTATTTTTTTTTGTTTTTCCTTGTAATTATAATTGTTTATACTAGTATGTTTATTAATTGAGTGTTAGCATGAAGCGCTTCCGATTCTGGTCAAATGTGGCTAAGGTAGAAAATTCTGACCCTGCTGGTGAGGTTGGCGATGATGGTGGTAGCAAATTTTTTGGTATCAAATCATACTTGCACAATTTTTACCTTACTCCGGGTGGTCTTGAGCATATCGAAGGTGTTGGTAAAGGAACAGCAGAAAATGCCTGGTCTGTTTAATCATGCATTAATCAACCATTTACCTCATTTTTATGCTAAAGGTACTTATTGCCTCCTCCACCCACCCAACGAATGGGGCTCTACGTATGCCGACTGCTTACTGTTCTTGGATTGCTCCTATTATTAGGTGGAGCCACGGCCATCATCGTTGGCTATTGTTGGCCTCGAGAACAAAACATTGAAGTTTGTATTTTATCAATATACCAGAATTAAATAGAAATTTCAAAATAATTTAGGGTGAATTGATGCGAATAGCGATAGATCAGGATGAAGACGGTAATTTCTATGTACTTCCTGAACGACTTGCGGAGGTTATGTCATCTTTGCAAGATCCAATGCATAAGTGGAAAATGACTGGTATAATTTTTTGAGAAAGCTGAAGTACCATTATTTCAAAGGTTTCTGTGTTTTCGCGGCTGGGGCTTCATTAATGGCACTCTCTCTGTTGGTTCCCATGCTTGCCCAGTGTTGCGGTGGTACTCGACTTGCTGCCTTTTCCTCCGTTGATAATACACCAAATGAGCCCCCTGTACGCATTTATCCTGGAGGAGGCTGTGGTATTCAACCTTCTGGCCGTTTCAAGGTCGTGCCAGCCAAGTTTGCTGGCTCTCACAAAATCTCCCCAACAAAGTACTAGATAAATAAATGTATTAAAATACAAAATACGATTTTAAAGCAATGGCCCGGTGCCCGTTATGGAAGAAATTTCAAAGGTACAGCCAGGTTCTAAGGGCGCATCCAAAGTTGGATCACCTACTTTAACCTGTGCAGCAGAAGAACAAATGCTACTAGATCAATTGGTAGACTCTTCAGATGCGCAGCCATTAATACGTTGATATTTTTAAAAGGAAAAGCATAAGAATCCTATTAGAATGGCATTTTTATAAAAAAATTTTTGAGGCGGCGGCGATTTTTAATACAAAACATGTATTCTTTTCCCATTTTAATACTTTTAAAATATATTTAAGAGAATGCTGAATAAAATTAATCTCATTGCTATGTTAAATTTGAAACCAGATAATATACCAATAATTTATTTGATAGTTAAAAAAGAGCATTAAAAGGAAAGAAATTAAATAATTATTCTTGTCTGGGCTTCTTCTAGTTTAGTTTAATACCAGCGTGATGGCAATACATCAACACATTCCAGTTGAAAAGGCATGTAACATCGGCCCTTGCAATTGAGTCGATTCCCTCTTCGCTTCCGGGATCGCAAAAGCGAAGGCACCTATCTCCTACACCCAATTTTGAATCACCAAGGTTTAAATGTTGGCAGCATTTACGATTGTCCTGCATATGTAGAATTAATAAAATTAATTATAAATTATTATATGCCTGATTCTGCGATGCGCAGTAAAGAATTGTGCCGAAATGCTTCAAATCACATTTCTTTGTCTTGACTGCTTGAAGAAGCTGTATGCAATATTAAGTAGGTTAATGAGTTACTTAAAAAATTAAACCAAATTTCTTGCTGTCAACTCATCCGACTCGTATTGGCAGAGTGAATGACAGCCTTGAGGCACGTACTGACTGCAGCAATGATTGAAAATAGAATCTGCCCTCTCCCTTGGCATGCAAGGAGTATAGTCGGTTTCTTTAGTTCCGCATTTTGATTGCTGTTCTAAATTTTGTTTTTGGTCGTTATTAGGTGCTTCACTTTTGTTTGAGTCTATTAGCTCTACTGGTTCCTGCGCATTTCCAAATGTAAATAGAACAAGAATAATGGATAAAAATAAGGGAAGAGGAGAAAGTTTCAGAATTAAATGGTTTGTAGAATTTGCTAACATAACTGAAGAACTTAGAATCATTTAGTATATTATTAGAAGGAGAGGAATGGGTTGTGGAATTATTCGAGGAAGGGGAATTATTCAAGTTTCAAAATTTGAATGTGCAGTAGGGCATTCGGGGGTGGGGAATTATTGTTTCAACTCAATAGGGAATTAATCGAGAGTAGAATTCTATTCAAAAGGGAGAGGGATTACTCGAGAAAATACGATATAAAGTTGATCAAGATTTAGTTTAACTGACAAAAATACTAACTAAACATTCTATTTGATCTCTGAATGTTTTTTAATTTTATTTTATCACTAATCTTTATCACATTAATATCTATAAAAATCAAAAAAGTAAAAGTAACTAACGAAGAAAAAATAGTAGTGACGGGGCGCGCAGCTAAAATAACCTTACTCACTACTTAAGGTTTTTTTCACGCAATTGTGCTGCAACAATTATCCGGATATTCTTTTTTATTTCTGCTTAGCGAAATATAAAGCTGACCTAATTTATTCTAAAATATAAAAACAACATGAAAAGTATTCGTTTTTTAAATCAGGGTTCAATAAAAAATTTTCTTCTTAAAGTCTTAAATTCTGATTCCTATATAAACCAAAACTTAAACAGAACATTTATCTTGATTTATGCAAAGGCTTGGGATAATATAAAAGTGAAAATAAGACATAAGTATTGTAAAATTATGCGGGGAAAGTTTTTTGCAATTATCATATTAGAATTAATTAAAAAATGATTTTATAAAAATAAATTTTTAAATAAAAGATTCTATACAGCAAAAGCACATATGTAAATATATCTTAGATAATTTGACGTTTAAGGATAATTATACATACATAATAATAAATATAATTATTAAGTTATCTGAAACGTCAAATCCTCCAAATATTGAGAAAAAATTGCGTATGATAATGAAAAAAGAAACAATTTAAATATGTATGAATTAGGGATGGGCCCTTATGCAGTTTAAAAGCTGAAGGCAAAAGGACTAAAAAGTGGGATTCTGCGCAAGGTGCAAGACAGCCCACCCCTTATTTGAATAGATTTAATAAATACAATAAATATATTATTCGGATTATCTACTAATTTTGAAGTAAATTTTTTAGGATATTGTACAATACGGAACGGAAGTGGAGTTTCAAGTAAGAATTTAAAAACGGATATTTTAAAAATAAATTCTAGAAATAAAAGAAGTCTTAAAATTAATATGGACAAACTTTAAAAAATCAAAATCCTACAATGCTTTAATTTTTAATGTATAACATTCCGAATTCTAATAAAATAATGAAACTTGCAGAAAAGGTTCTCTCTTGCATCACAAAAAGGAAGCTGCAATTTAAAATCATTTTTCATCGGGTATTTTTGGCTGTGGAAATGAAGGTGGAGCTGGAGGAGGAGCAGAAGGTGAGGCAATGACAATTGATGGCTGTTGTTGTCCTTTTTTTGAGATTGGTTCCTTTAAAAATTATTTTTTATCATTTATATGCAAATGAATTCCCCTACCAAATAATAATCATCATTTTCGAGCTCTTGAGATTGTTGTTGTTGTTGATATTTAAGTAATTGTTGCTGACTAAATTTCCCAGTTGCCTTACCAAGCGAAGAAGCTGAAAATTAAATTAAAATAGAAAAAATATCAAAATCACCTTCAGAGTTTCGACTGTGTGCACTCAAAGGTCTATTTGAAGGAATCACTCCAGCAATATTTGGCATCCAAGATAAAGTAGATGTGGATTGCCCTTGAGTACTTCCAGATGACGTCGACGTAGAACGCATTAATGGATGTTGTTGCCCATATTGTTGGCGAAGATTCTAATTGATTATTTAAAATGAGTTAAGGAAAAGTTTAAATTTCTCTCACCTTCTCAGCTGTATTGCCATTGCTCCCTCCTGGCGAACCTTCAGGCGAATTAGAGGCATTAAGGTCGATCACATCTTTCAAATCCGACACATGTCCAGGACCTGTTTTTTAATAAAAATTATAGTGAACTGACAGGGAGTCTTTAAAAAATACCCATATGGACAACATGCACAAAATCAGAAGGACCACTAATAGGTAATTGACTTCGGCGATCACCACGACTTAAAAAAATTAAAGAAAATAGCGACAACATTAAATCTTGTTACCTTCTTGCATCGTCCTTTGCTGATCGAACAACAAATTTTCGCTTTCGTGTAGACACTGTGGCTTTCCTATTCTCAGAAAATGACAAAAATAATTTTTCGGTTGACCCTTAAAAAACATTTTATTTAAAAAATTTAAACTTTAAAAAAAATTACCAGGCTGATTTGCACCCAACATGACCAAATGTGGTAAATCTAATATTTGGCATAAAACAAATAAACCATTTGAGTGAAGAGGACGAGATAAACGCAAATTTATAGTTTGAACCCATTCAGCAGTTTGTACTTTAAAAACACAAATTTGATGTTCAGAAAAATGGAGCAAATGAGAAGATCGATAAGCAAAGCTAGATTGTCCAGTACCACGACATGGAAACATTAATTCCTGAGAGCGAGATCGGCGACCTTAAAATTATTATTTTCATTCATAGAAACTTAGGATAAAAACCATTTGTATCTACATAAAGGCCAAGCTTCTGAAAGACGAGCAAATACTCCTTAGGGCGCCCTTGACCTGAAAGTTGCACTTCGCCATGTTTAGTAATATCAGTAGATTTATCATTATTATCAGAATCACGTTGAGGCCAAACAGAAATTATCATTTCAGCATCATACAACGTTTGATTCAAAAACTGTAAAGAACCATCTTCCAAATTGACTAGCGCTTAAATGAGAAAATAATTAAAATTTCTTAAATTCGAACAAAACCCATACATATTTGACTATTGTCCAAAAGATCCCAAACTCGAAAGCTGCCAGGATATCCCACAAATAATCGTCCTTGTGAGATACTCAAACATTGTGGTTGTCCAGGTATAGCTCTTTCTCTCATTGCTGAATGTCTCTTCTCCGAACGATTAATTTGAAAAACAAGTACACTTTTATTTAAAGCAGTAGCAAAATAATGTTGAAGTGTTCCTGTAGTGTTTGTACCATGTGATGACAAACGTGATGGATGGCCTGTTCCCCAACAAAGAAGATGACAACCCCGTGTTTCTTGAACTTTTATCCATTTAAGATCACGACCATCTAGCGCGGCTGTAGGGATCTGTTGAAAAAATAGAATAAATAATATAAAGATGAAGAAACATACAAGGCGAACGTGTCGTTCCTTTCCTGCACCAACCAGTACAATCAACAACTAAAAATTTCAAAAAAAATTAGTTGAATTAGTAATCAAAAATACGTGTTCTTCTGCATCATATTCCACTTGTTCCACATTCCTTTTCTTGTTCTCAGATTCACCTCCTACCGGTATTAGAACCTTAACAATTAATATGCATCTGAACAAAAATTTAAAAAATACTTCGCGATCTAGTTCAACACTTAAAAGTCCCTGGTCAGCCAATCCAACCACAAAACGTCCTTGATCAATGACTGCAGCACATTTAACATTTCGTAGTTGAGGAGGAAACGCGGATAGATCGTAGAGTTCGCGCACAACAAATGCATCTTTACGAAGAAAACCAGAACGGCAAAATAGATCGCGCAGCTCATTCAACGCTACGACCCATTTTTCTGCTTCCTAAATTGTCGAAATATAATTAAATAATTTTAAATAAGTTACCTCCTTGCTTTCAGCCATTAATAATGAATATTGCTGTGCAATTAGTGCACATTCCTTTTGATGTTGACTTTGCTCAAAACTAGCAGATGCTGCAGTTGAACAACCTGAACCCGTGGAGCCATGGGATCGTATTGTGGCTGATTTGCTGTTTAAACTTTCAGGCTCAAAAACAGCCGTGCAAGAGTGAAAATCATGAATTTGAGAGAAAATAATTTTGAAGATTTTCGGAAGGTCTGATTTTGAAGCATGTATCGCATCATTTTCGGTGGCAGAGGATACTTTGAAGTCTGGATCTTTCATATCTAATATCTTAAAACATGTCTTTATTAAGAAATAAGTCATTATAATAACCTGTCTAATCTGAGGTTCAATAGCTATCACTTTCCCGTTCTTATCAGTTTGACAATCATACAAGTATAATTTAAAGTCACAGACAAATACATACTAAAAAATATAAAATAAAAGTCAACAACTAATCCAAACCGTTTTTTGCCAGCCTCGTTTTACTCCTCCACATTTTGGCGTCTTTACTGCTCCTTGATAAGCTGTGCCCGTACCGCGCACCATATCGATTCCATCACTTCGCCGCATCTCCAACGGGATTGGGCAGTCATTAGGCACCTTGGCAAGGCAACTGATGTGACAGGCAATATGACAATCCTGACAGAACATCCCTAGAAAATGTTTAACTCAATGTCAACTTGAGAAAAGAGACAACCTTGTCGATCGGCTCCAATCAATACAGATGTACAAGAAATACATTTTGTTGGGGTTCGAAGACTGGCATGAACAAAATGATGCCCTTTGTCGTTAAATGCGTTGTTTAATGACTGAATGACTTTAGGACTAGCCGCCGTACGAAGAATTGATGATGTTGGTGAACCAAAGGATGAAAGAGAATCGTCTTGTCGATATGAAGTGTAAAAACGAGCATTTTCATAAAATTGTGGGTGGAAAGGATATTGCTGGTGATGGCCACCACCACTGGAAACAGAAAAATAGAAATGATTATGACATAATCTATCAACTAGAATTAAGTGAAACTTGTTTAAAATTTTATAATTTCTAGAAGTCAGAATAAAAAGATAAAAATGAAGCTAAAGTATATCGAATTAAAAGACATTGACTCACATCGTTGGAATTTTAGATTGAACTAATTGACCATCAGATTCATCAACCAGACAAGAACCTGAAACAATGCAGATATAAAAACTATATACATTATGATTCAACTTACGTGTGTTTGATGGGATTGTTGATGGAATAGAAACAGCTGATGAAACACCTGATAAACTGTTGTTAAAGACTCCAGCATTAAAATGATGTTGTTGAAATGCTCCTTGTTCAACCATTTCACCAATTGTAGGACCTTGTGATAATGCTTCTACCCTTTGAGGCCAATGACGCATGGCCCAGTGCTGCTGCTTCAATGTAGTATTCTCATCCATAACTCGTTCATATTCGTCCCTTTGCTTTTCTAGTTTTCTTCTCATTACATCTAATTGCCTTTCCAATTCATCACACCGAGTTCTTGCTTGCCTTAATTCTTCTTGTGCTCTTTGTTTTGCGCGAATTTCTGCCTCCAAATGTTGTTGCGCTTCAAAACGTCCATATTTAGCTTGTTTATTCATTCGACGTGAGCCCCATGTCCTAAGAGGACTAAAAAACAGATTAAAAAATTGAAACAAAAAAAACCTTTCTATAATGGAGGTTGGTGTATTTGCATAGCTCCCATTTGATTGTTGTTGCTCTCTCACTACATTATTTGGAGGTGCTTGAATTGAAAGTCCTCTTTTGAAACTTTCCAATTCTCCAGCTAGGCGTGAAGTTACATCTTGTAACAATTCTTGTCGTTCCTTTCCATCAGCAACAAACTGGATAATTTCCTGAATTTGAACACCCATCCGTTGCTGACAAAGCAGTTCTTGTTCAAGCCTGTTATTGACTCCACGCATTTGTTCATTCTCAATCCTTAAGTCTTTCAATTCAGCTTCCAAAGCTTTTACACGTGTCGAGAACAATTTCTTTAAAATAAATATTTTATATTTAAGTAATAATTCAAAAAAACCTCTACACTAAATAAATGTTCTTGATGTTGTCTATTCCAGGATAATTTGTCTTCTTCATGTTCAGCACGCAATTTTTGTTCTGCCAGTTTTTGTTCATTCAGTGATCGTTGTAAATCTTCAATTTGTTCTTTGAAATGTCCAATTGCGTCGTTTGTTTGATTTTCTTCCAACTATAAATAAAAATTATATTAAAATACCTATTCAAAAGGAAATTTTACTTCAAGTAATTGTTTTTCTTTGTAGGTTTCCAGCAATTCATCCCCACAACGTATATCTGATTGAACACAATCATCTTCTTCGCTTTGACTAACTTCCTTATTTTCTTCAGTCGAATTTGATTCATTAACGTTTTTTGCTGAACGTTCATTTGCCAATTCTTTTGTTAAAAGTGCTAGTTTTGCATCCGCTTCTGCACGAGCTTAATTTAAAAAAATGTAAAAATTAAACTAGCAAAAATACAAGCTAGCGCTGAACGGAGTTCACTTTTGTAAATGTCACACTTTTCTTGCAATTGCCTAGATAATGCATCTTTTTCTTTGAGATTTTGCTCACAAGATGCTAAAATTGCCTTAGTTTCAACAAGTTCTGAATTGGTTTCTTCAAAATCATGCAAAGCAACATCGCGCTGTTTTATCGCATTCTTCCATTCTCTTGATTGTGTGTTAAACCTTTCACTAATTTCTTCCAACTCTTTTTGTAAATCTTGTTTGTCCAAAATAAGCTGGCGATTCTTCTCTTTGGAATCTCGACACTTTTTCTCAAGTTCTTCAATCCCTACATGTTTTACCGGCCTTTGATTCTTTTCATCTTCTAACATTCTTCTTAGAATCTGCGAAAATACAAACATAATTAGTATAGCATTTATGTAATACCTGATTCTCATCTTTTAGTTGTGCAACAATATGATCTTGTTGAGTAGGCAAAGAGAATTCGGGAGGTTGCGGTTCTCTCGGAGGCGGCTCTCTATCATCATCGTCTTGTTTCTCATCTTCAGTTTGCTTATTCGTTTGTATTGAAGATAAAAATTGTGTACTTGTGACGCCAGAAAATGAGTGCAACAATGATTGAATTGAATCGAGCAAATGTAGACGATCAGAGAATACACTGAAATGTAAATATTAAAATAAAAGTTAGACCTTTAATTCGTATGCGTACCTTTCACTCGTATAAGTAAAACCTATAAAGGGCAAATGAAGTCCACTAAAAGGAGCCGTTACTTTAGGTGGTTGAGTTTCACATGGAGTAAAATCACTGGAAATTACACTAGGATCAAAATTTGATGTGTCTGTTGGACTAGAAACTTCTGGTTTGTAAGGAGCGTTCACTGAAAAATAATTAGATAATTATTAAAAATATAAAACAAACTTGAGCGAATATTTTCCCAGTCAATATCAAAAAAGAAAGGATGTGAACGAAAATCTTCAAGCCCATTAGCTCCCAGACGTTTATCCCGAGAACAAATCAGACGAGAAATTAAATCCTTGGCGTCGTCACTAATTTCAACATCTTCTGGGAATTCAAACATTTCTTCGTGGTTCATTATTTTTCCATATGTATCAACCAAACTTTCAGCATAAAAGGGTGTTTCGCCATAAATCATCTTTAAAAAATTATTTTCTAACGAAATGAAAGAATTATAACCTCAAACATACAAATCCCCAAAGACCACCAGTCACATTCAGCTCCATAGCGACCTCTTCCATCCTCAACTGCCTGAAAAATTAAAAATAACATTATCCATTAAAATTCTCAAACCCTAAGAGTCTCTGGAGAAATGTAATCAGGAGTGCCAACTGCTGTAGTGGCGCAAACAGTACCATCACTTTGTCTTCGTAAACAACTTCCAAAATCACCGAGCTTTATATGTCCATTAATATCCAAAAGTACATTGTCGGGCTTGATATCTCTAAAAATCATGGGTATATGCGTTTACATGCCCGCATTTTCCTATTCCTCTCCTTTCTTTTTTTAAACTTTTTGTTATCAACCGTGAATAATTCTTTAAGTTACAAACCATTACTTGCATTTTAATAAGTTCACTTTATTCTCATGATCTTCAATGGTGATAGAGGACTTTATTTAGCCAGAGTTGTGATCAGGCAACCAGGATTTTTCCCCGGGCTCAAAGTAGCAAATTATGTCTCGATTAGCAGCAGTTTCTAAGACATGCTTTAAAATTAATAAAAAAACCTGTGAACGTAGCCAAGTTTATGAATTGAGTCAATAGCCAAAACCATTTCAGCAACATAAAACTTGGCCATGTGTTCAGGCACGTGTCCATGTTCGTCTTCAAATTTTGAAAGAAGTGTAAGCAAATCACCGCCAACATAGTAATCCATTATTAAATACTACATAAAAATGAATTTTAAGTTTTGTGTTTAATTTTAAAAATAATCCAGTTTCCTCTAATTTAATAAACCTTGATGAAAAAAATCTTACCAAATTTTTATCATCTTGAAAGGCAAAATGCAAATTTGTAATCCAATGTCGATTACCAAACACCATCACATCTCGTTCTTCTTTGAAACATGCAGTTTCCGCCCTTTTGAGCATTTCCCATTTATTCAGGATTTTCATAGCATAGATCTTAACACCTAATTAAAGAAAGAACCATAAATAAATAACAAAACCTTATCAGTATTTAACAATTTAACAACAGCAACTTCACCAAACGATCCGCGACCAATGACTTTAAGAACTTCAAAATCATCCCTGCACAATCGAAGGGCTTTTATGCGAGAAACAACAGGCCTGGCTAAAATATTATAAATGACAAAAATTAAGCAAATTTTTGTAAAGGAAATATGAATTTATAAAACGGAATATTTACCTTCACTTCTATAATACATATAATTCCTAACAAGCAAAATTCGGCTCTAAAAATCATAGATTTAGGGAAAATAAAAAGGGTTATAAACGCTCAAAATTCCCTATTTTTATTAATAATAAAGAAATACCAAATTCAACAAATTCGGAGACAACTTTGTCTTTGCGCAAAGTACTATTGCAACATTCATCGTAGAGACATACAACAGTATCTAACAAAGTTTCAAGTGAAAACGCCTCAGAATAAGGTGCACCACAAAGATAAAGTTGTTCAAGTTGTCGCAAACGGTTTAATGGATGTTGGGGTTGAATAGCTTGAAGACTTGTAGCATTATCTGAGCTTGTCGAACCAGACGATGACATTAAATTATAGTGGAGGAATAGTATTCAGTAGGAATGTAAAAATGGAATGAACATTTGCCTAAATTAAAAAAACAAAAACAATTTTTAAGCAAAACAAAAACAAATTTTCTTAACAACAAAAATAGGACTCAACCGTCCTTTATTTCCGTCAAAATGCCTATTCGCTAACCCCTTAACTTGCCACTCAGCTGAAAAGGCACAAATTGCCCATGCAGCAAAAAAGTTACAACTTGCCTAATATAGCTAAATAAGTACAATTTGCCTACGCTGCTAAAGAGGTACAAATTGCCCACGCAGCTAAAATGGTAAAATTGTCTACACAGCTAAGAGTTACAACTTGCCTGAGTCTTCGCAGGAGACAATTAGACAGTGAATCGTTTTATATGTATTTTACTGAAGTATTAATCAAGAAAATCAACATCTCGTCAGTTGAATCTTGGATATTAGCATTGATCATTTGGGATAATATTCTTTAATCCTTTAATGCGTATAAAAATTGTTAACACTAAGTATATTGCAGATATGTATGTTAAGTCATTAATTCTATTCCTCAACTTACTCGATATGTAATCCATTTCTATTTATTTTGCAACAATTTGCCTCGAGATTTTGATTAGAAAATTTTATACTTTCATTAAATTTTTGTATAATATTTCTTACAGTATTTTATTGTCAACACAAAAATCCACAAAAATCTCTATAGTCCAATCTCTATTAACCAAAAATATCTGAAATTTTAACGCCTATTCCAAAAAACTACTGATATTTTTTCCATTATGGATAAACATGATAAAGTGTGGTTGTTTTCTTCTCAATAAGAGAGCCTCAATAAGTTGCATCGTCGTTCCACGTCTGTGATCACTACAACAGTTTTTTAGAGCCAGTCGGTCGATCAGCAGCAGCTAAAAAGCTGCTTATTCTCCTTTCATTCTTTGCTTTCTCCCTCAACGACATAATAATCCACCGACAGTCAAATCGCCTTGGGGTTTCCATACCTCGTTACAATGCTTTATTCTTCCATTTTATTGACGACAAGGGATTGTATAAAGCTAGAGAGGACCAAAATCATCAATGTCGCCATTTCCTCCCTTTTAACTAATCCGCGCTTCTTCAATTTTTTAACCACCTTGTCATCGTGTAAGCCGCGTATTAGACATTGTTTTATTCAGCCGCTTCCAAAATCTTCCCTTCCGTCGATTTTTTCTTAATAATGATCATTTTCTCTAAATTGCTCCGTTTATACATACATAGAAAAATATAATTATTACAATAACATTAAGCTTATATTGATCTCTTTTTTAATTTTAACACCTTAATGTTAATACATTCGTAATATTTTTAATGATCCTATTGAATTTTAAATCGTATCCCAAAAGAATTTTCTATCCATATTTAGACCTTAAATCTCAAAATTTTTACCACCATTTAAAAGTTGATTGCGCGCTGATAGACCACCCAGATGTTTATTAAACTTTTTATGTTTTCGGCTAGAATCCGGCTATTACATTTCCAATTTTCTTTATGTCCTATGATCGCAATTACAAACAGTGCAATTTTTAATGCGTAACCAATGTAATATCTACTATGATCATAAAAATATTCTATACATATACATACTTCCTTTTATTTTGCCATTACTTTACATTAAAAAAATTTTTCTTCTCAAGGACAACAAATACACTGATTTATATTTATGTATTTATTATAAAAATCCTTAAAATCTTTGATAAGCATCACGTTCATGAAAGTTATTCCTTCTGCAACCACAAGCGCTATAATCGGAAAGCAGCAACGCACAATCCCAAGACGGAATTTAAAGCATGAAATAAAAAAAGGAGAGAATAATGCTGATGAAGACTGGGTGGAGGACGAGGAGGGAGAGGCTGGGAGGGATGCAGCGTATACTGTTGTTGCATTTACGGCTGTAGGCTTTTCCTTGTTTGCTGTCCTATCTGTTGTTATTTGCATGCCAATCATATATAACTTTGTTGAACATGTTCAACGCCAGACAAGACGTGAACTCGACTTTTGCAAAGTTCTGTAATTTTTATATTTACAAGGATTATCATGAATAATTAATCTCTTTTGAGTTAAAGTCGAGAATCTTACTTTATACTCTCTGGCCTGAATCTTTTTGTATTAAAAGGCATTTAATTTATATGAAATTCCTAAGTGTAGTAGAATTTTCCGGCATATATGTACTGTAAAATCTGATAATGTGCTTAATAAAATAGCAGTTTACTCATTAAAATAGAAAATTTATACTTCTGTTCCAGGGATCGGCTAGGGATATAATGATTGAAGTAGAAACTAAACAACGCCGATTAGCAATAGCAGCACGGAGGAATCAAACAGATTTTGCTTCCTTACTTTCTCACAGTCGAAATCGTGCTAAACGAGAATCCTACGGTGGAAGCTGTGATTCTTGTTGCATTCCTGGCCATGCTGGGCGTCCAGGACCGCCTGGTTAATGAATCCTATAATATGTATTAATTAAAACTTTATTAATAATTCAGGACCAACGGGGACACCTGGAACACCTGGAGCACCCGGAAGACCAGGTTTGTAGCGGTTTTAAATGTATAGGGGTTTAGTTAACGTAAAAAGATTATAAAATCAAGGAAGTTTTACAAGTTAATGATCAATTCTATTTTTTAAATAATTTTCTCATGCAGGAAACCCAGGCAGACCGCCTATTATTTGTGAGGAAGTAGAGATTCCGCCATGTAATCCATGTCCACCAGGTCCGCCAGGCCGTGTAGGCCCTAATGGCCAGCCTGGAGCACCAGGAAGGCCTGGACCGCCAGGAAGACCTGGAAATAACGGTATTTATCAAAAAATTTATCTAAGGCAAGATAATATTTCTTTTGATTTTTAGGCCAGCCTGGGGCACCTGGATTAGCCGGTCCACCAGGGACATCTGGCAATGCAGGAGCTGATGGCGAGGTAAAAGAAAATTAGAATATTTCCAAGATTATGCTATGTTTAGAAAGGAGAGCCAGGCAGACCAGCAGCAAGCTCACCTTCTAGTCCAGGCGAGCCAGGGCCTCAAGGTGAACAAGGGCCTCAAGGATTACCTGGAGCTGATGGTTCGCCTGGTAGAGAAGGTAAAATTTTCATTTGTATTTTGATACTGATAATACCTTCTTAAGGTTCACCAGGTCAACCTGGACCACCTGGACTTCCCGGCGGAACTGGTAAGAAAAATGATTGCCTATAATATTGAATTTTTAATTATATCAGGTCCACAAGGGTCACCTGGACAACCAGGTCCACCTGGAGCACCCGGCGTAGCCGGACAACAAGGGGAACGTGGAATATGTACGTTGCTGAATAATTTTTAAAAATAACCACGATATATTCAGGCCCTAAGTATTGTGCACTGGATGGCGGTGTATTTTTTGAGGACGGGACCAGACGTTGAAATGAGAATAACATCTCGGCAAGAATTTGGCATAAATTTTGTTTACATAAAATTTAAACAGAAAGCATAGTATAAAATTTGAAGCTAATTTTATATGTATACGTTTATATGCATAAAAATTTATCTAAATTGTCAATCTAATCATTTCTTGGTCAAGCGCAAGAACCTTGTAGCGAATATTTGCAGCATCACACAATAAAGGGAAAATCTTAAATATATTTGAAGGCAAGTTTTCAATTCAAAGGAATTACCGATTGGATGTTCTTACGTGCAATTCTAGCACTTTGCGGCTCTAGAATTCCAAATGGACGGAAATTACTTGCAATCCTTCCTAACTTTTGATATTCAGTTTTATTTGAAGCTGCTTCATTTTCGGCCGTTTCTGTTATATTTGGCGGTCTTCTCCTTGTTGGGTCTGTAGACGGAGTTTTCTTACTACCATTAAGTGAAAACACATCATAATCATTCTGCGCTTCATCACCCGAATAAAGCTCAATCCTGAATGATCTTCAATATATATTGGAATAAATGGCTAACCAGACTGTAGGAGATTGAGATGACTCAGTTTTATCATCTGATATAGATAAAGCAGCGTCAAATGATACAGGAATGTCCAATATCTTTCTAGTTTTGGCAATGTTCAAATGACAATCAAAGAGCAAGGCTTCAACATTGCGCATTAACAAGAAATACTGTTCACAAAGTTGTAATCGTTCGATGGATATTTCATTTTTTCTTTTGATCACATGCATTTCCTTTACTAATATTATATGATTATCAGAATTAAGAAAGTATTAGAAATAAAAGATTTGAAAACTGATGGATAAAGAATAGGATAGGTTGTTTATCTTTTTTATCGAGATCAACTTTTCTGATTATTGCTAGTTGTTTTTACAATTTACGAGTGAGAACCGTCAATAAAGTGATAAATTAAAACATATCCAAATTATTTTAAAGCAATCTTTTAAAACGTTCATAGAAAGAATATGGCGCATCTAGAGCCATCAAAATGCCGCCTTTGTGTATATGATCAAACTGTACTCGTTCACCAATTTTTACGTTATTCTTAAGCTTTACTGAGTAATCAATTGGAAGGCCATCGACCAAAGATAGAAGTGCACCTCCAGCAGCTTTAGCAATTGCATCACAGGCACAAATATCCCATTTTTTGATTGCAGTTGAGTGAACATATAAATCTAAGGATTAATTTTCTGCTAAGACACTGGAATAAGCTCACCGGCTGTCTGTCGTATTAATCTCAAAGTTTTGTAACCAGTACCGCCTTGATAGAAAATGAAATTTATAATTTATCCAGAAAAACCTGCCGGTTCCACTGTATAGGGAAGGTTATCAACTCTAAATGCTTCTTCTATTTTGAGGGAAATATTGCCAGCGTGTGACCTTTAAAAATCGTTAAAGAGATTTTGAATGAACATACTATACCTTGAAATAAGCACTTTATGATTCTGCTTTTTCGAATGATAATTGCCCTTTAACAATTTTCCATCTTTTGAGCTAAACACTCCATGATCCACCATTCCAAGAACTTTTAATAATTTAATCAATTATTTACAACCTTAGTATAAATACTTGTTTCATTGTTAAAAGGACTGTGTATTGCCCCAACAAAAGGTTTTCCGTCAATTGTAATACATGCCATTACAGTCACGTATTTGGTTAACCCTTCTAAGAATTGATAGAGTAAGCATTAAATTTTCAAAAATTTATTATTACTACAACCAGTGAATTCCTGAGTGCCATCGAGTGGGTCGATCCATATAACAATACGACCTACAGGTTTTTAGTATTAATGCGTTAGAAAAATTTTTAGGATGACCTAAGGGGATCCTCCATGATGGCATGCTGGAAATCAATTCACGTAGACCCATCCATAGCTCATAATTATCCGCACGATACCGGTCCAATTCTCGATTATTTATTTTTGCAAATTTTTCTTCAGATATAACCTCAAAATAAACATTTCTAAAATCATACTTATAAAGGATATGCACAATATTAAATATTTTTTTCCAAAATTATGTAGATGCACATTCTAATCATAACCCCTCCGTACATTATTTTTTCGAAATAAACCTTAAGTAAAGGAAAGCGCCGTAAAAGTTCAAGCATTAGAGCATTTGAAATAAGATCAGCCCGAGTCAGCAGTTCAGCACGTCCAACATCCATTTGTTCCTGCTTTTCGTAGATCTGCATTTTGACGTTATTATTCTCCGAATAGATGCGTGAAATGGCACTCCCACCCATTTCTGTAGCAAGCACTATATAGCTAAACTCTTCAGTTTTTAAGAAATTATAATTCCATACCTTATAAGGTCTCTAAGTTCTACATCAATAGGCGGGAATGGATCCTTGGCAAACCAGATCAGAATAAACAAATAAAGGAAAAAGCTACCAATAAGAAAACCAAAAATATTTTTTAAGTTAGGTTTAAAAAACATTAATCGGCCCAATATTGATGGAAAGAATGACTAATACAATGTCCATTTTGAGCAATGTCAATTCAAGCTGGACTCAAACTGTCTGGATTTTTCCGTAGATGACTCTAACTTTGAAATTTTTTATTTTACTTTAGTAATATCTTTGGAATTTTTTTAAATTTTAATTAAAAAATTTTTCTTTTAATACATCTTGTGTTCCGGTGAATTTTAAATTGAATAATAAAAAACGACAAGCGGAAAGGGAGAGAGAGACCGATTTCGACGAATACAGTACGATAGGTTGGGACTTTCTAAACGGAAATGCTCAATTATTATAAAAAGTTTTCATCAATTTTTTGCATTTTATTTTTTTATTCATTTCCATTGTAATTTGAAGGTTTAATTCTCGTTCCTTTTCATAAAGCTTGGCGGAAGTCCAGAGGCGCCACTCTGTCGCGGCACACTTCATTGAATCTCTTCTTGATCTTGAACGAAAATGCATAATTTAGTGGGTGAGCAAATTGTTTATTTGTGTGAAAAGGAGGATAATAAAAGTAAGACGATTATCTATTGGTAGTAGAACGATTTTTGGTGAAGTTATTTGCTACTTTGGACAATACTCTTGAGAACAAATTTGATACCAAATAACATTAGATCAAAACTGATCAACAAAAAAATTCCCACAGATCATTAGGTTCATTTAATAAATCTGTACAATGTATAAATCACATATTCATTGATGAAATTGCAAAATCTTTTTTTTTAAATTCCCTTCATATTCTCGAATTTTAGTGCATAAAAAGAAATTAAAATTTTCTCAGGCAGTCGTTGTTGACATGTGGTGTATCTTGCGCAAATGCTTTTTTAAGTCAAAATTTCTGCAGAATCCCTTATCACATAACTTAATTTTTCATTATCATGATTGATAAATACAAAGTTATTTAACCTTGCAAGAGAAGTTAAAAATTCCATTATGAAGTTAAAAATTAAATGAAGAAAAATATATTTGGATTTAAAATTTGATGGGTTACTGTCATCTTTGTGCACTGCTAAATATTATTAATGTTTAGTGGGAGTATTCTTACACGGGTGGTGGTTGTTCGACTGGAACCGACAATCGAGGAAGGGATTAGGAATCCTGTGAAAAGGCGCCACCCAATGGTGCAATAACGTCCTCTCTGAAAAACAGGCGGCAGACAAAATCATTCGAGCGATATGCTCCGCCTTTTTGTATGGTTTTACTTCAACAATAGGAGTTATTACTAAATCCTTATTTACTTACCATCCCTTTTATGGTTTGTTTATTTTGTTGGGGTTTTAGCATTCTTCATTTCAATCTACATATGTGACTTTTAGTTTCTAAACTTATATAGTCGAAATACTCAGAAAAACGCCATCTGTGATTATTTTGATTATATTTTTTGAAAATTAAATGCCGAAATGCGCAATCATCAACTCTTTTGTCGTTAACATTATTAAAACTATAACTGTGTGGGGCTTCTAATCTAAATCTTTTATAAAGCTCTAAAGGAAGGAAGAGTTAAACAGGAATGAAGAAGGAAAAAACTAATCCTATGTTAAGAGAGGTTGAAAGGAGCAACAGCGAGGCAAATGCTGCCAAAGTATTCAAAGACGTAAACAAATCCCATCATCCTTATTGAATGAAGGTGGATGTAGAGGAGGAATTAAGACTCACCTCATCAATTTTTACCGCAATGCCTAGTTGCAAATAGAGGTGAATAAAAATAAACGGCCAGCGGGAAAGCGCGAAAAGTTATTGGTGATGTGCTTTTGTAAGAGTAGATAAATCCTTAAGCAATGCGTAAAATTTTTAAAGACTTGAATGTATAAAATTGAAAAAATGTATTTTATTTTAAGGGAATGTAAAGCTATTTTATTCATAAAAATATGATATCATTAAGCTTTTTACAAGTGTATTTTAAATTTTCTCCATCGAAAATATTTTAAATAATTTAAATTTTTCCTTGAAAAATTTTTTCTGCAACCAAAAATAGGTACTGTAAGCTAACAAAATCTCTGAAAATACAAGGGAAGAAAATGTATCATCCGCTATACATGTTTGAAGAGCTCTTTTATTGAAGTTGTTGAACTTGTGTGTGTCATAATGCGCGAGTATGAGAGAACGTGAATGAAAAGGAATGACCAAAAATAAGTCCTATTCCTCGATGAATTATTATATTTTCGCAGAGATTAACCTTATATGTATACTTGCTGGTTTCGACGATGAAGAAAGGCGGCCAGAAGTGGTTTTAATAAATCTGACGGAATAAATGGTAATTGATAGTTATGTATATTAGTAACAGAAGTCATTTCTTCAACGAGGTCAACAAAGGATGAGTATGGCCATAATTGGAGGACAAATTTGACAATAAATAAACAACTATTTATTATAATTCAGCGAATAAATAAGCATCTCAAGAGTCAGAAGATATATAATTTTATTAAATTTCATAATAATAGTTCCGTTAGTTCTCTAAAAAGTAGAAAAATGTTCAAAGTTTTAGCCTTTTTCGGTGTTTCGTCTGTTGTTCGGCACCTCTGGCAAAAATTACTACATATTACATATACTATTTAGTAAGTTCGACACAATAAATAATTGTCAATTCAGTAAAAACATTTAATCATTATTCTATTATTTCTTTTTACTCCTCAAGATTGCCTAAGCAACACTTTTTTAATTCACTTTTTTCAACGTTGGATGAAGCAACTTTGTTGGCGGTCAATTTATTTTTCATTATTCGCCCCTATTTATTTACTAAATTTGGAGAGAGTTTTTCACTTATTTTAGTTAAAACCTTATTTACGTAAAGTGGGGGGAAGCGGAGAGAAAGTGGCTTTTCCCAGGAGAATAAATGTGAGAATTTGGATCCGTCTGCTATTTAGGATGCGGAAACCGTGCCTAATCTAGTTGTTCACGGTGAAAAAAATGGGAGGGGCTATGAATTAATAGAATTCTCGTCGTGTGCGCATTCTTCAAAATCCGTCATTGTGTGTCAAATTTACGTCTATAAAAGTTTTTTGTGGTTTGTAAGCGAATAGGTGTGGGCATTTGCCGAAATTAAGTGCCATTCTTCACTATAGTTAAGAGCAGATGGCTGAATTATTTTTTACCTAATAAATTCTCTCAATTGTGGATATCAGATGGAGAGCTTCCACACATTCCCATTTTCTGCTGTCAAATTCCCAGTTTAATTCAAAACCTACTCTTCATTCTTGTGAAAATTTTAATGAAAAAAATGCAAAGTTTCTTTACAATTTGAATCTTTGATAATATGAGGAATTCATTATTTTTATAAGTTGCAATATTTAAATATTTTTTAGTTCCGCCTCTGCCAAATAGAAGCGGAAGAATATGGAAGGAATAATTATTAATCGCAGTGATCGGTCTCCAAACAACATAAACGATTCTTCTACTCCTCCATTAAACTGCCTCAATAAGCCAAACAAATCCTCAAATAATCCTTCCGTTTTTCCTATGGCTTTTCCGGTTCGGGCAACAACGATTCTGTTTGCACTACTTTCAGTAATGTTTATTATGAGTTTTCAACATCAAGCCCAAGCAGCATCCCTCTCAATACCTGTCGCACAAATGATAGGCGAAAGCGGACTATTTGAGCGTGATGATAGAGACTATCGGCCATTGCAAGTTTGTACTAGCTGTATGAAATAAAATAATAAGCTAATAGTCTGATCAGACCTGCTCACGGACACGGATTTTGGTATCTGTATAAAACAGGTAGATGTCCGTAGGCATCTTGATTTGTCCGTGAGCAGAGCTGGTCTAACTAAGCATATTCATATTCAGTTTGGAAAGCGAGATTACCGGCCATTACAATTTGGTAAACGCGACTACCGACCTTTGCAATTCGGAAAGAGAGATTACAGGCCTTTGCAGTTTGGAAAACGCAGCCATTACTGGCCAACTGATTCGTTGGACTCGGGAGTAGAAGTGATCGCCAATTAAAAATTAACAACTTTCTAACATATTATTTCTTAAAAAGAAGAGAGGAGGAGAAGAGCAACCAGCCAGCCGTTACCCACGCCATTTTTGCATTTTCAATTTTTTAAAATTTTCTCCTATGTATTTTAATATAGATTTGTGTACTATTATTGGAATAAATGACGAGTTTTACACATTTTTATAAATATTTTAAATTAAGAATTATGCTTCTAAATTAAATGTATAATGCAGCTTTAATAAAAATCATCGAGTTTAGAATAATTTTTTTCGTATTTGATAAAAAATATATGTATGGTTAGAGATTCTATTGTCCCATTTCATTAGCAAATATTGAAAATTGTTGTTATTTGTAGGTATGGCCATGAAGAAGCATACAATAAGGTTTGACCGAACTGTAAAAACAAATTTATTAAGACTTGGAGATGAGTTAGTTAATCAAATTTAGTGGCCCAAAGATTGATAAACTTGCATAAATCCGGCATTAGTCACACAATCGCAAACTTCTCCAAGATCCTTTTTCCAACCGACTTTTCTACCACAACGTTTGATTATTGGCCCAATTAGCTGTTCCTCTAACTTAGGATGACATCTTTAAAGTAAATGCACCATTAGTAAAACAAGTATTAAACTTAAATTTCTAATACTAACCCAGAATGATCAAAACATGAATCCTGTTTATCTCGCTGAATTAAACAGCCTTTTACACACATGCCAATATTTACAGCCGACTTCATAAATGGAAAAATCAAAAGGATTTTCTTTCTTTATTGCACGTACCTGTACCAATTTTTGATTCTCCAAGCTCATTTCTTGCATGAAAGCTTGAACTTGAGATTTTAAACGTTTTTCACCCGCACCTAAAAGTTTCTCCAGGTTAGAACGAGGTATTTGGGGACCATTTTTGACGCTAACACATCTTAATATAAAACACATAGTAATGTGAAAATGCAAATGAACTAACGTTTGGTGAGTTTTCTTTAAGCAATTGATAAACTTATCAAGCAATGTCTTGTTAGTGAAGCATTTTTTCAAGTGTTCGGGGTTTGCAGAAAACTGAAGGTTATAATTAGAGATCAAGCTGGATCCAGACCTTAATATTTCCTGGATCCAGAGTCAAAATCAAGACATTTTTCAGAGTTCCTTGAATTTTCCTTGACTTAAGGTCAGAAATCTGGTCAAGGTCCTCACTTAAAATCAAGGTCAAGTGTTTTTAAAATCTCGGTCTCTAGTTATATTAGGTATTATACTTAAGGCGAGTTAGATAAATATTGGGGCTCCCATACAAAATACCGAATTCTTAAAATATGGAATCTCAAAATCGCGAATCGGCTAAAAAAGCTCAAAATATGGAATCTCAAAATATCGAATCTCAAAATATGGAATAGGCAAAAAAAGCTCAAAATATCGAAAAATATCGACAATGCGGCAAAGGCCAGTTGAGTCTGAACAAAGTTGTGACCAACTTCTTCGTAAAAAAATTTTAAAAATAAGAGAAAGTATTTTTCTAAGGTAAAAAAATGTGCTGATTACGAATCTCAGCTCGGATTTTGAAAAAGTCGAATCCCGGACCCGAACCGAATTTCGAATCCCGAACCGAATTTCGAGTTTCCGAATGATAGCTCATCTGAAAGAGCACGTCGAGCTGCATCGAATGATACCAAAATCAATGAAATCCGACCTGATTGGACTGAGTTACAGATCCCTGAATAATCAGAAAAAGACCTGCAGCGGCACTCAAACGGCCCTTTTCGTTTTTAAAAAATTCGACATTTTTAACTACTTTTTAGCCGATTCGGTATTTTGAGCTTTTTTGGCCGATTCGCGATTTTGAGATTCGATATTTTAAGATTCCATATTTTGAGCTTTTTTGGCCGATTCCATATTTTGAGATATTTTTACCGATTCGCGATTTTGAGCTTTTTTAGCCTATTCGCGATTTTGAGAATTCGGTATTTTGTGCGGGCACGAAATATTGGACAAATTTATTAAATTTTTTACTGCTTTTATCTGTACATCCTGAGTCCAACAAATATCGAAGCAGTCATGAACCTGGCTTTTGAAAGAATTAATGCAGATACTTTCCTCAGTGCAGGAACATTGTCTAATGAGACTTGTTGAAGCCGTATTCGTTGAACTGCTTATAATATATTTTCCGTCAGAAGATAATTCAACTTGTGTTGTTAATAAAACAAACGAAAATATAAAGATAAGCAATAAAAACGTGCTTCGAAAACTTCTGACAAATACATGCATTCTATTGCTGTCGGAGGAGCAGGGGTCTTAAAATAGGCTATAAACACTTCGTTATCAGAATAGAAATAATTATTTCGATAATTATTATGGAACGTTTTTAAGGACAAAAAAGAAATATTATGCAAATACCTCACTTATACTCCGCGTCAAAATGATAGCTCCACCCCTATATTCTATTTTTATTTCCGAATTTGTGAACTAAAAAATATCAGATTTTTTTCTAATATCCCTCCTATCAAGACCAGCTTAAAAACATACAAAACAGAAAAAATTTCATCAAAAATATTTTAGAAAAGTTCCAATACATGTTTTTGTGGTGCGTCAAAATGATAGCTCCACTTTTAAAAAGCTTAGTTAGGGGGCAGCTAAAATTCCCCAAAAATTTCTGTGAACTTATCTATCGATAGGTATCCTAAATAGAAAAAGAACGATGTCAAAAACTATCTTCATTACAGAGATCTGAAGTCCCATTTTTCAACGGGAAATGGGGGTACAGTACTTCAAAAAATATTTTCGACCCCTTAGGGTAGGTGTAAAATTTTTCTTTTATACTCGACAAATAGCCAATAAAATTTGCTATAAGATGCAGAAGGACCCATCCTTCTAAAAAATTTGTCCGGATCAGCGTTCAAGCTAGAAAAAACGATAGCTAAAAACAGTGCATTTTTAGGCTATTTCTGGGCAGCAGTTATTCCAGCCTGAACGCTGATCCGGACAAATTTTTTAGAAGGATGGGTCCTTCTGCATCTTATAGCAAATTTTATTGGCTATTTGTCGAGTATAAAAGAAAAATTTTACACCTACCCTAAGGGGTCGAAAATATTTTTTGAAGTACTGTACCCCCATTTCCCGTTGAAAAATGGGACTTCAGATCTCTGTAATGAAGATAGTTTTTGACATCGTTCTTTTTCTATTTAGGATACCTATCGATAGATAAGTTCACAGAAATTTTTGGGGAATTTTAGCTGCCCCCTAAATAAGCTTTTTAAAAGTGGAGCTATCATTTTGACGCACCACAAAAACATGTATTGGAACTTTTCTAAAATATTTTTGATGAAATTTTTTCTGTTTTGTATGTTTTTAAGCTGGTCTTGATAGGAGGGATATTAGAAAAAAATATGGAAAATCTAGAGCACTAGTTAGTAAATAAAAATCGAAAATCTAGGTGGAGCTATCATTTTGACGCGGAGTGTATATTAAAATTAATTGTGCTAAATACATATCTTATATTAGAACAAAAATAAAGAAAAATAAGAAAATATTATAAAATTATCAATAGTGTTTTGCAAAAATTTTTACTTCATATTAAGTGATTATTAATTTTAAAAAATATTAAAATTGCGACCTTGCGCGAAGAGTAACATTGTTATTACACTCAATGCAACACAAATATGAAAAACTTTCTACGCCGAACGTGATTTTTAACATTAGTGTAAATAAGTTAATAAAAAAGATAAACTAAATATACTCAATGATGCAATGACGAATGTTTTGCTGACGAAAGGAAAATTTGCCAAAAGGTTTGGTGCTAAACGTTATCTGGCTAATACTGTTGGTCCATCAATAATTGGAGCCTTCTTAACCTTTATATGCCATATTAATATGATTAACGATTATTCTGATCTTGTTTCTTTGCTTTATCTTTAATAATTTATGAGTATTTAATTCTAAAGACGATGGAAAAATCCTCTAAAATGCAGAGTAATATTTCAAGAATCAATGGACATGGAAAAATTTCTTGTGTGGACCGTCAGTTTTTCGGTATATATTTATCTGATAATCTTATTAATTTGACTAAAACTGATTCGAAACAATATAGTTTTTGAGAATTTTAATTTTAATCCTTATCAATTATCATTAACTCTAATTGTTGTGAAGCAAAACTTTGGGTATTTCAATTATTGTGAAATTATTTCCAGGAAAGGAACTCGAGGAATATTCAGCGAATTCAGAAACCCGTTCTGCACCTGGAGACCTGTCTGAATTACCCAGAGTATGGCATTGCCACATGGATTTGCTCCAACAAAATGATATCCTCCAGCAGCCGGGACCAAGCAATCTGGACGCGCGTAAAATCTCGAAGAATCGGAGGACGTTTGTAAATGATCGTAATCTTGAACTAAGTTGTGGTGATTCAAAAAAACAAAAGAGAAAAAAAGGTCATTTACGTGGGACTCGAAGCAATGGATTTGCTTCTGGGCCACCTTTTCCAAAATTTACTGATCTCCAGAAGAGGAGATTATCACGCAATAGCGAAACAGATGACTACTATTGTGATGATTATCCATGGGGTGCGCCTTTAAACGAACAGCAGAAAAAGCAACAAATGGCACTTATTGAACATGTAAATTAATTCTAAATGAAATATTTTTGCAGTTTAATTGAAAAAAATATTTAGGAAATCAATGAAATGGCCAATGAAACACTTTGTGGATTAGGACAATGGAGACCACAGTTTTATTTTCACGAAAAATTTCGGCTCATTTTTTAAAATTTAAGGTGGTTACAACGTTTCGCTCGTAGGGAGTGGATGTTGATTTTGATGTGTTGGTTTTGCTTAATCCAGGGTATTATTTTCGTTGTCAAGTTTTATATTTTATTTAAAGGAATGATCGTGAGTGGCTTAGTTCCCTCTTCGATTTCAAGTTCTTTACTAAATTTTTATTTAAAAAAATTTGGTATTTCAGCCATAGAACGCCGCTTCCAATTCTCCACTCTCTTAAAATTTATTGACATTTAATTCGAAAAAATCAACAGAATCGTGAAATAAAATCCTGATATTTTGTTTTGTTAGTGTTGTATATACAAGGAATGTCACGGGGTTGAGAAAAGTCGGGATTTCGGGCCTGGTCATCAAAATTTTTTTCTGTTAGGGTTTCAGGTTAAAAAACAAGGTTTAGGGTCGGGTTAGTTAGGGGGATTAAGGGAGAAAAGGAAATCAAGTGTTCATTAAAATGTACATATGTAAAATACCTTCTTCAATAATCTTCTTGAATGTTATAGAGACAATTCTGCAAAATATAAATTTTATAAAATATGTAAGTAATTAAAAAATGCAAACATATAGAAATATTTTGCGACACTTGATCTATACATTTTCCCAATTCTGTTGCACAACGTCTTTGCCATTCTGCTTTTGCTTTCCATCTTTCAAGTTCTTTATACCTTTCAAAAATTTTGAAAAAAAATATAAAATTTATATCTGACAGAGATGTAACGGGTTATCCGAAACACGAGATCGTGACTTTTTTTCCGTCCCGAAGAAAATTTCGAAGTCCAGTCCCGATTTTTTTCTCAACCCGTTACATCCCTGCCTATAAATTACCAAATTCCCCATCACTAGGCGCTGCTCTAACACCAACTAGCGAAGCAATAATTCTCTGAATCCGAGCAGCGAATTCTATAGGCGATTCTTGTGGGCGGCATTTTTGAGGAGCTTAAAAAATTTTAATTTTATTTAAAAAACAGAAAAATAAATACGTAAATAATGAACATTATAGACAATTGCCCATGAGGTTACAACTCCCAATAAAAACATGAACAAATAATTTTCCTTCCAATAAGAATCACAATAACGAGATTCTTGTCTAAAAATTAAAAAAAATAATAATTTTAATTAAAACAAAAAATATACTTAATTACAACTGGATAAACAATAATATCTTTCTGAAAAACAGCTTTTCTAAATTGAAGTACTTGTGAATTGTTTGTGCAGTATCCCTCTGGAAAGAGAATTACTGGTCCAGATTTCTGTATAAAAAGAATTTTATTAAAATTAAAGATTGACTAATCTTAGACCGGACTGCGAAGGTCGTACGAGAATCGAGATCGATATCTCTAAAAAATCTCAGATTCGGTATCCGAGATTTCTGACCGAATCCCGTTTCGGTCCGGCTTCTAGACTAATCCTATTTTATTTAATGTTCAAAAAATAATTTTTAGGTCAGAATTAGAAATTTTTTTAGTTACTCTAGCTGCTTTAAGTACATCCACTACCTATTTTTCATTTTATTCTAGTACCACGAAATGTTTCCAACCATCGATTGGAAACATAAATTTTTCTGGACGTGAAAAGGTGTGCTATTGGACGCGTCATATGGACAAGACAAAAAACAAAAATAAAAACTAACGAAAAATATCATTAAAATTTGCCACATCTGAGGTACTGCCATTGTTCTTTGATTTTAACCGGTGCATACGATCCTTAAATTATATTTGTTAAAATTGGTTCAGTTAAAAATAAACCTCATGATCAGCAAGTGTCGCTCTTTCAGCCCGTGCTTCCTCCTCTTCTGCTGCTTTTGCTTCATCTCTTCTTACTCTGGCTACATTTTTTTGTACGTACATGCCATTTTTTATGACGCAGAATGTTAATTGCTCTCTATTATAGCTAATTTAAAAAGTTTCTTTAAATTAATTTTAAAAGAAATATGTAAAGCAAAAATTTAAGCTGTTAGACAAAAACCGAAATATTTTCTGGGACACGCCCGAGTAGGCGCAGGCCAAGTAGGCGCGACCGAGTAGGCGCAGGCCAAGTAGGCGCAAGGCCAAGTAGGCGCACGGCCAAGTAGGCGCAAACCTTTAGTATAATTAAAAGTTAGAAGAATAATTAAAAAACAATAATTTATTTTTTAATCCATTAAAAGCTTTTAATCCAATTTTTTTGAAAATCGTAGAATTTTTAAAATTTCCTCAAATTTCAGAGATTGTTTAATACTTAAAATGAAACGGAAACAAAATGACAGCGAATCATCCTCAACTTCTCAACATCCTCAAGGTAAAACGACAAAGAAGGCAGAGATTGTAGACTTTGATGAAGCTTTTGGACTTCTTGAAGATCCATTGGAGGATATTGTAACGGTTTCAAGGCAAAAATTATAAAGGCAAGTTGGATGGAAGGAAGGAAAAAGTCTGACCATTTTGTAAAAACATAGGGGGGTGGGAAATAGGGAGGAAAAAATGGGGCCCATACTCTTCAATATTACCAACCTCCTAAGAAAACCTCTTAGGAGGTTTTTTAAGAAGGATCTGATGTGAGTTGTTTTTCACTAAAAGTGACACTAACATAAGCTGAATTATGGATTCCAAAGACTACAACATAAAATTAGTTGAAATGGCTATCTATCCAAGAGCTTGATTTTTGAAATTCCAATCAAGTTGTTGATTGTGGGAATCAATTTAAGAGTGAAATCTTTAATCAATATCAATTCTTTAGGTCCCCCAACCTTCCGACATCCAAATTCAACCACCACTGGAACAACAACCAACATCTGTTCATTCAATTGAAGAAAAATCGGCAAAAAATGACGACGTCGACAATGCTGAAAAATGTGAAGAAAAATTAAAGCAATTGATGCCGTCAACAAGTAAACAAAGAAAAAGTTTGAAGGAGGAAGATGATTTGTTGCCTCCTAAGAAGATTAATGAAGAGGATGAATTGGCAAGGCTTAAACTGCAGTATATTTTTTTGATTTTTAAATTATCTTTTGGGGACATCCCTTTAGAACCTACACCTTAAAGCATTACACCCGGAAGACCTACACCTTTTAAAAGGGAATATCGAGGGATTAAGCGGGAAAGCACCCAGCTCTATGGAGATTATACCCATATTCAGTGCTTACCCATATTCTTTATCTTAGAACCCAGGGCCATAGCCTGGGTTCCTACGGCCTTCCAAGATTTCAAAATTTCCTCCTTGGCCCCTCCTTAAAAATACTGGCTACGGTCCAGTTGGAACTTATAGGTATTGTGAGTGTGCACCATAACTGGGGAGTAAAGATCACTATCCCCTTCAATCCCTCCAAATCCATCGATATCCACTCAATCCTTGATATTACCTTTCTGAAGTTTATGGTCTTCAGGATATTGTCTTTATGGTGTGGGAGTTCAGTGAGGACTCGTTTTTTCCCTTAAAATTCTTCCTTCTTTTTTTAGAATCCTTCTCGCAAATTTTACCCTAGAACAACTTGAACTTATGAAACGATGAGACGTGCCAGTTTTCCAAAATCGGCGATTCGACGGGTTTCTTTTATTTTTTAATTTTAAAATTTAAATATTTTAGTTGATTAGCCAATTTGCTGGTGTTTCTGTTGGTCAAAATGTGGTTATTGCGATTGCTGGTATGGCGAAAGTGTTCACTGGAGAGTTGATTGAAGAAGGTTATTTATAAATTTTTTTCTGATTTTTTGGTCCTACAAATCTTATCGAACCTTTCAAGTGGGTCATTGGAAGGGTTCGTATTTTCCAGTGGGTATTAGGGTTCCGCCAGTCTCAATGAACCTTTCCATGGGAAGAAAATGAACTTTTTAACGAAGAAAAAGGACGGGACATGGTTTTTCGGGTTCCCTTGGAGTAGTGGGCTTTTTCTTGTCTACGGGGTTCCGCCAGTCGCGGTCTAGCAGATTTTCTGGGAATGATCTTCTAGAATGACATTTCTCTGGGGAAAAATATCCTTGTCTTGGTCATAGGAACTTTTTCGAATTAAAAATCTCTTTTCAGCACTAGACATCCAAAAAGCTGAGCGTGAAACCAACAATGAAGCTTCAACATCCTCTGAGCCTTTAACACCTCGACATTTGCAATTAGCCCTAGACAAGCAAGGGAAGTTGTTTCCGGCAAGACCAAGAAGATGTACATTTTTAAAAAGAAGATTCTTTTGAGATAAATTTTTGATTTTTTTGGAAATGTTTATAAATTTTTGATTTTTAAATAAATAAAATTTTTAAAGAAGCGTTGTAATAAGTTGATAAAATTTAAGCGGAAATTCTGTCCAAGTGGGAATTTTTTGGGGAGTTTTTCAGTTTGACTATGAACTTCCCAAGTCTGAGTGGGTCTTTCGGGGATGTTCCTCGTTTCCCAAGCATTCTTGATTGGTATATCTTCCGAAAAAATTTATTTCAATCCTTCCAAAGCCAATATTTTTTTAGAACTCCAGAGGCTTTGAAATTTCGAATTTTCTTCACATTTTTAGAGTTATCGACAAAATAACAACTAGTTTACACTTTGACATTTTCCAAATTGAAAATTAACATAATGAAATGCGTTAATTTTCAGTTCAAATTTATTTGGCATCACTTTTTTCTGAAATCTGGATTTTCACAGATTTTTGTTAATCTCCGGAGATTACGCGTTTTTTGTTGTTTTTTTTTTCATTTTTTCTATTATCTCATCTGTTTTTTTAATTTTATTCGTTTATTCGTTGACCCCAACGCTGCGCGCGCTTAAAATTGCTAAAAAATAATTTTTTAAATTTTTTTACAAAATTTAATTTTTTCAAATTGAAGGCCAGTCCCGACGTCTGGAATGCTCCTTCTGGATGGCTGGCCGGTTAAATTTGATTTTTTTTTGTTTTTTTAATTTGAGTTTGAAATTTTTTATTTTGTTAGGCGCTGCTTCTACCGTGCTCTACATGATTGGATGTGGTGGCCGTGGCTGGATGCCTTGCTGGATGGCTTCAACCAAACGGTGGGTTTTTTCCTAGTTTATATGAATTTTTAAATTTAAAAATGAATTTTTTTTATTTTTATGTATGTTCATCATGTGGTGGCCTTTGGAGAATATGCTGCTGGTCTTACTGGTGGTGGTCTGGTGGCCTGTTTTTTTTTAATTAAAAAAAAATTTTTTTTTTAATTTTTTTTAAAAAAGTTATGCTTGTGGTGGTGGTTTGGTGGCTCTCTTCATGCTCTTGGTGGTTGGCGTGCTCTTGGTGTTTGATGGCTCTCAACATGCTTTTGGTGGTTGGTGGCCCTCTTCATGCTCTTGGTGGCCTGCTGATGTGTTGTTGGAATATGGTTGGGGTGTGGTTTTTTTTATTAAAAAATTTAATAAAATAAAATTTATAATGGGAGGGGGTGATTTTCAGACAGGTTCTATTCCATGTACTGGTGGTGTTGGTGGCTCGTCTACATGCCCTTTCTCGTCTACATGGTCTTCCTCATCAACCCTTGGCCCGGTAAATCTTCAAATTTTTTAAATGAAAAATCGCTTGCTAAAAATGCGCGCGCAATGACCCCACCCCTTTCTTCATTTTCTTGTTTTTCTTGTCCTTGTCTTTTTTTGTCTTTGTTTTTTTTCAATTTTTTTCATGAAATTTTTGAATGTTTTAGCTCAACTTTTGGTATGGATTGTATGGACAAAGCAGAATGTGCTCCATTGGATGGAATCCGTTTTTAGAGGTTTTTTAGGTTTTTGGCGAAGGGGGGGGATTTTTACGGGGAAAAACCTGAGAGGCTAGAGGGGTGATTATTGATTTTCGTTACAAATCTCTCTGTCGTGTTTTTATCGATTTTATTTTTGGCATTCTGTTTAATGACAATTCATCCCATTTAAATTAGGTACATTTGAGTCTTACAACATTTGAGTCTTACGCAAATTCATCTTCATCATCCTTTTCTTCGTTTACCTTGACCCAATTTTTTAACTCCGATCGAGATCAGTTTTCTTTAATTCCACGCGTATTTCCTTTTTCAACAGATTTTAATTGATTTTTAACTTTTGCAAGTCTAATTACTTACTTTTTCAGATTTTAACATTAACCTCTTTTAATTATTCTAATGACTACTCTCTTAATTACTCCAACTTTAAATTCAACTAATCAATTTGCTACCAGTTTTGTTCTTCATTTACTGAAATCTGGTCGATCAACTAATGAGAAGAGACAACTCTGCTTTGGTTTCGCCTAAAGATGGAACGAAGATTTCAAAATCTGTGGAGCCTTATCTTCAGGGAGGTCAACTCAACATTTTGTTTGGCTCTGCTGGTTCTCAAAAGGTTGTTAAGAGAGTTGTTGAGGTTAATGAGGTTTGTGATTTGAGTTTGGGATTGTCTAGGGTCCATAAAAGCTTCCGGGATTGCTCTGTGTGTTTGGTTAGCCTTATACCATGGGATTCGAAAGCGGGTACCTCAGGTTCCGGGGAGAGGCCCGTTTGTCTCCTCTGGTTTCTCTGAGATAAGATTCAAGACCAGGTACTTCAGGTTCCGGGATTGGCCCGTTTGTCTCCTCCTGTTTCTCATAGTTAAGGTTCAAGACGGTGTTATTTCAGGTTCCGGGGACGGCTCGTTAGTCCTTCCTGGTTTTTCTGTGGGGTAAGATTCAAGACCGTATTACTTTAGGTTCCGGGGACGGCCCGTTCGTCTTTTATTGTTTCTCTGTGGGATAAGATTCAAGACCTTGTTACTTCAGGTTCCGGGGACTGCCGTTTGTCTTCCCCGGGGTTCTCTCTGAGTTAAGGTTCAAGACCGGTACTTCAGGGTCCGTAATTGGCCCGTTTGTCTTCTTTTTTCTCTGTGAGATAAGATTCAGGACCGTGTTACTTCAGGTTCTGGGGACGGGCCGTTTGTCTTTTCTGAGTTCTCTGGGGTCCGTGATGACCCATTTGGCTTCTCCTCTTTCTCTGAATAATATTCAAGACCGGGAACTTCAGGTTTCGTGATTGGCCCATATATCTTCTCTGGTTTCTCTTTGGGATAAGATTCAAAACTAGGTATTTTAGTTGGAAAAACCTGAAAACCTTTGACCTTTGAAAGGTAAAATCAAGGGATTAAGGTGGATAAATGATTACCATCCCTGGGTTTGTAGAATCTACCCTTCATCACACCAAACCCTCGATATTCCCTTTTGATATTTCCTTTTAAAAGTTTTAGGTCTTCTGGGTCAAAGGTCTTTAGAATTTTGACCCAGAAGCCTTCTGGCGTGACTCAATTAATTTTAAAAATTTTTCTAGTATGTCAATAAAATTATTGAACAAGCTCTTGATACTTACAAAAAGAAGAGAAGTCAAAAAGTAGAGGTTGAACCAAAATTATCTGCTCTAATCGATCGCATTTTTCAACAAAACTTGGAACGTCGCGATTTTAATTCTGTAATTGGTTTGGCTTTTGATACTCGGCGAATTGATATGGTGGAGACTGCAATTAAGTCTAATGAGGTGCCAGAAAAAACACCAGTAATGATTGAAACGCTTAATAAAGTTTGGGAATCACAATTGGATATTGAGTTTAGAATTTTGGTGCTTGACTTGATTTTCCATATGTTGGATGCTGATTTGCAAATTGAGAAGAAGGGGTCGCAGAATTTGGCTTTGAAAGTGCTTTCGATATGCCAGGTTTTTATACCTCTTGTTAGTTTGGTTTTTACATATGGACATAGGTTTCCTTACGGTTTTATTTTTCTTTTTGGATATTGGGTTTTTGTTATAATTTTCTTTTTGTTGGAATATCCTTTTCCTCTTTTTTCTTTATAATTAACCTTTGATCTCTAATGGATGATGAGTATTTTCGACACTTGATTATGGGCGGGGGAATTTATCACTAGCAATGTAGACTCTCACTAGGGCCTCTTCCCTCGTTTTTCTATTTTCACTTACTCTTTGAATCTCTTAATGGACGAAGGACTTGTTGTTACTTGAGGATTTTACCACTTTCACCGGCCTCTTCACTTTTCCCAAGCTTCTTTTCTAAACATTTCACTAAATTTATTTCTTTTCAGTGTTTGATCAAATTAGAACGCCTTGCCCAAGTTGCACAGATTTTTAATAATCTTTTATCGAAGGTTTTTAAATTCTATTTTTCTTCTTATTTCATCAATTTTAAGAAAACTACTCTTGTTACCTATCAACATGCTTTTGATCCTTACGAAAATGCACCTCAAGAGTTTTTGGAACAACTCAAAGAACTTTTATTCAAAAAAGAAGATTCCCCAGAAAATAACAATTTAAAATCAATCCTTAGCGGTGAAGAAACGATTAAGCATCACATGCAATTTTTGATAAAGAATAACCACACGGATATGTTGATTTTGAAGAATATAAAAGATGTAGTCCGAGGATCGTGTGCTCATAATGCTACTGTTATTGCTAATGGTTTGATGCATACTGGGACAACTTGTGATGATTTTTTGAGGTTTTATTTAATATTTTAAATTAGAGTATCATTCCGTCCCCTGAAACCTTGACGATTTTTTGGCAAAAAACCCCCACACATTGAAGGCCCCACCACGGCAAACTTCTGTCCAATAGACTCTCGACCCTGAAAGGGCAGGAGTGCCAATATTTTAAAATTAATATTTTTCTTATATGTTTTTTAGAGATAATTTGGATTGGATTTCTAAAGCAACCAATTGGAATAAATTCAATGCAGTTGCATCGCTTGGGTTGATTCATAAGGTTTTTTTTCTTCATAATTTTAAAATTTATTTTGTATATTTTCTTCAGGGACATGAACGCGAAGCTCGAAAGATCCTCGATCCTTATTTACCCAGAGGCGATGTTGATCCATATGGCTTTAAAGAGGGAGGATCTCTTTATGCATATGGTTTGTTTATAATTTTTTAACCCATTTTTAGCGGGACCTACACGGCGTTAGGCCCCAGATGTCCACTTTCAGCACGTCGAGTCCACCCATTACGAAAGCTATATTTTTAGATATTTAACAAATATACCTACTTATTAAAATATGAGAGAGAACGAGACCCAACCTTTTGGTCGGAATTAAAATCAGGAGATTGAACGAGTAAATTTTTTGCCTATTTCTCGCCTTTTTTGGTTGTTAAAAATGGGCGTTAAATAATTTTTTAACTATTCCACATTCATTTATAAAATTTTAGGTTTAATCCACGCAAATCATGACAATCAAAGTGTTATTAACTACCTCACTGATCAATTAAACAAAGCCACTACAAGTGCTGTTCGTCACGGTGGATGTTTGGGTTTGGGATTAGCTGCATTAGGAACTCGTAGTGTCAAAATTTATGAACATTTGAGAGAATGCTTGTATAGTCAAAATGAGGCTGTTTCTGGTGAAGGAGCTGGAATTGCAATGGGATTAGTTTTGGCTGGATCGATGAATCAATCAGTAAATTATTTTGTAAAAATTTTACTTTAATTTAAAAAATTCAAGGCTTTTGATGAAATGAGAAGCTACATTTTGGACACTCAACACGACAAAATTCAGCGTGGATTGCGTACTGGAATTGCTATGTTAGCTTATGGAATGTTGGAGAAGGCTGAACCGTTTAGTTTTTTTTCTAATTTTAAGGAAAATTAATTTTTTTTAAAGGTGGATTGAGATTCTTGAAAGTTTCCATTCCGAGTCGATTATGCGTCAAACTGCTGTGTGCATGGTATTTTTGAAAAAATTTTTTTATATTTTAAATTTAATTGCTAGATTGCCATGGCTTATGCTGGGAGTGGAAATGCTGAAGCGTTAAACGACTTTTGGAAAAAGTTGCAGCAGATCCTAGTAGTGATGTTAAACGATTTGCTACAATTGCTATCGGCTTTGTTCTTAGCGGGTTTTCTTTAAAAAAATTTTTTTTGGATTGATTTGAATCACTTTAGGAACCCTGAACTTTGCTTGAGTCACACTGGAATGTTATTTGAACACTTTAATGGTCATATTCGTTATGGAGCTGCTATTGCTTTAGGAATTGCTTGTGCTGGATCTGGATATAAGGTTACGTTTTTGGATTTGGAAGATTTTTGTCTTGTCTTTGAAATGAGGGCTTTCAAGGGAGTAGCTAGGAGGTTGGAGGAATTGACCCTCTGAAACCTCTGGCTACCCCCTTTGAGGTCCTGATCTTCCACTTCCGTTTTTTTTTAATTTGGAAAAAATTTTTTAGGAGTTCGTTTCTCGTCTTGAACCTCTGTTGCAAGCCAAAGAAAACTTTGTTAGACAAGGAGCATTAATTGCTTTATCTTTTGTATTAATACAACACACTGAGTCTACATGTTCAAATGTTGTTGAGTTTCGCAAAACAATCACCAAAACTATAACTGAAAAGAGTGAAGATACAATTACTAAGGTTTGATAAAGTGAATATTTTTTATTAATTTCATGTTTTTTAGTTTGGAGCAATTGTTGCTCAAGGAATTTTGGATGCCGGTGGACGAAATGTCACCCTTTCTTTGGATAACCGCGATGGACAGTTTGACATGCCTTCAGTTCTGGGAACCTTTGTGTTTTTACAGCATTGGTATTGGCATTCGTTGACTCATTTTATTTCTTTGGCATTTCAACAACTTGTCTAATTGGACTAAATAAAGGATTAAAGAGGATAATAAGGTTTGATTTTAAGTGATAAAGCAGGGCTTAGGTGTCTTGGGGTGGACTTTCTTGCTTGAGGATAGGATGTGGAGTCTTGGGGGATGGATTGGGGATATGAATGTGTCTTGTTTGGTCTATGAGTTAGGCATAGGTTGTCTCGAGTTAGGCATAGGTTGTCTTCCGTCTTTCTGTTCTTACTCTTCAGCTTTCATTTTTTTGAATTCGGCTGGGCCCACTCTCCTTTAAGGGACTTGTCTAATGTTTTAAAATATTTTTAGCTCAAGAATAAGTCTATTGAGGACGATAAGAAGAAGGTTATGGACAAATGTAAGGAAACGCTCTCTTGATTAGACACCAACCAGACTGCTGATGTGAAAAGGAAGAATTTGAGCATCAACAAAAGGAATTGGAAGCTATTCGCAATCCGATCATTTCGAAGCTTTATCTATCTCCGGGTGGTGCTGGAATGCCTGAAGGTATGCATGGAGATGGGGATAGGATGGGCAGTCTTAACGGAATGAGATGGGTCAGGGATGGGCTGTTTTGGTGGGGGATATGAGCAGGGATGAGCTGGGGCATGGATTGATATCGCGGATTAGGAGTGATATTCGAGTTTAGAAGTATATAGCTGTGTTAGGAGGATATAGACGGACAAATTTTCCATCTCATAATAATTGCACTTCAAATTTTGAATTTTAAAGGTATTATGCAATTGTGTACTGCAATAACAAACACTCGTACATGTGTGGCTGAACGCTCTGAAACATCAACAGCTACGCAAGATAAGTGCGAGGTGTTCTTAATGTCAGCGGACTGCAACAGTTTGGTGATGAATTACAAAGATGAGAGAAGCTAAAAAATGTGGCAAAGATGCTTCCGCCACATTTAAAGGTCTAAATGATATTAGAATGAAATGTTTTTTTATTTTTAGTGCTTTTCCGTTTGCGTCGAATTTTTTGTTTTATTTTTTTAAGCACAAAATGTTATCAAACAGCAGTATTCTTTCAATTAGATGCAAAAACGGAAAAGCACAATACTCGTAGTGTCAAAATTTATGAACATTTGAGAGAATGCTTGTATAGTCAAAATGAGGCTGTTTCTGGTGAAGGAGCTGGAATTGCAATGGGATTAGTTTTGGCTGGATCGATGAATCAATCAGTAAATTATTTTGTAAAAATTTTACTTTAATTTAAAAAATTCAAGGCTTTTGATGAAATGAGAAGCTACATTTTGGACACTCAACACGACAAAATTCAGCGTGGATTGCGTACTGGAATTGCTATGTTAGCTTATGGAATGTTGGAGAAGGCTGAACCGTTTAGTTTTTTTTCTAATTTTAAGGAAAATTAATTTTTTTTAAAGGTGGATTGAGATTCTTGAAAGTTTCCATTCCGAGTCGATTATGCGTCAAACTGCTGTGTGCATGGTATTTTTGAAAAAATTTTTTTATATTTTAAATTTAATTGCTAGATTGCCATGGCTTATGCTGGGAGTGGAAATGCTGAAGCGTTAAACGACTTTTGGAAAAAGTTGCAGCAGATCCTAGTAGTGATGTTAAACGATTTGCTACAATTGCTATCGGCTTTGTTCTTAGCGGGTTTTCTTTAAAAAAATTTTTTTTGGATTGATTTGAATCACTTTAGGAACCCTGAACTTTGCTTGAGTCACACTGGAATGTTATTTGAACACTTTAATGGTCATATTCGTTATGGAGCTGCTATTGCTTTAGGAATTGCTTGTGCTGGATCTGGATATAAGGTTACGTTTTTGGATTTGGAAGATTTTTGTCTTGTCTTTGAAATGAGGGCTTTCAAGGGAGTAGCTAGGAGGTTGGAGGAATTGACCCTCTGAAACCTCTGGCTACCCCCTTTGAGGTCCTGATCTTCCACTTCCGTTTTTTTTTAATTTGGAAAAAATTTTTTAGGAGTTCGTTTCTCGTCTTGAACCTCTGTTGCAAGCCAAAGAAAACTTTGTTAGACAAGGAGCATTAATTGCTTTATCTTTTGTATTAATACAACACACTGAGTCTACATGTTCAAATGTTGTTGAGTTTCGCAAAACAATCACCAAAACTATAACTGAAAAGAGTGAAGATACAATTACTAAGGTTTGATAAAGTGAATATTTTTTATTAATTTCATGTTTTTTAGTTTGGAGCAATTGTTGCTCAAGGAATTTTGGATGCCGGTGGACGAAATGTCACCCTTTCTTTGGATAACCGCGATGGACAGTTTGACATGCCTTCAGTTCTGGGAACCTTTGTGTTTTTACAGCATTGGTATTGGCATTCGTTGACTCATTTTATTTCTTTGGCATTTCAACAACTTGTCTAATTGGACTAAATAAAGGATTAAAGAGGATAATAAGGTTTGATTTTAAGTGATAAAGCAGGGCTTAGGTGTCTTGGGGTGGACTTTCTTGCTTGAGGATAGGATGTGGAGTCTTGGGGGATGGATTGGGGATATGAATGTGTCTTGTTTGGTCTATGAGTTAGGCATAGGTTGTCTCGAGTTAGGCATAGGTTGTCTTCCGTCTTTCTGTTCTTACTCTTCAGCTTTCATTTTTTTGAATTCGGCTGGGCCCACTCTCCTTTAAGGGACTTGTCTAATGTTTTAAAATATTTTTAGCTCAAGAATAAGTCTATTGAGGACGATAAGAAGAAGGTTATGGACAAATGTAAGGAAACGCTCTCTTGATTAGACACCAACCAGACTGCTGATGTGAAAAGGAAGAATTTGAGCATCAACAAAAGGAATTGGAAGCTATTCGCAATCCGATCATTTCGAAGCTTTATCTATCTCCGGGTGGTGCTGGAATGCCTGAAGGTATGCATGGAGATGGGGATAGGATGGGCAGTCTTAACGGAATGAGATGGGTCAGGGATGGGCTGTTTTGGTGGGGGATATGAGCAGGGATGAGCTGGGGCATGGATTGATATCGCGGATTAGGAGTGATATTCGAGTTTAGAAGTATATAGCTGTGTTAGGAGGATATAGACGGACAAATTTTCCATCTCATAATAATTGCACTTCAAATTTTGAATTTTAAAGGTATTATGCAATTGTGTACTGCAATAACAAACACTCGTACATGTGTGGCTGAACGCTCTGAAACATCAACAGCTACGCAAGATAAGTGCGAGGTGTTCTTAATGTCAGCGGACTGCAACAGTTTGGTGATGAATTACAAAGATGAGAGAAGCTAAAAAATGTGGCAAAGATGCTTCCGCCACATTTAAAGGTCTAAATGATATTAGAATGAAATGTTTTTTTATTTTTAGTGCTTTTCCGTTTGCGTCGAATTTTTTGTTTTATTTTTTTAAGCACAAAATGTTATCAAACAGCAGTATTCTTTCAATTAGATGCAAAAACGGAAAAGCACAATTAAGCCACTTGTAAAAAAAGGATTTTTGCGGATTCGTTTAGAAGAAAGCAAAAAGACCTTTTCTTTACAAGTGGTATTTTTTATCACATAATTTTTTGTTGGTTAAAATGGGTTTGGGCCCCCCCCCCTTCCCGGGTTTACCCACTACTCAACTCTTCCAAGCTCCTAGAGCTTCAGACACTCCTAAACTCATCCAAAACCGATCCAACTTGACGACCTCTATAATGAAACACACGGATAGATTCCACAAGGTATATACATTTAATACAGCCAAGATCGAATTGCAAAAACTCTCCATAGGTTCAGGCTTTCATACCTGCCAGTTATATCCAAAGGCACGGGTTCTTATTCAATAGGTGTAGACAGTAGGGCACTTAGACCTTAGATTAGACCTAGAACCCCCCCCCCCCCTCTTCTTCCTTCACTCATCGGCCCGTCCACAACTTCAACTGCTCCTGCCAGACTTCTACAACTTCAACTGCTCCTGCCAAACGTCTACAACTTCAACTGCTTCTGCCAGCCGTCTACAACTTCAACTGCACGGACTCTACTGTCCCCTGGGCCCCGACACGGTACTCTAATCCCTTCCCGGGTCCAACATGGAACTCTACTGTCTATACCCATTTAATAAGACCCCCCTTTCTTCCCCATATCCAAGTCTGACCCAAATGACACTCCCCAACTCGTCCCGGACAAAACGTCACTCCCCAATTCGTCCCAAAGACAAAATGTAACTCCCCAATTCGTCCCAAAGACAAAATGTCACTCCCCAATTTGTCCCACAGACAAAACATCACTCCCCAATTCGTCCCAGACAAAATGTCACTCCCCAATTCGTCCCAAAGACAAAACGTCACTCCCCAATTCGTCCCACATTCAAAATGTCCCCTCCCCAATTCGTCCGACATTCAAAATGTCACACCCCAATTTGTCCCACAGACAAAACGTCACTCCCCAATTCGTCCGACATTCAAAATGTCACACCCCAATTTGTCCCACAGACAAAACGTCACTCCCCAATTCGTCCCATACTAAAAATGCCCCACACTAAAAATGACCCGCACTGAAAATCCCGCACTGAACTGACCGACCCCCCTTCTCAAAAAATATTCTCTCCATAGGTTCAGGCTTTCATACCTCCGAGTTATATCCAAAGGCACGGGTTCTTATTCAATAGGTGTAGACAGTAGGGCACTAGGCATAGGCTTTCTTAGACGTTGACCTAGACTTTGACCTTTGAATTACCCCCCCCCCTTCCGGCACCAAATGTCCAAATGATCAATTGTCCCAATGATCAAATGTCCAGTGATCAATTGTCCCAATGATCAATTGTCCCAATGATCAAATGTCCAGTGATCAATTGTCCCAATGATCAATTGTCCAGTGATCAATTGTCCAGTGATAAATTGTCCCAGTGATCAAATGTCCCAGTGACCAAATGTCCCAGTGACCAAATGTCCCTGACTGTCCCACACTAAAAATCCCACACTGAAAATCTGGCACCAAAAATGACCGACCCCCCTTTTTTAAAAACCTCTCCATAGGTTCAAGCTTTCATACCTCCCAGTTATATCCAAAGGCACGGGTTCTTATTCAATAGGTGTAGACAGTAGGGCACTTAGACCTTAGATTAGACCTAGAACCCCCCCCCCCCCCTCTTCTTCCTTCACTCATCGGCCCGTCCACAACTTCAACTGCTCCTGCCAGACTTCTACAACTTCAACTGCTCCTGCCAAACGTCTACAACTTCAACTGCTTCTGCCAGCCGTCTACAACTTCAACTGCACGGACTCTACTGTCCCCTGGGCCCCGACACGGTACTCTAATCCCTTCCCGGGTCCAACATGGAACTCTACTGTCTATACCCATTTAATAAGACCCCCCTTTCTTCCCCATATCCAAGTCTGACCCAAATGACACTCCCCAACTCGTCCCGGACAAAACGTCACTCCCCAATTCGTCCCAAAGACAAAATGTAACTCCCCAATTCGTCCCAAAGACAAAATGTCACTCCCCAATTTGTCCCACAGACAAAACATCACTCCCCAATTCGTCCCAGACAAAATGTCACTCCCCAATTCGTCCCAAAGACAAAACGTCACTCCCCAATTCGTCCCACATTCAAAATGTCCCCTCCCCAATTCGTCCGACATTCAAAATGTCACACCCCAATTTGTCCCACAGACAAAACGTCACTCCCCAATTCGTCCGACATTCAAAATGTCACACCCCAATTTGTCCCACAGACAAAACGTCACTCCCCAATTCGTCCCATACTAAAAATGCCCCACACTAAAAATGACCCGCACTGAAAATCCCGCACTGAACTGACCGACCCCCCTTCTCAAAAAATATTCTCTCCATAGGTTCAGGCTTTCATACCTCCGAGTTATATCCAAAGGCACGGGTTCTTATTCAATAGGTGTAGACAGTAGGGCACTAGGCATAGGCTTTCTTAGACGTTGACCTAGACTTTGACCTTTGAATTACCCCCCCCCCCCTTCCGGCACCAAATGTCCAAATGATCAATTGTCCCAATGATCAAATGTCCAGTGATCAATTGTCCCAATGATCAATTGTCCCAATGATCAAATGTCCAGTGATCAATTGTCCCAATGATCAATTGTCCAGTGATCAATTGTCCAGTGATAAATTGTCCCAGTGATCAAATGTCCCAGTGACCAAATGTCCCAGTGACCAAATGTCCCTGACTGTCCCACACTAAAAATCCCACACTGAAAATCTGGCACCAAAAATGACCGACCCCCCTTTTTTAAAAACCTCTCCATAGGTTCAAGCTTTCATACCTCCCAGTTATATCCAAAGGCACGGGTTCTTATTCAATAGGTGTAGACAGTAGGGCACTTAGACCTTAGATTAGACCTAGAACCCCCCCCCCCCCTCTTCTTCCTTCACTCATCGGCCCGTCCACAACTTCAACTGCTCCTGCCAGACTTCTACAACTTCAACTGCTCCTGCCAAACGTCTACAACTTCAACTGCTTCTGCCAGCCGTCTACAACTTCAACTGCACGGACTCTACTGTCCCCTGGGCCCCGACACGGTACTCTAATCCCTTCCCGGGTCCAACATGGAACTCTACTGTCTATACCCATTTAATAAGACCCCCCTTTCTTCCCCATATCCAAGTCTGACCCAAATGACACTCCCCAACTCGTCCCGGACAAAACGTCACTCCCCAATTCGTCCCAAAGACAAAATGTAACTCCCCAATTCGTCCCAAAGACAAAATGTCACTCCCCAATTTGTCCCACAGACAAAACATCACTCCCCAATTCGTCCCAGACAAAATGTCACTCCCCAATTCGTCCCAAAGACAAAACGTCACTCCCCAATTCGTCCCACATTCAAAATGTCCCCTCCCCAATTCGTCCGACATTCAAAATGTCACACCCCAATTTGTCCCACAGACAAAACGTCACTCCCCAATTCGTCCGACATTCAAAATGTCACACCCCAATTTGTCCCACAGACAAAACGTCACTCCCCAATTCGTCCCATACTAAAAATGCCCCACACTAAAAATGACCCGCACTGAAAATCCCGCACTGAACTGACCGACCCCCCTTCTCAAAAAATATTCTCTCCATAGGTTCAGGCTTTCATACCTCCGAGTTATATCCAAAGGCACGGGTTCTTATTCAATAGGTGTAGACAGTAGGGCACTAGGCATAGGCTTTCTTAGACGTTGACCTAGACTTTGACCTTTGAATTACCCCCCCCCCTTCCGGCACCAAATGTCCAAATGATCAATTGTCCCAATGATCAAATGTCCAGTGATCAATTGTCCCAATGATCAATTGTCCCAATGATCAAATGTCCAGTGATCAATTGTCCCAATGATCAATTGTCCAGTGATCAATTGTCCAGTGATAAATTGTCCCAGTGATCAAATGTCCCAGTGACCAAATGTCCCAGTGACCAAATGTCCCTGACTGTCCCACACTAAAAATCCCACACTGAAAATCTGGCACCAAAAATGACCGACCCCCCTTTTTTAAAAACCTCTCCATAGGTTCAGGCTTTCATACCTGCCAGTTATATCCAAAGGCACGGGTTCTTATTCAATAGGTGTAGACAGTAGGGCACTTAGACCTTAGATTAGACCTAGAACCCCCCCCCCCCCTCTTCTTCCTTCACTCATCGGCCCGTCCACAACTTCAACTGCTCCTGCCAGACTTCTACAACTTCAACTGCTCCTGCCAAACGTCTACAACTTCAACTGCTTCTGCCAGCCGTCTACAACTTCAACTGCACGGACTCTACTGTCCCCTGGGCCCCGACACGGTACTCTAATCCCTTCCCGGGTCCAACATGGAACTCTACTGTCTATACCCATTTAATAAGACCCCCCTTTCTTCCCCATATCCAAGTCTGACCCAAATGACACTCCCCAACTCGTCCCGGACAAAACGTCACTCCCCAATTCGTCCCAAAGACAAAATGTAACTCCCCAATTCGTCCCAAAGACAAAATGTCACTCCCCAATTTGTCCCACAGACAAAACATCACTCCCCAATTCGTCCCAGACAAAATGTCACTCCCCAATTCGTCCCAAAGACAAAACGTCACTCCCC